CCTGTCAGAAAGAAGTAATGGTGTTTTGGGTCCCATTACTCAGTCGGATCTCACCCTAAACATTCCTGTGCCTTATCTAGAAACTTGACCCCACATCTGTGGGCTGGTTAGGGCGTAGCTGTTCCAGGCCAGCCAGTTAGAGTCTAGAGCAGGAAGAAATTCTTAGCCACGCCTTGGGAGCCCTGGGCCTAGAAGTCGAGACCTGAGGTGCCAAAGTGCGTTATAGCATGAAGGCCAGCCTATGGGGACAGAGTGAGGGCCGCAAGGGGAAGTCCCCGCACCTACGGAACTGAATCATAAAAAATAAAAACTAAAGAACAAATAACAACTGGCTTAAAATGGAAGCCAGAGTATAATATTGGAGACTGTTCTCTTCCAGATACTGTGTCAATTTTAGTTGTGCTTATATTAATATACTGCATAAGTTAATTTGTGAAAAAGTGAACTACAGACTGGCCAATCCCACTTAACTGTCCCTTTGCAGTGATTTTTTTTTGGAAGTGGCAAAGAAAAAGTTATTTTATTTATTGAAAGATTTACTTTATTTTTATTGCAAAGTCAGATATACAGAGAGGAGTAGAGACAGAGAGGAAGATCTTCTGTCCGATGATTCACTCCCCAAGTGAGTGTAATGGCCGGTGCTGTGCTGATCCAAAGTCAGAAACCAGGAGCTCTTCTGGGTCTCCCACATGAGTGCAGGGTCCCAAGGCTTTGGGGCCGTCCTCTACTGCTTTCCCGGGCCACAAGCAGGGAGCTGGATGGGAAGCAGGGCTGCCGGGATTAGAACTGGCACCCATATGGGATTCTGGCGTTTTCATGATGAGAACTTTAGCCATTAGGCCACTGCGCTGGGTCCGGAAAAATTTATTTTAACCCCAGAATATCGAATTGTGTTGACAAGGCAGATATTTTCATCCCACACTTGAGAAAGATAGTTTTCTTATTTTTATTTTAACTCAGGGATTGTTTAATATTAAGACCCATTCCAAACTCAGATTGTGAATGGCCACGCAGTTTGAACTTGGGCATGATGTGGCCCGATAGGATCCGGAGACTTGGACCAAGGGCAGGGGCTGTCGGTTGGCGATTGGAAGGAGAAATTTAACTCATTTCTGATCCACCAGTTCCAGAGCCAGTGACAGGGGACCTTGAGAAGACGGGGGCTGTAGGTAACTCACCTCTCCCTCTGGGGTCCAGCCGGGGGTGTGGCTTGGGTGGAAGTAGGAGAGGTTTGTGTGCAGAGCCGAGATGGGCAGTGACGCGGCTGCGGAGAAAGGGGCAGCAGCATCCTTGCGTAATCCAGCGGACCCGGCCACTCCCAGGGAGTAGTCAGTGGGCAGAACCTACAGATAAGCTTCAGAAAGGAATGTGGACCTGACTCCAAGCTCCGGCCTCTACCTAGCCCAGGTCGGGAAAAGGTGAAAAGGAAACCGTGGGATGGAACATTGCTTGCAATCCAGATACTCCAGGAGGTGATGGGCAGGGCACACAGCAGACAGCTCATTGAAAAAGAAAGTCAGGGTGTCAAACCCTGCCTGTCCAAACGCTTGCTCTTCCAGCTCCGAGGAGAGTAGCAGAACCCGGCCCAAGGGCTTGGGCACCTGCCATCCGTGTGGAACACATAGATGAAGTTCCTGGCTTCGGCCTGGCCCAGATGTGGCAGCCATTTGACTGAAAGATTCTTTCTGTCTTCTTTCTCTTTGTAAACAGATAGTTGTTTTTTTTTTAAAAATGTTTATCATCAATAATATGCAAATTGCAAGAGTGGGATACATACGTTTTCAGAACAACTTGGTACATATTAAAAAGAATACATATTAAAAATCCAGTTTTAAATGGATAAAACATCTAAACTGATATGTCCAAAGAAGATATGCAAATGGCTATTTAACCCACATCATACATCCTCATGGAATTTGGTTAGAAGCCACTGTGAGATCCCATGTCTACTCAGATATCTGTACTAAAAAGAACTATAAAGCCCAGCGCTTTGGCTCAACAGGCTAATCCTCTGCCTGCAAGCACTGGCATCCCATAGGGGTGCCAGTTCTAATCCCGGCTGCTCTACTTCCCATCCAGCTCACCACTTAGAGGCTGGGAAGGCTTCTCTTTGAAAGCCTACCTGTAAATCTGCCTTTTCAAAAAAAAGAAAAAACTAATTAATCTTCTTTAAAGATTTATTTATTTTTATCAGAAAGGCAGATCTATAAAGAGAAGGAGAGACAAAGAGAGAGATCTTTGGTCTGCTGGTTCTCTCTCCCAAGTGGCCGCAATGGCTAGAGTTCAGCCAATCTGAAGGCAGGAGCCAGGAGCTTCTTCTGGGTCTCCCATGTGGGTGCAGGGTGCCAAGACTGTGGGCCGTACTCATTTGCTTTTCCAGGCCACGAGCAGGAAGATGGATGGGAAGTGGAGTACCCCGGATTAGAACTGGCATCCATATGGGATCCCGGCACTTTCAGGGGGAGGACTTTAGCCACTAGGCTACCGTGCCAGGCTCTAATTAATCAGTCTTTAAGAAAAACCTACAGAGGGCCCGGTGCTGTAGCCTAGTGGCTAAAGTCCTCGCCTTGCCTGCGCCAGGATCCCAAGTGGGTCCTCTCTGTTTCTCCTCCTCTCTGTAGATCTGACTTTCTAATAAAAAAAAAAAATCTTAAAAAACCCACAGAATTAAGTGTATGACTTAGCAATCTCATTTCCAGGTAAATTTAAAAAGAAAGTTACTTCTTTATATACACCTTTCTATCCAGAAAAGCAGCCTTGCTGCTAACAGTGAGATCGGGCAAGGCTCAGTTTAAGGAAATGCTATTCATGGACAGAAAGGACTCGAGTACTGCTGCACGGTGGGACAAACGGCAGGCAGAGGGAGCCACATATTGTAGGATTCTGTTTATATGTGGTGCTCCGAATGGGCAGACCTGTGCAGAGAGCAACTTGCGGTTGGTTGCCTGGGGCTGGGTGGGAAAAATAAAGAGGAAACGGAGAATGAGTGGGTGACTGCAGATGGAGTCTCGGACTCTTTTTGGGGTGATTTCAATAGTCTAAAATCAGGGCCTGGCACGATAGCGTAGTGGTTAAGGTCCTTGCCTTGACCATGCTGGGATCCCATATGGGCGCCGGTTCTAATCCTGGCAGCTCCACTTCCCATCCAGCTCCCTGCTTGTGGCCTGGGAAAGCGGTGAGGACGGCCCAAGGCCTTGGGACCCTGCACCTGCTTGGGAGACCCAGAAAGAGGTTCCTGGCTTTGGATCAGCACAGCACCACCGTTGTAGTCCCTTGGGGAGTGAATCACCGGACAGAAGTTCTTCCTCTCTGTCTCTCTTCCTCTCTATACATCTGCCTTTTCAATAAAAATAAATAAAGCTTTAAAAAACCATAGTCTAAAATCAGCTGTGATAGAAAAAAAATTAGATGGTGTACTTTAGGTGGGGAGATTAGAAAAAAAAAAGTGTTGCACATATGAAGGTATAAAACGTGATATTATGAGGTGCAAACAGATGATAAAAAGTTGCTATAGTGAAGCAAACAGATGCCAGCACCTCCCCTAGTGGCCCTGCCCCTCCCAGCGGCAGCGGAAGGCTAGGTCTGCCAGGGACCCCGATACTGCATTACCTGGGTCCTCCTGTTGTACATGAACTTGTTCATTCGACCTGCTTGCTATGCCGTGTCCTCTGGCCTACATCTCCTCTCGCACGCGTGGTTAACCTGCTTCGTTCTCTGTATAATTGGCCCTTTTTTTTTTTCCTCCCCAAGGTTTCACCTATAAATGAGATCATGCAGTGATTACTGTGTCATTGCACAGTGTCCTCCAGGCCCTCTGCGCCATGTCAGAGGACAGGAGCCTGCTTCTCAAGGCTGAGGAATATTCCACTGTATGCAGCGCCCTTCTCCCAGTCGAGTGTGCTTTATGGTACATAAATGACACATTCACAAAGTGTTGTTTTTTTTTTTTCCCAAAGATTTAATGGATTTGAAAAGCAGAATTGGGTTAGAGAGAGAGGAGATTCTGCATGATATGTTTTACTCTCTCAGTGGCCACAATGAGCAGAACTGCGCTAGCCTAAGCCAGGAGACAGAAACTGCACCTGCGGCTCCCAGCTGGGTGCAAGAGCCCGGGCGTTTGGACCATCGTTCCCTGTCTTCCCACGCACACCAGGAGGGAGCTGGATGGGAAGTGGAGTAGCTGGGACCTGAACTGGTGTTCCTGTGGCTTTCAGATACTGGCCTAACCCGTCCGCAGAAGCTGTTAATGTTCAGTGTAGCCTTACCCTCGGTAACTGAGGGAGGGATGGCCGACGGGTGAGGTTTGTGGACTTCTCTCTGCTGCAGGATGATCGGACTGGTAATCTGGGACCCCATAACTCCGCCTTAAAAATTTGCTCAAGATTGATAGATTCTTGTCCGTCCATGTGCATCCAGTTATTACCGCTGAAAGCAGATTCTTTGAAATAATCTAAATGCTTGACTTATAAGCATCTGATAAATCACATTAATTAATTTATATATATATAAAAGATTTCCTTATTTTTATTGCAAAGTCAGATATACAGAGAGGAGGAGAGACAGAGAGGAAGATCTTCTGTCCGATGATTCACTCCCTGAGTGAGCACAACTGCTGGTGCTGTGCCGATCCAAAGCCAGGAACCAGGAACTTCTCCAGGTTTCCCACACGGATGCAGGGTCCCAAGGCTTTGGGCCATCCTTGACTGCTTTCCCAGGCCACAAGCAGGGAGCTGGATGGGAAGGGAATTGGAGAAGCTGGGACATGAACTGGTGTCCATATGGGATCCTGGCAGTTGCGAAGTGAAGATTTAACCACTAGGCCACCGCGCTGGGTCGCTCAGCTGTTTTTGTAATTGGTCTTCCTTCTTCAGGCTTTCTGATACCTTCCACGTTTCCTCTGTAGACCCTACATGTGTCGAAGGCAAGGACTGCTTCTGGTGGGGTGCTTTCTGTTCTGTCAAACGCAGGTGTCTGAAGGGACCTTTCTCCTCTTCTCTTAGGGATGCAACCCCCTTGCACAGACCGGTCGGAGCAAACTGCAGAACCAGCGGGCCGCCTTGAACCAGCAGATCCTGAAGGCCGTGCGGATGCGCACAGGAGCGGAAAACCTCCTGAAGTACGTGACTGTGGACTGCCCTGCCCGGGCCAGGGGCTGTGGGAGCCCAGGCTCTTCCTAAGGCCCATCTGTTCCCTGTACCCCTGGGCCCTTTCTGCCCCTGGAGCTTGGTTGCATTAGAGGCTAATATTTTACCCAGCTGTTTGTGTGTCTGCAGAGCAGGTGATGTGTGGCCTTGGCCTTCTCAACTGCAAGTCCAGTTGCTGTCCTCATGGCCCTGTTGGTTTTTCCTCTTCAGCCTGCTATCTTCATAAATGTGGGTTGAATGTCTAAAAGAAGAAAGGAAGCAGGGAGTGGAGCCTTTGTATTGCCAGGGTCTACCTTTTTACAAATCTTTATTTGGGGCATCAGTGTGGTGGAGGTGGCAAAGTAGGCTAGACCTCTTACCTATGGCACTGACATCCCATAGGGGAGCTGGTTCAAGTCCAGGCTGCTCCGCTTCTGCTCCAGCTCCCTGCCGATGGCCTGAAAGGACAGAGGAGGATGGTCCAAGACCTTAGGCCCCTGAATCTACCTGGGAAATCCATAGGAAGCTACAGGCTCCCAACTTGGGATCAGCCCAGCTCTGGCTGTTGATACCATTTGGGGAATGATCCAGTGGATACAAGCTCGCTCTTCTCTCCCTCTCTCTGTAACTCTGCCTCTCCAAAAATTAACAGCATCTTAAAATATATATATATTTATTTATTGGAGTGAGAGAGTCAGAGAGACATGGAGACACACATATACAGAGAGAGAGAGAGACATCTTCCATTTGCTACTTTACTCCCTAAATGACTGCAACTGGCAGGGCCGGCCCAGCTGAGGATTGGAGCCAGGAACTCGTCCTTGGTCTCTCGTGTGGATGCAGGGATGCATACACTGGGACCTTCTGCTGCTGCCTTCCCAGGTGTATTAACAGGAATCAGAAGTGGAGCAGCCAGGACTTGAACTGGCACGCTCCCATTGGGAAGCAGGTGTGGCAAGCAGCAGCTTAACGCACTGCACCACAGGAAGCTGGAATCAGGAATAGAGCCATGGGTGGAATCCAGGGACTCAGATGTGGACACGGGTTCTTGATCCTTGTCTAAACTGTGTGACATTTACTCCCCAGTGTCCATATTTCTGCTGAGAGGGTACAGTGCAGTGAGGGGGTACTGGTATGTTCTGGTAGTGAATGAGTTAACTCAGCAAGCCCGGAGTCCAGTGAAACCTGTGTGGCGGCAGCTGTAATGTACAGGTGTAAGTTTACACCCGTAAATGCCACCAGACGGTGTGCCAGGTTTCTCTTGTTTACAACCGGTGCCAGCCTCCTCCGTCCTTGAGAGTTCTGGGGCCGAGGCCTGTCAGTCCCACGCTGCCTTGTGCAAGGGGCAGCCAAGGCACACCCCTTGCCTGAGGCCCAAGTGGGTGACCGAGATTCTCCCTGCAGTCGAAGGAAGTGATGAAGTGTACTTGCAGGGAATCGGGTCCCACCCACCTGCCGGAGAAGGGGCTCAGTCAACCTGCTTGAAATTACAGTTCCTGGGAATCCTGGGGGGCTCCAGGGAGGAGGGGTACCAAATTACCTACACGTTCTGATATGGACAGAGGGAGTTCCCAGTGGGTCAGCTTCCTGGTTGGAGGCCCTAGGCAGCTGGGAGGCAGCGGCTTCTCCCTGTTAAGGCTTATATATTTATTTTAAAAAGTTAGAAAGGGAGAAACAGAGATCTTCCATGCTCTGGTTCACTCCCCAGAGGGCCATGACGGCTAAGGCCAGGGAAGCCAGGAACCCAAAACTCTATTTGGGTTTCCCACGTGGGTGTCAGGGGCCCAAGTACTTGAGACTTCTGCTGCTGCTTTTCCAGGCTCTTCAGCAGGGCGCTGGATTAGAAGCCAGTGTGGGTCCCAGTGTCACAAGCAGCCCTGAAGCTGCCCGGCCACAGCACCAGGCCCGTCCGTGTGTAGACACAGCAGCATAGTGCAGGAGGCTGTTCGGAGCGCTGGTACTTGGTGCAATTGTGGAGAGGCCATGGATTCAGGGACCCACTGCTGTGTCCTGGGCTGTGGTGCTGAGGAGGCTGTGGTGCGTTTGGTGACCTCAGGTCCCGGTTGGCACTTTGACAGGCCAGCTCTGCGGCAGAGGGGCAGGTGGCCAACCTCTATGCTCTAGCCTGTTGTGCAGTGAGCTGCCGTGTGTGTGTGGGGGGGGGTCTGCCCGTTCGTGCGTTCATTGCAGGCGGCAGGCAGGGGATGAGGCTGTCCACAGAGCAGACAGGCCCTGATCTGTCGCTTTTATTTTGGTTTGCAGTCTCTTGTCAGACACTTCCCATTTATGGAATTTGGGGGTGGAGCCTCAAGGAGGTGATTGGATTACGGGGAGTCTCCATAATTAGATCTTGATGGCTGTAAGGATGTGGACAGCAGTTCCCTGTCTCTTGCCATGGGATATACTCTAGTGCCTTGAAAACCTTTTTTTTGCCTAAAGTTTATGTGTCTGAAAAGTAAAATGTTTGTGTGGCGGGGGCGTGAAGAGGAAGGAAAGAGCGATTGCTTGATCTTCCTTCTGCTGTCTGTGCACTCCCTCAAGTGCTTGCAACAGCCAGGGCTGGGTTAGGCTGAATCCAGGAGCCAGGAACTTTGTCCACGTCTCCCACGTGTGTAACAGGCATTCCGATATGAGGCTTATTATCATTTACTGCCTTCCAGGCTGGATGGAGTAGCTAGGACTTGAATCGGCACTCTGACATGGGACTTGAGTGTCCCATACAGTGCCCGCCCCTTAGTATGGACTGCACCATCCATCCGAGGCTGCACCAATGCCTGCCACCTCATCCTGGACCGGGCACATCCACTATGGTGAGCCGAAGTCTTCTCAGTTCCTTGCCTCAGGGATTTTGTAGTAGTGATGAAAAGTCAGCTAAGGTCCTCTGCTTTCCTGAGGCCCAGTCACATGGTAGGTGGGACCGGAGGGGAGGAGGGTCTTAGTACTCCAGAAGACTAATCAGACCACATCTGGAGGCGGCACTGGCTTCCAGGGACAGTCTCTGACCCAGCCAGGGTTGGGGCAGTGCTGGCCTGCCAGCTCTGCCAAGGCCCCTCCAAGGCCCCTGCCTGCCTCCAGCTCCTGGTCATGTTGGCAGCTGTTATAGGGGCAGGGGAGGGGTGTGGTTGTTTATGATTCTCACAGTGACCCGAAAGTTCAAAGTACCCCTCTCTCTGAGAATATTGTCCCAGGAAACACGGAAGGTATTTATTAATCTGACTCAACCGACACCAGCCGTTTCCCAGTCACAGATTGGGTGTTTGGCCGAGCCCAGCTTGGGCCGGCCGTGTCTCTGGGCAGCTGTTAACGATGTGGCCGTCCCTGTCGTATGCTGGGTCCTCCTGCCCTTCTTCTGATGTTTGCACTGCTGCAGATGTCTCATTGCAGCTTCCAGGTGGAGGGAAGGCGGAGGGAGTGGAGACAGGGAGATGTTTTGGGGGGAAGTCCCCAGCAATGCAGGGGTGTTGGTGCAGCCAAGGCGCTGGCCGGGGGATGGGCAGGATGCTTGCGTGGTCTTCTCTGGTGCATCCCAGGCCACAGCTTGGGATGCTTGTGAGCTTCCTGGGGTCTCACGGAGAAGACTTGGATGTGTTTACATGTGCTTTTTTCAGGCTAAGCGGTGTCAGTATATTCTCTCTCTCCTAACTGCCTTTCCTTCCTCCACTGTGGTGGAAATGTCTCCCTGAAATGGAATGAGTTTCACCTGGGTCTCCCATGTGGGTGGCAGAGTCCCAAGCATTTTGGCCTTCTGCTGCTTTGCCAGCTGCTTTAGCAAAGAGCTGCTTGAGAATTTGAACAGGTGGGAGGTGAGCTGGCATCCGTGTGGGGTGCTAGCATTGCAGGCTGCAGCTTTGCATACTATATCACAGTGCTGCCCCAGAAGCTGGGATTCTTCTGGGGCTCCTATGTGGGATGAAGGGATTTCAACTGGCGGCTTAATATGCTGTGCCATAGTGCCCGCCTCAGTTGTTTTTATATAGTGCTAGTTTGGATGGCTGATATTTGTTGAGGCTTTTTGCATGTACGTTCATGAAGAGGATTGGTCTGTTGTGTTGTCTGTAGTGGTTTTTTAATCAGTAAAATGCTAGCCTCCTAGGGTTCATTGGCAAGCGTCTCTTCTTCCTCTGTTTTCCTTCCTGTTTTTGTTGGAGGCCCTGGAAAGGGTAACTGGGAGCATCTTCTGTTTTCAAGTCTGTTTCCTTTGAGCGTATCTTAGGAGTCACGTCTGACCTCTCACAGCTTCCTTGGCTGTATGCCCGGGTCTGTTTGCTGGCAGGTGTGTCACCTGCTGGGTCCCTGAAACGCCTTATCCGATGACGGCTCACACAGTCTGCATGTGGCCTGTTGGAACATCTCTGCAGGGATTGGGGGTTGGACTTGACTTTCTTACCCAGCATCTTAGGGATGGATAGTTGGCTAATAGTGCTTCTCCATCTTCTCTCTGAACAGAGTAGCCACGAACCAGAAGGTGAGAGAGCAGGTCCGCCTGGAGCTGAGCTTTGTCAACTCAGACCTGCAGATGCTCAAGGAAGAGCTGGAGGGGCTCAACATCTCCGTGGGAGTCTACCAGAGCACTGAGTGAGTGGGGCTGGCGCTCTGAGCTTGCCCATGGGTCTGCATGGGGCATGTGTGCAGAAAGGCTGGGCGGGAGGGCTGTGCATTGAAAGTGCTGCAGCCCTTTCTTTGGGAGCTGATGAACACGTTTGGGACAGAGCAAGGTGCTGGAAATCCTGGAGTTGATTGGAAAGTACTTGGAGTGATTTAGAGAACCTTGGGGTGTGGTCTCATGTGAGGACCACCTGTTCAGATGGGCAGATGGTTTTGCCCTAGGGATGTCCACCTCATTCAATCTGCAAGGTGTGGCTATTCTAATGTGGCGTCCTCTCTTGGAGAGTGTTTGGAGGAGAGGAAAGGAGGGTAGAGAGCTCTCCTGCGCCTCAGCCTGGGTGACCTACCTTAGACAGAAATGCCTGTCTTTCAGAAGAAGCAGCTGAGAACCTCTCCCGAAGGCTTTGTCAATGAGGAAGTGACAGTCACAAAATAGTTCCTTGCGTTAACAGAAGCGAGATACCTGGGGACTTTGAGTTGCCCTGGAATGTGCATTTCCTGGTTGTGACTCCCTGCCTGGCACCCTGGGGCACGTGGCTGTCCAGCCAGAAGGGCAGCGGCAGGCCGCCCCTCCATTCTCACATGGGGCTGCTGTTGGCTTGCTTGCCTAGTGGCTCCTGCAGCAGTTCTGGACACCTCTTTCTCAAGGGTTTACCCAGCCAGGGCCTATGTGAAGTTTCAGAGTCTTGCCCATTAAGTTCAACAAAAATAAAATAAATAAGGTGGATTTTATCTTTTTAACACAGTAGATCATGCCAAAGTTTATTATTTATTTATTTATATTTTGCTCTCTCTTTTTTTTTAAGATTTATTTATTTTTATTGCAAAGTCAGATATACAGAGAGGAGGAGAGACAGAGAGGAAGATCTTCCATCTGATGATTCACTCCCCAAGTGACCGCAATGGCCGGTGCTACACCGATCCGAAGCCGGGAACCAGGAACCTCTTCCGGGTCTCCCACATGGGTGCAGGGTCCCAAGGCTTTGGGCTGTCCTCGACTGCTTTCCCAGACCACAAACAGGGAGCTGGATGGGAAGTGGAGCTGCCGGGATTAGAACCAGTGCCCATATGGGATCCCAGAGTGTTCAAGGTGAGGACTTTAGCCGCTAGGCCACGCCACCGGTCCCAAAAGTTTATTTTTTTAAAGATCTATTTATTTATTCATTTTTTAAAGATTTATTTTTATTGGAAAGGCGGATATACAGGGAGGAGAGACAGAGAGGAAGATCTTCCGTCCGATGATTCACTCCCCAAGTGAGCACAACGGCCGATGCTATGCCAATCTGAAGCCAGGAGCCTCTTCCGGGTCTCCCACGTGGGTGCAGGGTCCCAAAGCCTTGGGCCGTCCTTGACTGCTTTCCTGGGCCACAGGCAGGGAGCTGGATGGGAAGTGGGGCTGCCGGGACTAGAACCAGTGCCCATATGGGATCCCGGGCGTGCAAGGCGAGGACCTTTAACCACTGTGCCACCGCGCTGGGCCCTAAGATCTATTTATTTTTATTGGAAAGGCAGATTAACAGAGAGAAGGAGAGACAGAGAGGAAAGAAAGATCTTCCATCTACTGGTTCACTCCCGAAATGACTACAGCAGCTGAAGCTGAGCCAATCTGAAGCCAGGAGCAAGGAAATGCTTCTGGGTCTTCCACAGCTTTGGGCTATCCTCTTCTGCTTTGCCAGGCTACAAGCAGGGAGCTGGATGGGAACTGGAGCAGCTGGGACATGAACAAGTGCCCTTTTGGCATGTCAACATTTGCCAGCAGAGGATTAGCCTGTTGAGCTATCGTAGTGGCCCTGTGCAAACACTTCTGTAAGCTAGGCAGTAAAGGAATCTCCTGTGTGGAACAGAAAGCCTGGTTGCCCAGACTAACATGTTAGGGCCATGCTGGGGCTGACATGCCCTGGGGTGGGTACTCTGGACACTACCCTTCTTCGAGGACAGCTGGACACTGGGGCTTGGATGAGCAAGACCTGGCCCACCCTCATTTCCTTGCAGCTGGGGCTGCTTTTAAAGCCCAGCGGTACCACCTGGGCAGTTTCGGCTCACAGCTGCATTGTCCTGCATTCCTGGGCTTCTCTCTGGGCTGGGCTTAAGCAGCCCAAGGTGGTGTCCGGTTACAGGTCAGGGGGCTAAGCCCCTATTTGCAAAACACAGCTTAAGCCCCAGTCCCTTCTTGCTGGCCCTGCCTCTAGGAATACAGAGGCTGCTCTCCCTGGGTGACCTTTCATCTCTAGGGGAGAGGAGGTGGAGGTAAAGCCACAGTCAGGGTCTGTTCCTAAGCTGAGAGCCAGGTGCACACAGGTGTCAGGTGTAGCCTGTGTTTGCCCCGTGCAGGTGACAGGATCCTGCACTTATGAACAAAGGGACAACAGGAGGGCTGCTGGAGAGGGGGAGGAGAAAAGTAAGGGCTGGGGACTGATGAAGGAGGCTCAGTGGGAGGTGGTAGTCCAGGTAGGTTAGCAGGTGCAGACCTTGTTGCTTGGTTGCTTGAGTGGTTCTCAGCTCGGTTGCTGTAAGCAGAGGCAATGCTGAATGATATGTTAGGATCAAGGCGGGGAGGGCCTCCTGTGCTGCAACATCCAGAGGTCGTAAGGGAGGCAGGATTCCTTTTGGAACAGAGGGAGGGACGGGGCCAGAGTCAGCTTGATGAAGCTGCCGGGCAGGCGTGTGTTGGATCGGCATGAGGGAGAGGGGTGAGGCCCTGAGTGGTTGGGATGGGGCTGCCGTGTGGCTGGGCTGGGATGTTCACGGCTGCTGTGCCCCTTTCAGGGAGGCGTTTACCATCCCGCTGATTCCTCTTGGCCTGAAGGAAACCAAAGATGTTGACTTTTCCGTGGCCCTCAAGGTAAATCTCAAAGCAGTGTGTGCCAGAGGTGGTGTTGAAGATGGAAACGGGAGAATTGTGTGTCTGTTTGCAGTGAACTTGGTGTCCATGGGGCCAGTCAGCCCTCTTTGGCTGGCTGCTCGGGGAGCCTGGGTGATTGCTCTTGTCATCGCGGACCATCCAGAGCTGCTGGGTGGCTGGAGAGGGAGGATCAGAATCCCAGCCTGAGAGCCTGTGGCCAAGCAAATCTATGGTAGACGTGCTCCTGAACTTACTAACCATCTTATGTTAGTATCTTCCTTCTTAAATTGTGTAACCAACTCAGGCTGCGGTTTTGAAAGAATAGTTAGAATTTTTTTTCCCCCAGCATCTTATTATAAAAATGTTCCAAATTTAGGGAAAAATGGAAAGAATTTTTGCAGAGTCTTTTGCTAACATTTTGCTGTTATTGCGTTTGTTACATCTCTGTACATTCCTGATGCATTTCAAGGGTAAATTAGATGTCCATTCATTGCTTTTAAATACTTAAATAACCAGAGTTTCTGGTTTGTGCTCCCTCTCCCGTATCTAATTCCGAAGTATGTGGGCTCCTCTATTTTTAAAGATTTGTGTATCTATTTCAGCAGCAGAATGAGAAAGACAGAGAATCTTCTGTCAGCTAATTTACTCCCCCAGGTGATTGTAACATCCGGGGCTAGGCCAGGTCATAGTCAGGAACTTGCAGGTCTGTTGAGGTCTGCCACGTGGGTGCAGCGACCCAAGCACCTGGGCCTTCCTCTGCTGCTTTCCCAGGTGCATTAGCAGGGAGCTGCAATGGAAATGAAGCAGCTGGGATTTGAACTGGCTGGAGCATCACAGGCTGACCCACAGCCCTGGTTTCTGGTTCGGCTGACCAGGCCCGGATGCTGGAGATGCTGCAGCCGCACCATTGGGGAACATGGGTCAGCGGGTGGGAGGAGTGAGGAGGCTCATGGGAGAAGCTGGGACAGAACTGATCCTTGTGAAAGCAGTTGGTCAGACTGTGAAGCGTTTACACCTGACTTCCATTCAGTCATCTGACACGAGGCTGTCTTGACCACTAGAAAGTCAGATCTACAGAGAGAAGGAGAGACAGAGTGAAAGATCTTCCATCTGCTGGTTCACTCCCCAAGTGGCCACAACGGCCGCAGCTGAGCCAATCCGAAGCCAGGATCCCCTTCCTGGTCTCCCACATGGGTGCAGGATCCAAAGGTGTTGGGCCATCTTCTATTGCTTTCCCAGCCACAAGCAGGAAGCTGGAAGGGAAGCAGAGTAGCTGGGATATGAACTGGTTAAAAGACATGATCCAAATTTTTCTCAGAAAATCCAAGTTTGGCTTTCTTTTAATTTTGATGAGTAGAGCTTTACTTACTTTCTCTAAATGGGAACACCCTGGTAGAACATTCAGGAAGGACGGTGACACGTAGATCCCTCCCCTCTGTAACCTGCTCAGTGTCCTCTTTGCAGACCCCTGTCCCCTCCCCTGCTGTGGTTTGGACACGATTCATCACCTAAGGGGTCACGTGCTAGAGGCTTGGTCCCAGTGTGGTGGTGTTAGCTGGTAGGAGCCTTTAAGGGGTGGGGTTTGGCTAAGCCCTTGGGGGTCTGGGAAGGGAAGGGGAGGCAGTTCTCCTGAGGGGTGGTATGTTTCTGTGATCCCACTGGCCCTCAAATGCACCCCTGCCAGGAGGCCATTGTCTGGGAGGTCCTCACCAGAGCCTAGCCTGTGCCCTTGAACCTGCGAAACTCTGAACCAAGCAAGCTTTGTCTTTACCCAGCCTCAGGTAATTCCTTAGAGCAGTAGAAGCTCAACCCACACACCCTTCCAGGAAGCCTGCCTGATGATGCCTTGAGTCCTGGACATGAGTCCATTTCACAGTTCAACTCCCTGAGGCCGTGGCACAGCCAGTGACCTGTCCATGGTTCCAGAGCCGGTCCATGGCACAGAGGGATCTTAAGTAGCTTCCCTGTTGGTACACACTGGCTGTTGTCTTTTCTCTGGCTCTCACGTCTGAATGAGTCCATTTCTGATGCGTAGCTGGCCCTGTCCTGTAGCCGCTTCTCACCATTCCATCCCAGTGCATTTTCACACAAGGAGAGCAAGCTGCCTTTGTGACTGACATTCTAGGCAGTTTTGGCTTTTGTCCCGTGGTTTTGCTACGTTTCCTCTGACACGGTACTTTTGGGTTTTGGTAGAAGTCTCTTATGGCTGCATGTCTGTACCTTCGCAGCCACCTTTCGCTCTGTGGTACATTTCCACACAGTAAGCTTTAGGAAGGTGGGACCAAGCCTGTCTTTTTCAACAACGATTTCATGAGTCAATGTAAAAAGGAAATATTTATATTCTTCAGTAAAGCTCAGTAGTTGTCTGTGTAATTACTTTTCTGCCTAAGAATATTCTAGTTCTGTTGCATTGTGAATGTGATGATTCTCTTGTATTTTTCTACCTGATTATTGCTTGTGTGAGGAAGGAAGCTCGCTGACTCTTTCCATGACTGCGCTTTGTGTATCAGCTTTTTGGCTGCTTTGTTAAGTTTAATAATGTTTCAGTGGACTTCTTTGGGTTTGTAAACACATGGTGATTTTGCCACAAAAAATATATATATTATTCCTTTTTGGCCTTCTTGCTGTTACTTTTGCTAATTTGTTGGCTGGTGATCTTTCAGAATTATGCTAAATAATAGTGATGGTAGAATCCTCATTTTTTATTCTAAGTGTATTTCACATAAACTATTATGTTTTAAGCAACTGGAAACACAACCTGACTTTTATGGGGTAAACATATAGCTTCTCTTACTTTGTTTAAATGTAATTTCTTACTTTGACAGTGTAAATTCCCTCCTTTTGAGGAAAAAAAAATTGCCAAATTCTATTTAAAGCAGAAGTCTGGTCGCCTTAAAGGGTGTTAAGACGTGTGAGAGAGGCTGGCACCCAGGACTCTGACCCTCACCTGAGCCTCAACTAACCATTGATGAAAACAATAGCAATTTAAAGCCATTTCCAAGTCCACAAATGGCTGTTACGTTCATAGAGGAGCTGATTCTTGTTATTATTGCTTTAAGACGTCAAGGAAATCTGTGGTAGCATTATAAAAACATGAGGAAACGTGTGTTGAACATGGCCAGGTCAGACAGCAGAAGGAACTTGAGAACCAGTGAGCTATTGGCTGGAGGTAAATGCTTAAGGGGATCGCCAGAGGCGTGAGCCAGGATGGCCACTGGGAGGTTATCCTGAGTTGGAAAAACTGGGAAACCGCCTACGTGTCTTCTAACAGGTGAGAGCAGTATAAACTCTCAGTACGCAATAGCCAGCCGGGCTACGTGATCAGTGTATTTATTGAATACTTGCACTATATGCTCATTACCTTGGAGGATTATAGGACCATTAAAAGTTGGTTGTGTTCTAAGAATGTTATAGCATATGAAAATGTCTGATACACTGCCAGATTTAATAAAAACACCGAAGTTGTTAAGTCTAGGCTGAACTCTTGTTAACTAGGATGTGGGTGTGTATCTGTCTGTACAAGCAAAAGGTGTTTCATGACACACAGCATGTGAAGAGGATGGTTGCAGGTCCTTGGGGAAACATAACTGAACAATCCATCTTTTTTTTTGTTGTTGTTAAGATTTATTCATTTTATTGGAAAGGCAGATGTACAGAGAGTAGGAGAGACAGAGAGGAAGATCTTCCATCTGTCCGATGATTCATTCCGCAAGTGACTGGTGTGCGCCAATCATCGGAAGCCAGGAGCCAGGAACTTGTTTCTGGGTCTCCCACATGGATGCAAGGTCCCAAGGCTTCAGGGCATCCTCGATTGCTTTCCCAGACCACAAGCAGGGAGCTGGATGGGAAGTGGAGCTGCCGGGATTAGAACCCGTGCCCATATGGGATCCTGGTACATTCAAGGCAAGGACCTTAACCATTACGGTATTGCACCAGGCCCAGAACAATCCATCTTGTCAACCTTATTATAGCCAGTGAGAGCTGACACTAACAGAAGATGTTATGTAAACACGTTCAAAATCATTCCTGAAGGGCCAGCATGATAGCCTAGTGGCTAAATCCTTGCCTTGTGTGCACCAGCATCCCGTAGGGTGCTGGGTTGTAATCTTGCCTGCTCCACTTCCCATCCAGCTCCCTGCTTGTGGCCTGGGAAAGCAGTAGTGGATGGCCCAAAGTTATAGGACCTTGCAACCGCATGGGAGACCCGGAAGAAGATCCTGGCTCCTGGCTTCAGATCAGCTCAGCTGTGGCCATTGTGGCCACTTGGGGAGTGAACCAGCAGATGGAAGATCTTTCTTTGTGTCTGTGTGTAAATCTACCTTTCCAATAAAATAAGCAAATCTTTAAAAAAAAAAAAAAATCCTGAGGCCCCTCATCCTATTCTTACTATTTTATCCTGTAATACTTGTCCTCTTTTTTTGAAAAAATGATTGGTTTAATTTTGTTTGAAAGGCAGAGTTACAGAGTTTTCTTCCTTCCACTGGTTCACTGTCTTAAGTGACCACAATGGCCAGAACTGGGCTGGTCCAAAGTCAGGAGTCCAGAGGCACCTCTGGGTCTCCCACACGGATACAGGGCGCCCGATGACTCGAACCATTCCTAGTTGCCTTTCCCGGCTCATTAGCAGGGAGCTTGATCGGAAGTGGAGGAACAGGGACTCCAACCAGTGCCCATGTGGGGTGCCAGCTCCATAGGTGGAAGCCTAACTTACTATACCACAGTACCAGCTCCTGCTTGTCATCTTCTAAACTGAGGATCTTTAACTTGAGAAGTGCGCCAAACTCGAATTTTCTGAGCACTGACAAGATGCCACAAGTGAGAAATTACATACCATGAAGCTTTGCTTAATGCACAAAATTATTAAACGTAATATATAGTTTCTGTGTAGGAGGGGCCTTTCGACATGATTGTGGAGAGATGGGCTTTTGCCAAGACTTTTATTACTTTTAGATTTATTTATTTATTTTATTAATTGGAAAGTCAGATTTACAGAGAGAAGAGACAGAGATCTTCCATCTGCTGGTTCACTCCCCAAGTGGCCACAGTGGCCAGAACTGAGCTGATCTGAAGCTAGGAGCCAGGATCTTCTTCCGGGTCTCCCACGCGGGTGCAAGGTCCCAAGGCTTTGGGCTGTCCTTGACTGCTTTCCCAGGCCACAAGCAGGGAGCTGAAAGGAAAGAGGGGCCATCGGGATTAGAATTGGGATCTCAGCACATGCAAGGCGAGGATTTAGCCACTAGATTACCATGCTGGGCCTTGGCATAGTGTTTTAAGACCACGTTTGGGATGCTCAAGGTCAACTCTGATTCCAGTTCCAGCCTCATGAGAACCTACACCCTGGGAGGCAGCAGGTGGTGGCTCAGGTGATTGGGTCTCTACCCCCCACATGGGAGATTCAGATCCAGTTCCTGACTCCCAGCTTCAGCCTGGCCCAGTCTTCCAGTGATGCTGACCAGGGCTGCGTGATGCATCATGTTAGAGCAACACTTCTAAATAAGAAACACCTTTAATGTTTTCTTTTTGCTGGAGCAACAAATGTCACGTTTGTCAGTCTAAATAGGCAAAATTAAGAAAATGAACCATCCCCCCCTCAGGGCAGCACTGGAGTAAACAGTCTTTGCCGGGTCCCCCCCCCATCCTTTTGTTGTTGTTGTTGTTGTTCTTATGCTTTGAATCTGCCATCTAGTTCTTAGGGCTTTGGATCTTGTCTCACAGTGCTTTCTCTCATTTTCTCAAAGGATTTTATCCTAGAACACTACAGTGAAGACAGCTATCTGTATGAAGATGAGATCGCAGATCTGATGGATCTGAGACAAGTATGTTTTTGTATGTAGCAGGTGAGGAGTTGGGGGCAGAAGAATGGCTGCCTGTCTCACTCCTCCCTGGCGGCAAGCTTGGGGTCACACGTGCCTGAGGATGGTTGGTGATGATGGGGAGGGGCTGTGAAACTCACCCCTTTTTATCTGCTGTGGGAGAAAACCACGTAACAATGGAGACCTACTCACCTGTGCATGTAGAGCCAGGTTCCGGGAATCCTGCCTTCATCCCAACCCTTTCCTCCACTCCCAGAATGTATGCCCCCCATCCCTGTCCTTGGGCCCACACAACCCAGAAATAGCCAGAGGGTTCTAGCTGCCCGTGGGTGCCGTGGGCCGGTACGCTCCCTCCCGGTGCCTCTGTTCACCCCACTCCGTGGATCTTCCAGGCTTGCCGAAGGCCCAGCCGTGATGAGGCTGGGGTGGAGCTGCTCCTGACTTACTTCATCCAACTGGGATTTGTGGAAGCTCGGTTCTTCCCGCCCACCCGCCAGATGGGGCTCCTGTTTACCTGGTAGGTACCTGAGACTTGCGTGGGTGCTTGCCCACAGCAACCACGGGGGGTGGGGTGGGGTTCTGCATTGCAACACCCCCTGACTTTCCTGACTTTCCCACTTAAATCTGTGGAGCAGCAGCTAGAGAAGGGCTCAGGAAATGGTATTTATTTATGAAGGAGACTCAGGGTGGAAGGCTCCCACAGAGCGTGGCCGGAGCCAGGGAGAGAGGGGGTGTTTCTCCCTGCTTGTGGTGATGGTTGCAGAAAACATCTGGAATCTGGACGCTTTTGTGCCAGTGGGATAGGCTGGGTGGTGTGAGTACGAGGCAGGTTCTGTCCCGCATGACAGGGGCAGCAAACAGAATTAGGCCAGATGTTACAAAGCGAGGATGAACACCTGATTTCTTCTAGAACACGAGGAATTTCCAAGCTGAGTGTGGTCCCGGTGCCACAGAGGTGCCAGGCCTGAGTGGAAGGCCGGGGAGCACACCTGTCCAGACATAGGAAGAAGCTCCCACAGGAACTTGAAAATGAGTCGTGTGACTTTAAAACTTCAGGAAGGCTTACAGAGGTGGAGTGGGGAGGCGGCATGGCTAAGCGTCACCTGGGAGAAATCATGTGTGTATTTTCAATAGATGCCATTGCTAGGCCAGTTTTGGGTGCACAGAAAATTTGGGTGGAAACGGTAGAGTTTCCACATATCCTGGCCGCATAGGCACTTCCAACCCCATCTGCCCTGACGGAGCCGTCTCTTACAGATCATAAACTTGGGTGTCAGGTCACAATCACAGTGCCTATAAGGGAAAAAAAAAACACACCTGGACTTCAGACTTTGCACCAACACAGACCTGAAAAGATTGATTTGTTTATTAGAAATGCAGAATTAGAGGGAAAGAGAGACAGACAGAACTGAACTTCCATCTGCTGGCTCGCTTCCCACGTGGTTACAACAGGTTCAGCAGAAGATTGAAACTCCGTCCATGTCCTCCACGGGGGTGGCAGGGCCCCAGGTACTTGGGTCAAGTGCTGCCTGCTGCCTTCCCAGGTACATTAATTAGCAGGGAGTTGGATCAGAAGTGGAACGGCCATAACTTGCACTGGCGTGGCCTGAAGTGGCTTAATTCACCACACCACATCACAGGCCCCTAAACATACTTTTCCATCCCATTTCCCAAGAAGGTTTTGAAGGATCCCCGTCTACTGTTTTGTTTGACAAATGTGGGATAATTCGTGTGCAGTGTTGTCCTCTGGAGCTTAGCAGTTTCAGCACCCTCAGTGTCCTCTGGCTCTGCCACTTCCTCCCTCCCTCCCTCCCTCCCCTCTTCCTCTTGACAACCACTGATGTTTTGACTCTTCCCCGGTTTTGCCTTTTCCAGAATGTCACATAGTTGGATTTATACAGTAGGTAGCCCGAGTCACGTGTTGGAGTTACTCCACGGTTTGCCGGCTCATTTCTTGTTAGTACTGTGTGATCTGTTTTTGTCCAGATGTATCACTGTGTGTTTCCCTGTCACCTGCTAAAGGATGTGCTGATCCCGTGTGTGTGTGTGTGTGTGTGTGTGTGTGTGTGTGTGTGTGTGTGTGTGTGTGATGGGCAGGGGCAGGGTCTTTACTCAGTGGGCTTCTCACCCTGCTTGGAACCGAAAGCCTCGTTGCATGTGCATCTTTGGATTTCATGCAGGAAATGGGTTTTAGAAAGGCGCCAGTGTTTTCACAAAGCCTGTCTTGCAAACAGGTACGACTCCCTCACCGGGGTTCCTGTCAGCCAGCAGAACCTGCTGTTGGAGAAGGCCAGCATCTTGTTCAACATGGGAGCGCTCTACACTCAGATCGGGACGCGCTGTGATCGGCAGACACAGGCTGGACTGGAGAGCGCCGTGGACGCCTTCCAGAGAGCTGCAGGTGTGTTGCTGCCAGGTCCCCTGGACAGTGCCCTAGCCCTGCTGGGCAGCTCCAGAGAACCCCAGCTGCAGGGAGAGTGTGAGTCATTTCCTGGGACCCTCAAGAGCCTCACTGAGCCAGACTGATTTTCAGCACTGGGGTGGTGTCCCCCATTACAGCCTTACTCTGTGTGTGTGTGTGTGTGTGGCCTGGGTCCCGTATACAGAGAGGCCTGTGGGCCACAGCCTTTCCAGGTGAGTGGAATGTCCACTGTGCTAAATTGCAGAGGAATTCTCCCCAAGTGGTGGACATGCTGGTGCTATCTCTGCTAGTGGCAAGGCAGACTACGGAGACGGGGAAGGACAGAGTGAAAGATCTTCCATCTTTGCTGGCTCACATGCCCAAAGGTCACAATGACTTGGGGTGAACCAGGCTGAAGTCAGGAGCCTAGAACTCCATCTGGGCCACCCACATGTTTTATAGGGCACAGATATTTGGGACATCTTTTACTGCTTTTCCAGGTGCATAAGCAGGGTACTGGATCAGAAGGAGAACAACGGGGACTTAAAAACCAGAGCTCCCGTATGGCGTTGTGGGTATGGCAGGTGGTGGCGCAGTGCCAGCCTTCTTCCTTTGCTGGGTGCACCTGATCAGGGCGTGTTACTGTCCGTGCCTTCCCGTCGGATGCTTGTCCAGCACGCTCCTCCTAGCCTCAGCTGGCTGCTCCTGCTTCTCTTTCACGCGATGCAGACAGGAGGAGGCCTAGTAGCTGTGTCATCTTCTTGGACTTCCAGATGCTTTCCCCACATTAATCTCTTTTTCCTTGGCAAACATCCATTTTAGAAAGGAAGGAAAAAGCAGCTTGGCCCCCCTCCGGGGGCAAACTCATTGTGGGGTGCAGGGTAGGGGGACCAGAGCTACAGCACAGTAAACACCGTGGCCTGAGCCCCGCTAAGTGAGCCCCACAACCTGTTGCCTTCTGTGCTGTGCCTTGTTGCTGTGTTTTGGGGGTAGAATTACTGCCCAAGAGCCTCACGTGGAACCTTCTGGAACTTTACTTTGTGTGAATCTGTGTTCAATTTCTTGTGTTAGGTGATAGTTCTGGAGCTGGCATTTAGCCTAGTGGCCAAGATGCTCATGCTCCGTTGCCAAGCGCCTGGCTGCACTTCCTGGCTGCTGCTCCGCTCCAGCCTCCCACCGGTGCAGACCCAGGAAGGAGTACTGGCAGCTCAAGTCACTGAGTTCTCCGGGAGGATGCGGTGGATCCTGTTCCTGGCTCTGCCCCTGGCTCTGTCCTGAGGGCTTCGTTTCTGTCTGTCTGTCTCGCTACCTTGGGATGCTGTGTGGCATTTCTTTCAGTTGGAGCCCTTTTTCTGGACTTTGCTTTCTTTCCAGAGGATCTTAAGCACACCTTTGTGGTTTTTTTTTTTTTTTAAGATTTATCTATTTTTTTTTATTGGAAAGTCAGATATATAGAGAGGAGGAGAGACAGAGAGGAAGATCTTCCGCCTGATGATTCACTCCCCAAGTGAGCGCAATGGCTGGATGCTATGCCGATCCGAAGCCAGGATCCAGGAACTTCTTCCGGGTCTCCCACGCGGGTGCAGGGTCCCAAAGCTTTGGGCCGTCCTCGACTATCTTCCCAGGCCACAGGCAGGGAGCTGGATGGGAAGCGGGGCTGCTGGGATTAGAACAGGAGCCTGTATGGGATCTCGGGCGTGCAAGGCAAGGAGTTTAACCACTAGGCTATCACGCCGGGCCCAAGTACACCTTTTGTCTCTAAGATGATGGAGGCAACAGACAGTGAGGTCTAAGATGAGCTGGGAGAGTCTGGGGGAACGCTGAGGGGAATGAGCAGCCTTCTCTGGGGCCACAAAACCTGAGGAACCAGCTGGGTGGGAATTAGCCTGCAGATTGTTTCAGCTCCACACTGTCAGTGCAGTGAATTTCCTAAGGCCAGGGAAAGGCAGCCGAGGGCCACAGCTTGAACATTTCCACTGGAGAGGGCTGGATCCTCCCGGCTTTCCAGAGAGCAGTTCCTGATTGGCCCAGTGTCCGTGTGAGCCTCTTGGTGTTTTCCTCCGTTGAATCAATGTCTGGTGGTAGGTGAAATCTCTTATCTTTATCCCAGATGAGGCAGGAATAGAAGGAAGCAGACTGGTTTCCTTGCTTGTTACAGGGTTATTACATAGGAGAATCCAGTTTTCTTTTATTGTGGTGAAATAGCACTTGAAAAAATTAGCACGTGACTATTACTAATTTTAAAGATTGATTTATTCGAAAGTCAGAGTTGCAGAGAAAAAGGAGAGATCTGCTAGCTCACTCGCCCAGCTGGCTGCAATGGACAGAAGCTGGGAGCAAGAAGCTTCCTCTGAATGTCCCACATGGATGCGGGGGGTTGGGAGTAGGCATCTTCCATTGTTTTCTCAAGCCCACTAGCAGGAAGCTGCATCAGAAGTGGAACAGCTGGGATTTAAGACAGTGCCCATATGGGATACCGCTGCTGCAGGCAGCAGCTTAACGCACTGTGCCACAGTGCTGGCCCCAGCTCAATTTTTTTTAAGTGTACATACCTCAGTGACAATAAGGACATTCATGTTGTGATACAACCGTCCGTCTGTCTCCAGGATAATACAAACTCTATTCTTAGTAAACAGTAAGCCCCTGTTTCCCCTTTTCCCCGGCTCCTGCTCCCATCCAGTCTACTTTCTGTCTCTGTGAATTTACTGTTCCAGGTATCCTATTGAGGTAGAATCATACGATATGTGTCGTCGTATGATTGGCTTATTTTAACAAACATAATGAGCTCCTTCACGGTTTTGCATATGTTAAACTTTCTTTCTCAGACAGAAAAATACTCCATTGTGTGACCCGCTCATTCACCTGTCGAGGGACTTTTGGGTTTTTTCCACCCTGTGGGTCCTGTGACTAAGGCTGCAGTGAACATTGCTGAGTCCCTGCCTGCAGTTCTTAGAGTTCATTCATAGAAGTGGGCTTGTTGAGAACGTTTGGAGAATGGTCTGGGACACTAGCGGTATGTCTTCGCTTCTCTCCAGAAGTATGGTTAAGTAATAATCCCCAGTCTAATAAACATAATGTTGCAACTTTAGGAGTCTTAAACAACCTGAAAGAGACGTTCACGCATACGCCGAGTTATGACATGAGCCCCGCCATGCTCAGCGTGCTGGTCAAAATGATGCTTGCGCAGGCCCAGGAGTGCGTGTTTGAGAAGATCAGTCTGGCTGGCATCCGGAATGAGTTCTTCGCGCTGGTCAAGGTGGCTCAGGAGGCAGCCAAGGTGAGACTCCCTGGCTTGGCAGCTCCTGGAGCTGGGCAGGATACGCTGGGGTTGCAGGTGCTCTGCAAGCAGGAGGCACCTCCCTGGCTGCTGCTCACCCATGACCTGGGCAGTGTGCCTGCCCCAGCTGGGGCTGCTGCCGCCCTGCGTGTTCTTGGCGGCCGTCAGTATTCCTGATACGGATCCTTGCTTCCGACTGCAGTTCAGCCTAAGATCAGTGTGATGGTGGTTGTCTCAGTCCTTTGCTGGCACTGTTACTGACAGCATGCGGAGTTGCTTGGAACTGTTCCCAGGCACAGGCTGCTGGGTAGAAGAAATGGTCCTCACCTGAGTTGGGTTTGTGAGGGGCCCTGTGCCAGGCTCCCCCTCCCCAGCATCCCTTCTGTTTCAGGTGGGAGAGGTCTACCAGCAGCTGCACACGGCCATGAGCCAGGCACCTGTGAAAGAGAACATCCCCTACTCCTGGGCCAGCGTGGCCCGAGTGAAGGCTCACCACTACGGGGCCCTGGCCCACTACTTCTCTGCCACCCTCCTCATCGACCACCAGCGTAAGGCTTGGGAGCTTGCGGCAGCGGGGTTGGTTAGGTTGGGATTCTGGCTGGACTGAATGGGAGTGGCCTGGCTGTCCTGGTGGGGCTCATTGCATGGGGGCAGAGGCTGGGAGTGACACGCTGACTAGGGCAGCTGCCACACAGGCCAGGATGAGATGAGGATTTAATGAGGGAAGGGTGGTGGTAATTCTCTACCAGGGATTAGACAGGTAACTTTTCATTTGAAATCTGGAAACTAAGGGGATCCCCAAAACTCAGGAATCAAGGTCAATGGCATTTTAAAGTAATATTTTACAAGAGTTAAAACTAATGCATAAAATCTGTGTTCATAAAGAATTTCAAAGACAAGAAATGTTACTAATCTGTTCGTTAGAGCGCAAGGCAAAATGAAATTTTGATGTTCACAGAATTTTTTTTCCTTGCAATAATTTTGATATATTTTAAATCGCATTAAAATCTTGTTTGCGGAGTTTTTGGCATCAGTTGAATGCTTGATACTGAGCCCAGTGACTCATTGACCCTGCCCAGGTCTAGGGATTGGATGGGATTTGGGGTGGTTATGCTAATTAGCGCAGTCCCAGAGTAGTTAAAAGGTTCTGGAGCCACATGGCTTCCATTCAAAGCTGTGTGACCTTGGCTAGGTTGTGTAGCTGTTCTGTGCTCCAGTTTTGCCATCTGCACAGTGGGACCTCTAGGAGAAGCTGCCCCGCAGCAGGACGGTAGCTGTGTGCAAAGCTACACAGTGCCTGAGGTTGGCTGTCTCAGAGTGAGCGCTATGTCATCTTGCAGGGAGGGCAAGACGCAGGCCTCCAAAAAGCTTGTGCAAAAATGCACCTTCCAAAGGACACGCTGTGTGGGTCCCAAGGGTTTTTTTTTTTTTTTGGGGGGGGGGTTTATTTTTTGCACCAAAATAAACATCTTGAATTGAACCTTCCATGAACTCTGGATTTTCTTCCATTGCGAACAAATCGGGAGTGTAGTATCTTGATGACTGCTGTGAGACACAAATGAGGCAGCAGTTGGTCCCGTGGCATAGTCATGGGTGGTTTCTCAGAGGTAGTGACATTCACTGTGGACTTGGCCAGCTGAGTATATTGGGAAAGGACAGCTAAGAGCAAATGTGGGGTCTGAGTGAGAGGACAGAAGCCGGGGCCATTGGGTTGTGGATTGGTGAGGTTGCAAAGCGGACTGTGCACCAGGAGGGCTGGGGAGAAGTGCTGTTCTCATTGTGGCCAGGACAGAGGCAGGGCTGTCTGAGGCGTTCTGTGTACTGGGAGACTTGGAGGAAGTTGTGTGTGGAGTCAGGACCCGCTCCTGAGCCCCTGGGGTATGGCCAGCCCTGAGTGAGCAAAGGCTGAGACCCTGATTGCTGACCAGAAAGAAAGTACAATATGGTGACTGTGTCGTGAAAATGAGACCACAGGAACCTGGAGGTGTGGCCGACAAAGCGGACACTAAGTGGATCTCTGGCGCCATCTTCAGAGGCCACGGTCATGAGAGGGGATTTAACCCATGGCTTTCATTGCAGTGAAGCCTGGCACAGACATGGACCACCAGGAGAAGTGCCTGTCCCAGCTCTACCACCACATGCCAGAGGGGCTGACGCCCTTGGCCACACTGAAAAACGACCAGCAGCGCCGACAGCTCGGTAGGTGCCCCACTTTATGCCAGCTCGTGCTGCTCATGGACAGCCCTGATCTCCTGGCATAGCAGGGCTTCCAGAGCCATGTTCTTGGGGTGCTCTGAGAGTGCCAGGCCTCCCAGTGGTTCACTAGTGGCCTCTGCTGTCCTCATGTGGGAGGACACGGTGCCACTGCTTTGTCACCAGGAACACTTAAGGACTGGTGATAAATTATCCTGGTGTGGTCCCTACTGTGTTTCAGTGTCCTTCCTTATGCAAACCCAGCTTCCTCCAGCCCCTTCACCTGCCCACCCACGTGGATTCCCTGTGTCTGTGTCTGCATCTCCATTCCCTTAGGTGCATAATCCAGAAACCTTAGACTCTTCCCTGGTCTGTCTTAGCCCCACTCACCCCACCTGGAAGGCGTACACCAAGTCCAACCCATGGGTGCTCCCTGGGGACGGGTGTGCTACAGTCCTCTTCCTGCAGCTGATGGAGTAGCCATGCAGCAGGCCCCGCTCATAACTGGCCTTCCTGTTTCCCTCTCCTTTCAGAGTCTGACTGCTCTCTGCTCACTCCCTCCCGGTCTCCCTTCTCACAGAGTCCTGATCCCACACTGATGAGCTCAGACATGACCTGCCTTCTCCCCACTCCGTCTGACCTCGTTCCCTATCCCATCGCCTTCCAGCCACATTCCTCCTCGTCCTTTGGACTCCAAAGCCTGCTGCTGCTGCTGCAGGACGCTGACCCTCGCTGCCGCTCCTTTCAGAAATGCTCTTCTGTCGCTTCCCTTCAACTGCTCCTGTACTTCCTCCAGCGCAAAAGGCTTCCCTGCTCCCCATCACAGACAAGCTACTCCCATTGCCACAGCCTTCTCCTGCCTCCATAGCCTCACCTGGTCCCCCGAGGTATCTGCTTGTCAGCCCCTAGCGTGCAAATCTCCATCAGGAGGGGCACCTTTTGGTGCATCAATATCCCCTGGGGCATATGGCAGGTAGCTGATGATGACCATTCTGTGGCCACTAGGAAGCATATGGCACATGCATTTCCGGGCCAGTCCTGGAGAAAGCAGAAGGTCCCCCTCCTTGAGCTGACCCCTCATGCCCTTGCACAGTGCCCGATCCACTCACACCATGACCCGGGTGGTGGTTTTCCATCTGCAGGAAAGTCACACCTGCTCAAAGCCATCACCCTCCACGAGGAATCGGTGAGAGAGGCCAGCCTGTGCAAGAAGCTGCGCAACATCGAGGTGCTGCAGGAAGTGCTGTCGGTGGCACACCAGCGCTCCCGGCTCAAGTACGCCCAGTACCAAGAGGACGATGACCTCCTGACCCTCGTCGACGCTCCTGACATTATTTGTGAGTGACCCAGGCTGGTTGCTGTGGTGTGGGTACCTGTGTTGGGTGCAGCGTATGCCCCACGTGAGACGCAGGGGTGTGCTTAGCTGGACCCCGACTGCATCTGCTGCATGTATGTTGGGCCCTGGGAGGGCCATACTGGGACCTGGGTGCTGTGCCCACCCTGGAGTTTTCTCTTCCAATTCCCAACATTGGAGGTTTTCATCTTCATTGACATGCTGCAGCATCTGATCACTTCCTGCCCTCACTCCTCCTCTAGGCACCTGCCTTCCTACAGCTGTCCTCATCTGCTTGCCTGCACCCAAGCTCCTTCTGGGAAGCCCTTTGCTGACTGTTCTTGAGCAGTTCCATCCAGCACCCTAGTATTTTCTAGGGAGTTACTCTCTCCAGTGTGCTCGCTGCAGATCCCTCTCTATGGGATCTCATGGCGTGGTGGGGTTCAGCCATTGCTGAGTCAGGAGCCCCCTGATGTCCTTGCCTAAGTCCCGCAGCCCGGACGTGTCCCACTGCCTTCTGGGAAGCTGCCTTTGACCTCTCACTTCCTACTTTGAAAGCAAAGGTGTCACAATTCCCTCTCCTGCACTTGTTCTTCGTCCCCTTTGCTCCCTCTTTGGTCACCACCTCTTCTAATCATGTCCCAGGCTGCATGTGCTGTTGGGTGTGAGGTGAGAGTCAGGGATGCAGTGGTGAACTGGGCAGTGTGTGCTGTCCTGGGGGAGGTGGTAGCCACTGCAGCCGGGGGACTTTCCCCAAAAAGGTGGCTTTGCAGTGAGGCATGACTAAGGTTTTTCCAGAAATTAGGGAGGGGAAGGAGAGAGGACTGCTCAGTCAAGGGAACCCCCTGTGTGCAAAGCCCCCTGAAGATGTAGTTTGAAAACTGAATTCAAACTCCATTTCTCAAATGGAGCACTCACTGCACAGTGATCTTCAGACACAAGTTGTGTGGGGTTTTTCCCCACACACCAGCTAGCATGTGAGTCTGCAGTGGGCACCAGATGGCAGCCATCCTCTAGTCTGACTCAGAGCTGGCACTGGGCAGCTGGAGACAGCTTCAGATTCGTCTGGCTGGGGGCTCGGTTCCCCTGACTGAGCATCCCAGCCCCACCCTGCATGGCCTCTGCTTCTTTGCTCGGGACCGATGGGCTGTGAATTGGAGATTCCCACAGTCCCCTCTCTGAGTTTGATTCGTTTGCTGGAGCAGTTCACAGGACTCCAGGAAACACATTTGGCAGACTGTAGTCGTGAATCTTGCACAGGATACAGAGGAAGAGGTGTGTAAGGCGTGGTGTGGGGAGCCGTGTTGGGGGCTTCCAGGCCTACCGCCATCGCTCCTGCCCCTGTGTGCTACGCTCCAGAAGGTCTCTGAACCCTGACCTTTGGCGTTCTGATGGAGATTTCGCTGCACAAGCACAACTGAAGCACGGACAACCGTGCAGAATTGTGATGAGAGAGAAGGGGGCTGGGCTAATGCTGCACTCAGCATGGGTTTACCCAGTTGGCCTGTCTGTCCAGACTCTCCTTGGCCTCTCATTGGTACTGCTGCTGCCTCCTCCCAGGTATAGGGCAGAACCTTCTGGAAGAACGAGGAGGGTCTTAATGACCTTCTCTTGGCAAAGCTTGATTAGAGCATCTTTCTGGCTGGCACCCAACAAAAAAGGTGGGGGCAAGTTAACAGGTTCTGTGACTGTCTTCAGGGAAGGGAAACCCTAGGTTCTATGACCTGCATTGGGGGAAATTCTTAGCTAGGAACTGGACAAAACCCTCTCTTACTTACTTCCTCTCGCCTGCTTGCTACCCCTTTGTGTCCATCTTTGGTGTCCCATCCTGGAAGATTTTCAGGGAACAGCTTAGAGATAGCCCTGCTCTAGCTAGAATCCCAGATGTTAGCCATTTGATGTTGGCATTGTTAGCCAAACATTTGGGATCTGCTGGGTGCCTCAGTTGGCACAATCTGTGTACAGAATTTCCCCATGCTGAGGGAGGTCCTGGTATTTCCTCAGCTAACCAGATGAAGGCTTAGGGGGATCCAGGATCCTGCCTCAGATGACCACGTGGGTAGGTAGCAACAGGAATGGTGTTCACTAATACAGAGTTGGGTGACATGCATAGTTCCAGCAGCAGATGAGCACCTATCTGGACCCAGCCTGTGTTTGGTGGCTTGTTAAACACACAAAGCATTGTCTTGCGGGTAGAAGGCTGTGATGGTCTTGGTGGTACTGCTGATCCTCCCTTTACTTGCCTTGTGCACTGCTATTCCCATACAGTCAGCCAGCTCTGGGACCCTGTGTGAGTCAGCAACGGCCTTCAGGTTAGAGTGAGCCGCAACTTGCAGGGGAGACGCTATGGAGAATCTACACTACTGTTGGATATGACTTCACAAACCCAGTACTCACTGTGAGGCCTTATATATCAGAGGTGACTATTACACACAGGGAAGCACCTTGTGCCCCAGGCCTACGTGCACCCAGGGGCAATACCTTCCTTAACAGTCATGCCCAGGAGGGTTTTGTGAGGGCTAAAGGAAATTGATTGGAATATCAGAAAGCTTCTCTGACATATGGAGAAGGTGTCTGGTCAACACTCCTGTGTTCCAGCCTCAGGACAAGTTGTGGCTCATTCCCAGGTGGCAGGTAGCATTCGTGCCTGCCAGGGGTTGAACACTGCTCCATCCTCTGTACTAGATCTGTCTAGAACCAAGGGTGGGGAACCTCTGTCTGGCCAGGGGCCACTTGAATGGTAATGAGATTCCATGTGTGCCACACTCAATTTCCAACTTAAAAACAAGCCACCTGGTGTAGATGTGTTGAATCTCAGGTTCCTCCTGTGGATTCCTGAGCAGAACCAGAAGGCAGGCTGCCCCGGGCCAGATGCTCCCACCCCAAGGCTGGACTAAGAAGGACAGGTGACACAGAAAGTCCTGATTCCTTGTCCCAGTACAGAGCTGACTAGAGACCTGAGCTTTCCAGGCTCGCTGTCAGTCACAGAAACATTTATCCTTCGGCTCTTGGTCTGTTTTTTTTTGTAGCTAAGACCCAGCAAGAGGTTGAAGTCATATTGCCCCAGTTCTCCAAGGTGACAGTGACAGACTTCTTTCAAAAGCTGGTATGTTGGATGCTTACTTTATGAATGGCCTTAGGGGAAAACTCTAAAAAGTTTGGAGAAAGTTGCTTCAGTCAATGTGGGCTGCTTTCACCAAGAATATGTGTGCGAGGTAGTTCATGAGCAGCAGTCATTCATTGGCCAGAGTTCTGGAGCCCGGGGAGCCCCAGGTCGAGGCGCTGACAGGTTTCGCATTTGCAGAGGGCCTGCCTTGTGGCTCCCCGATATACCTTCTCCTCATGTGGTAGAAGCAGATGAGCTACTAGAAGCCTCTCTTCTTTGTTTTCATCTCTTTTTGGGGTTAAGTTTATTTATAAAAAACAAGTAGATTTCACATGTTTTGCAATGCAGATTTAAAAGCATTGGGGTTCTTCTCTTTCTTCTCCCCCTCCTCCATCCTTTTTTCCCTTCCCATTACTATTTTTCCCCAAATTATTACAATGGCATATTCATTCAATTTAGCGGAACATGTTTAACTTTCCAATATATAAAGGTATTATGACATAGTAAGTAGGAAAAAAAAGGCATAAAATAAAAGTGGAAATTCTACTGTAATTCAGGACTATAGACATAGGCTGTCCACAAGTTAATTTTTAGTATGATTAATAATCTTAGAGATTCCTTTGTGTGTGTGCTCAGTGTATATTAGTCGTTGCAAATCAGAGAAAGCAAATTTATTTTTTGGAGACTGGCTTATTTCACTAAGCGTATTTGTTTCCAGCTGGATCCATTTTTTGCAAAAAATAAGATTTCATTGTTTTTTATGGCTAAGTAGTATTCCGTGTGTGTGTGTGTGTTTCTCCAATCATCAGTTGATAGACTACTGGGTTGGTTACATATCTTAGTTATTGTGAATTGTCCTGCTATAAACGTGGGGTTATAGTAACCCGCTCATATGCAGATCTCATTTCATTTGGATTGTTTCCCACGAGTGGGATGGCTGCTGGGGCATATGGTAAATCTGTTTTCAGGTTTCTGGGAAATCTGCATAACTGTTTTCAATGGTTGCCCTGGTTGACATTCCCACCAGTAGTTGATCAGGGTACCTTTTCCTTGCACCCTCACTAGCACTTACTGTTTTAGCTTTCTGCATGATAATCATTTTCACTGACTGTGCTTTATATTTGCATTTGGGAGTTTCTTTTCTAAAAAGTCATGCCTCTCATGCATGAGGGTGAACCCTCATCACCTCCAAAGAATCTCTGGTTTCAGCAGAAGCATTTTGGAGGGGACACATTCAGACATCCTCCCCAGGCCCTGGCTCACGGATCGTGTCCAGAACACATACTGCAGGACTGCCTGCTGCCGCTGTGTTGAGGTGCCCAGGATTGGGCCTGCCTGTCCCCTGTGGCAGAGCTAGGGAGGGCAATTAGGAGTGCAGGCATAGTCTTCCCGGCACACATCAAAAGCAATTGATGTCTATAGAATGTCTTCGAGAGCGTGGTGGTTAAAGTTGTTGTATGGCTGTTGTGCGTGTGTTAACCCACATGCTGTCATCATTCCCTGAACAAGGCCATGAGGCCCTCAGAGACACCAGGCAGAGGTCCCTTAGCGTTCACTTGTCTGCTTCACCTGCAAATCCTGCAGCTCATAATGCTGTCTTCCTCAGGGGCCCCTGTCCGTGTTTTCAGCCAACAAGAGGTGGACGCCTCCTCGAAGCATTCGCTTCACCCCAGAAGAAGGGGACCTGGGATTCACCTTGAGAGGGAATGCCCCTGTTCAGGTCCACTTCCTGGATCCCCAGTGCTCTGCTGCGGTAAGTGGGCACCTTTGTATGTTGGGCCACGTGTGTTCACTGGCAGCTTTGCAGAGTTGGGCTGGGAGATAAAAAGGAAGCAGCCCAATCCATGTATATATATATATGTGTGTGTGTGTGTGTGTGTGTGTGTGTGTGTGAGTGTCGCTGGGAGGAAGGTGGTTCAATTTGGGGTTCATCTGTGTTAGAGGCCTGGCTTTATGCAAAAGGACTCATAGATGCTATGTCCAAACAAATAAAGGGTTACGTTTTGGCGCCGTTGAAGCAAATTTATGCAAACTCCCACTGTACTCATGAGTTTACTTTCTCTGTTGTTCTGCTTTTTAAATAAAGAAAAATGAATAAATAAAAATAAATAATGATTTTTTTTCTTGTGGTGGGGGATAGCTGGCAGGAGCCAAGGAAGGAGACTATATCGTTTCCATTCAAGCCGTGGATTGTAAGTGGCTGACCGTGAGCGAGGTTATGAAGCTGCTGAAGGGCTTTGGCGAGGAAGAGATTGAGATGAAGGTTGTGAGCATGCTGGACTCCATGTCATCCATGGTGAGTGCTGGGGAAGCCCTCACCCTGGCAGTGAATGCTGGTACAGACTGAGACCATGTCAGTTCACCCGCCGAGGGCTGTGCCCTCTGCACACAGGATGTGGGACGCAAGACTAAACTCAAGCTTGTCGTCACTGAAATGCGCTCCCTAGGAGTCACAGACATGACCAGAGAACGTCTCTTTTTGTAACCCTGGAGGCAAAATGCTTAGTTGATTGATCTGTTTTTCTGGTTGGATTTTGTTTCATTACCAAAGTGTCCCCCTCTGTATCCCACAACTGTTTCCTGTGAGATCTTTGCAGGTATTTGATCCTCTGCAAGTTCATGTGCCCAGCGGCATCCTTTACTCTTTCCAGCATGGGAGGAATCAGGCTGTAGGTTCTGCACTTCTGCACTTTGCCATCCTTAGATATCATCTGTGCTGTTCCCTAGGCACTGCCCTGTATAACGACATTCGTGTTGATTCATTCAGCAAATATTGATTGGGCATCAGCTGTGTGCCAGACACCCTTGGGCTTTGGAGTTCCAACCTGGACTAGCCAGTTGAAATCCCTGCCCCCAGTGAAGCTGATGCTAAATCAACAAAGAAATAGAGGTGCTTTTTGACAGGTACACAAGGAAAGAATGTGATGGAGGAGGATGCCTGCGGCTGAGGGGGCGTGGGATGGGGAGGAAGGCTCTGAGATAGGAGTGGTGAGAAAGAAGGGAGCCTATCGAACAGGGAGAAGGGCAATTGTGAGACACAGGGACCCTGGGACAGGACAGTTTCTGGAGAAGTTAAAAGGAGGGCTTCCAGGGAGGGGAGGGCAGGCAATGTGTCGTTAGCAGTGCTGGGCTGTGGAGGCCATCGAGCTGTGTAAGAAGGGAGCTGGCGTCTGGTTCTTCTGTCTGGAGGCTGGCTGTGGTGGTTGCCCAGCCTGGTGCTGTTGATGGCTGAGACTAGGAATGGCAGAGAGAAGTGGATGCACCCGAGGTGCCACTAGGAGGTAGAGCTGACAACAATTTACATAAAAAGATGGTCAACAGGGAGAGCCTGCTCCAGTGCTTGGCTTCAACCTCTGCATTTATTCATAATTGGGCAGGGAAAGCCCGTGTTGGAGCGAAGAGGGAAGAAGAGGGAAGAAGGGGAAGGAGAGATCCAACCAGGGTTGTGCTCTGGGCATTTCTGATGCTGTGGCCACTCTGGTGTCACTGTGGAATAGGCAGTGGGGCGTTCAGATCTTCAGGGCGAGAAGAGAGAGTCGTCAGCATAGAGATGATACTGAAACCTGGATGAAGTAGAATCACCTATGAAGCAGCAAATGATAAAACCCAAGTTTCCTCAGATGTCCTACCTGAACCCACATACATAATCCTTTCCAAGTTTGTAGGGCATGTTGTGATGGGGCAAGTTTCAGTTAAGGAAGAATAGAATTCTAGAGGTGGATGGTGGTAGTGGCTACACAACAGTATCAGTGTGCCTAACACCATGGAACTGTGCACTGAAAATAGCTAAATTGGCTTCATGCATTTTGCCACAATTGTTTTACAAATAGGGGGAAGTTAATATCTTCCTCAAGGATTCTGTGTTGTCTTTAAAGAGAATGAGCTTGATCTGTACCACACTGATGTGGGCTGATATCCAATGCTAAGCAGAGAAAGCAGAGAGCAGATCGTGTGTAGTTTTTTTTTGTTTTGTTTTTTGTTTCTTAGTATTGCTTTTTTATGACACATGGAGCTTTTTTATGACACTAGCATTGTGACACAGTGGGTCAAGCTGCCACCTGGAATAATGGCATTCCATGAGTGCCAGTTTGAGTCTCTGCTGCTCCACTTCTTTTATATATTTTTCTTTATTGTTATTTTATTTTGATCTTTACATTGTTGATTATAATGCAAAGGGTCAAGGGCTACAGGAAAGTAGGTAAGATCATTGTTTCCACATTCTCTTTTGTGCTTCCTGTACCTGGGGGGAGGGGAGAGATAAAGGGAGAAGCCACACTCAGCCTCCCAACCATCCCAGGGTCCCCGATGCTCTGAGGGTCCTCCTACTCAGGTAGTTTCGATAGTTCAACAGTTCTGAGTTGCTGCCAGCCTTGCCATTCCAAGCACAATAAAATCTCTTCAGAATCCACTGTCTGACATAGTCCACCATAGAGTTTCCGTTTGCCCAGATTTTTGCTGCCAAGACTTGGCTGGGGTAGTTGATTGATTTGTTCTGTCCTCTGTCATGGTACCAGATGTCCTCTGCAGGTTCCAATGTACTGCCATATCCTCCATGTCTACTGCTCTGTCTGAGCCACTGAAGAGGCCCAGCCCTGACACATGCACTCCATGGTCAGACCATGGATCTTGCAATTCTCTTCATGGCTGGGGTTCTGAGTCCAGCAGTTCAGTTTCGGGGGGTCTCCAAAGAGGCTTTGTCTGAGATGATCCCAGATCTTATTCTTGTATGTGTTTGCCAGTACAGGATCTGGCACAGTCTGTCGCCCCAATCATCTTATGCACATGATGGTGGTTGTAATTGCTGGGTCAGTTCTGCCTCCAGCCCTGTCTTCTACACAAACCAGTAGGTGTTGGAGCCCAGCCCAATCCTGCCCACCACACACATTTGCCCTCATGGAAACCAGTGGGAGCTGCAGCCTAGTCGGTTGCTGCTTCATTTCTGACCCAGCTCTCTGCTAAGGCATCTGGGAAAACAAGGGAAGATGGTCCAAGTACTTGGACCCCTGCACCCACATGGGAGACCTGGATGGAGTTCCTGGCTCCTGTCTGGCCCAGCCCTATCCATTGTAGTCACTGAGGAGTGAAACAGCAGATGAATGATTGAAAAATTTTTTTCACTCTGCCTTTTAAATTTTTTTTTTAAGATTTATTTTTATTGGTAAATCAGATTTACAGAGAAGGAGAGAAAATCTTCCATACACTGGTTCACTCCCTAAGCAGCCACAACAGCCGGAGCTCTGCCGATCCAAAGCCAGGAGCCAGGAGCCACTTCAGATCTCCTATGCGGGTGCAGGGTCCCAAAGCTTTGGGCCATCCTCTGATACTTTCCCAGGCCACAAACAGGGAATTGAATTGGAAGTGGGGCTGCTGGTACACAAATTGGCAGCTAGATAGGATCGTGGTCCATGCAAGGTGAGGACTTTAGCCACTAGGGCTACCGTACCGGGCCCCCTTTAAATAAATTTTAGGAATAAAAAATGAAGAACAACAGTCAAGTGTACTTACATTCTTGTATATGCGCATTACTTTAGAAACACAGCCCTTAGGTCAGAGGAAGGGCCTGGAAACCAAGGTACTGTTCACTGTGTTTCATTACTGTGTGGAAACATACTTTGAAATGTTCATGGAAACTGGAATTAAAAGTTTTATTTTCCTGCAGAAATGGCTTGAGGCATGCATAGTTTTCTCCTGAGAAGCATCCTTCACGACAGTTCTTAAGGCCTGTCTCTTACGGGATTTCAACTTTTTTTTGCACTGAAACAAATGTACCTTTGAAATCCATTTCTTGTAAACTTTCTGAAGTCCCAGCGTGCATCTCTAATACCCTCTTTGTTCCTTTTCTCCACGCAGCACAATAAGTGTGCCACGTACTCCGTGGGAATGCAGAAGACTTACTCCATGATCTGCTTAGCCATCGATGACGATGATAAAACTGACAAAAGCAAGAAAATCTCAAAAAAGCTTTCCTTTTTGAGTTGGGGCACCAACAAGAACAGACAGAAGTCAGCCAGTACCCTGTGCCTCCCGTCCGTTGGGGTGGCCAGGCCTCAGATCAAGAAGAAGCTTCCCACTCCCTTCAGCCTCCTCAGCTCCGACAGCTTTCTCTACTAACGGGAGGAAAGCAAATGGCAGACGCAAAGTGTTTCCAAGCGCTGACTCGGCCCTCATCTGTGCCAGGATGGAAAATATCAACAAGAGTCTCATTTTCTGTGCCAGCTTGCACTTGATGTGTTTTTATGAAGGAAGGCAACAAGAAACCTCTGGAAATTTCTGGAAAACAAACCTATCGGAGGAATATCACTGTATTGCCACAGTTTATTTATTACATGTTGTAAATAGAATAATGTTGACATTAGGCTGTTTTTAACGGTTTGCAGTAGTAACTGTAGTCCCTGCTAGTTAAATTGGAGTTACGTATGTTAGTGCTGTTTTAGTTTCCAGGTTTGGGTAACGGCTGTTCCCAATCCTAGAATTCAGATGATCCCTGACTGAAGGTAGGCCAAAAGGCTCTAACCACAGCCTAAATTAGTGTTACAAAGAGCTGTTCCAACCAGCTGCTTCTTAAAGGGACTTCATTAACCTGATTACTTCTACATAATATGAATGCTTTTACCAGATAGTCAAGTGCCAAATTTGTCTTGACTGGTTCAGTTTTGGAACAGGTTTTCTCCTACAGTTTGACGTCCTTCAGGAGTTGCTAACACAGTGGCAGTGTTAGGTGAAGATGCTGTCTACAAGGTAGATTACTATACTGTTTGATACTCAAAACATTTCTTTTGTTTAAAGCAGAAAATACTAAATTATATATTTTAAGAGTTTGGTATAAAAAGTACTTTTGCTTTTTCTAAGATGTAAATGATTCAAGTTTATAGTTCTCTTTGACCTTTAGAAATCAAATTTTTACGCACTGCTTTCTCTTGCTTACGGTGGATGATACTGTGACTCTTTGAGTCCCTGTTGACATAGTGCAAGTTACATAGGGTAAAGAAAAACAAAACAAAACGAGCATTGAAATCTAAACCTGAGAATTAACAAGGGTTTAAGTATTTTCTGTTGTGCAATATTTTAAGGGAAACAACTGCCTTTGGGCAAATGTGGTCATAGCTCCTGGGTTAAGTCTGAGTAAATAAACACATTGATTTATCTGAGCTTATCTTTTTGACTTTTATTTCACTTTGTCTCCTCATTTCAAATCCCTTCTACCTTGATGCACACAATGTATTTGTGTCTTTAAAAAAAATCACTAACATTTTATAAAGCAAATGAGCTTTGGAGTTAAATTTTTGAAGGAGCAGTGGATGCCTAGCCCACAGCGCCCCTCAGTGGATGCAGCTGGCTCTGTCATTTTCTAATGCTTCCTCCTGTTGTTGGGCCATATGTGCATTTCATAAAAACATATTCTTGGTTTCTTCAGACATATCAATTTTGCATCTTCACACGGGAACCACAAGTCTTCTGTGTTCACATACCCATTGATGATAAACAAAACATATGGCTACTTCAAAACAAACAGCGCAATGGGAAGGAAGGAGCTGTGATACCCTTGTTTATTTACATTGGCAGCAGCAGCCCTGAGCCAGGATAGCAGTCTGGCACAAGAGGCTGGCCGTACATAGTGCCTTTAGCTGGTCACACTTGCCACCTGAACGTTCCCCAAGACCTTTCCATGACGATGCAGCTCACAGTCACTCACTGAAATCTCTTGTGCTCGACATTTTGCTGAGAATGAAAGTCATGCAACTCCCACAGCAAAGCCAGGCCCTTTTCATCTTCGCAGAAGGAGGGCAGTACCACCTCCGGGCCCCATGTCTAAACCCAAACAAGAGGCAGGGCAGTTCACAGGCTCACTCAGGTTTACTACGAAGGTGGCATTCTGTTTTCGTCTTAACTGCTAAATTTATTTCTTTGAAAACCTCAGAGAGAGACAAAGAGATCTTGCTGGGTAGGGCTGTGTTAAAGCCAAGAGACAGGAACCTCCATATGGGTCTTCCTTACGGGTGGCAAGCATCCAAGTAGTTGGGGCCATCCTCTGATGCATCCCGGGCACATCAGCACGGAGCAACCAGCACACAAACAATTCTGATGTAAGATGTTGCCTTCCCAAATGGAGGCTTAACCTGCAATGCCATGGCACCTGCCACTCCTCTCACACATGCAATGCTATAGCTTGTGATCTGAAGGGGAAAACATGGCCATTCTTCACCTGGCCTGTGTGAAGAAGGCATGGATTTGCTGTGCCACTGCCTGTCCAACGACCGGCTCCAGTTCTGGGATGGAAGCATTACCCAGCTGTTGGAGAGTGGGGAACTTCTGGAGCAGCAGGGAAGCTTTAACTTTTCCAACTCCTGGGATCTGTTGCACAGTTCGAAGGAGGTAGGGCTCAGACAGCAGAGTCCGTTTCTTTCTGAGGAAAGGGTTCTTATTAGGCTCCTTGGCTTGCTCTTGAACCTGAATCAGAAATTAAAGCAAAAGCACATGAGTGCCCTCTGGAGGCACTTAATATTTGCTTCAGTTTGACCCAAGTGTCTTAAGGCAGATTTCAATGAGCTGAATGGCTACAAAAGTTCTTATATACCAAGTTTTCAGTCATCAGCAAGAATAATGAAAGATGATCCATGAGACTATAGAGAATAACACAAAGACTGGTGATAAAAAAAATTTTTGGGGCCCGGCGCGGTGGCGCAAGTGGTTAAGTCCTCGCCTTGCACGCCCGGGATCCCATATGGGCGCCGGTTCTAATCCCGGCAGCCCCGCTTCCCTTCCAGCTCCCTGCCTGTGGCCTGGGAAGGCAGTTGAGGACGGCCCAAAGCTTTGGGACCCTGCACCCGCGTGGGAGACCCGGAAGAGGCTCCTGGCTTCGGATTGGCATAGCATCGACCCGTTGCGGCTCACTTGGGGAGTGAATCATCGGATGGAAGATCTTCCTCTCTGTATCTCCTCTCTGTATATCCGCCTTTCCAATAAAAAATAATAAAAATAAATCTTAAAAAAAAAAAATTTTTGAAAATCCAAGTCTTTAGAATGTTTTATTCTAAATTACTCCTGAGGGATCCAAACACTCCTATGGGCCATTCTGGAAATGCAGGATAAATGAGAATACCTGAACTAGATCTGCTTTATATAGGACCTGCCAGAACTTGCCAAGCAAAGGAGAAACTGCTTTCAGTGAGTGGTCATAACAAGAATGGTAACACTATTTTATGGAAGGGCATTAGGAACAGCGAAGCAAGAGGTAAGGTGGCGAAGGAACCATGAACCACACAGGGCTGCATGCATCTCCAATTTGTTTCCAACTCAAGCTGCACAGCAGAGGGGGAAATTTAAAACATACAAAAAACAAACAACAAAAAAACCAAATGCCCGGGCTGGCCCTAACTCTTCCCCTCTTCTGAGTTTTAATTGATCAGAAATAAGACTCATTTATGTTTTTTTAAAGCTCCCAAGGAAATCCTAATACACAATGCAGCTGAAGAACTCAGAGCATCAGACGGACAACTTGGTGTGTTGTTAAAGTAACGCTGAGAGAAACCTGTTCATGGATGCTTAGTGAAGGATGTGTGGGGAGGAGGCAAAGCAGCTGCCAGGTGGCATGTTTAGCAGCAGGACGGTGACTGAGGGGTGTTGCCGGGTGACAGCTTCACCAGCAGGATGGTAACTGACTGCTGTAATCCGATGGGTGCAGATGTCTGGGAGTTTAAATCAGGTTGTCAACTGGTTGGCTTTGTGATACAACTGCCTCACGTGGGGGCATGCTCAGCCAGCCAGAGAACTAAAATTCCTCAAAATAGTTTTATAGACACTAACCCAGTGGATGGCATGGATGGATGGGTTGCAATGGGAGGAGGGACTGCTGCTGGCATACTGGTGAGCTGGGTCTCCAGGAGCAGGGACCGGTACTTACTAACTGGACAATGAGGCAGGAGGCTTCCAGCTGGCTGGCCACCGGGAGCAACACCATCCCAAGGTCCAGCACCGTGAACTTCTGTACGGCCGGGAAGTATTGTTCACTCATCGGTGTCTTCTCAACTATCACAATCCCTTTTAGGTTACTGGACTGCAAAAAAACAAAACAAAACAAAACAAAACAAAACAAAAAAACCAGAGTGGACCCCTTTATAACAAAATCCCTTCAAGGTGGGGAAAGTTATGGTTTGGGATTGGCCAGGGGTTTCCTGTCATTCCAAGGGGAGGAGGTGTGGGATACAAGGGATTGTTCCAGTTCTTTCGTCCCCTACTTACGTTTCTAACCCGAACAAGCCTCTTTCTGTAGCTGTTTCCTGCCACCAAATCAGCTTCGGTGATATAAAGGATGCCAGCTCTGTTAGAGAGGTAAAAATCTACCGGCGCCACGCCATCCTCAAACACGAGCTTAATTTTCCCTTAAAACACACAGGACAGAAAATAAGTTTGGACGTGAAAGGTGCCAGCAGTACGCTTCGGTGTGGGGACGGAGAGGGGCGGGGGCTCACCTTGTATCTCCTGCGCCAGCTGCGACCCCCGCCATTTCTCACTGGCTACGACATATCCAAAAGGCACGTGCACAGCACCCGCACCTTCGGGGGCGTTCCCTTGCATCGGTGGTCTCGATCTGAGGAGGGCAACGCAGACGGCACTGGAGCTTGGCTTGCCTTTCGCAGCCCCGCGTGCCATTAAAAGCCCGAATGTTCAGTGTCCCCTCCACGCTTGAACAATCGGCCCAAGTGTAAGGACCAACGAATCCCCGTCCCGCTGTCCGCGTGTCTCCCTTCTGTCACTTGCTTGGCCCGCGCCTCTGCTCTTCATGCCTGTCCGAAACCGGGTGGGAGCCGCCATAGCATCCTCCTCAGCTGCAGCCTGGGGGCTCCCTGACTACCCGAGGAGGCGTCACTTCCGGGATACGTCAGCCGCCCTCGCCCGCTCCCGCCCGCTCTCCACCCTCACCAGCGTGGGATAGGCTGTGCTGTCAGAGAGGGACACCCGAACTGGCCAATGAGAGGCCCGACAGCTCAGCCTCCGCTTCCACACTGGTGGAATTTGAATGGAAGAACTCGCCGGTTGCCACGGGTGACGGGGTGTGGAAGTAATCCTGGAGCTGATTGGTTCAGGAGGAAAGAGAGCCATTGGCCGTAGAGGTTTTTGCGAGGTCCGCTGCCAAGAAAGAGCGTCTGGAACTTGGCCAGAGGGAGCGGTCCGGGCTGTGGAGAAATCTGCTTGTAGGTTCAACCAGGAGCTAGCTGATCTCCCCCTCGGCAGCAAGGATGCTCCTGGGATTTCGGAGGGGCCACAAGGATCAGTTCGTGAGTAAACCTCGCTCGTGGTGCCGGGCGCTGAGGCGTGAGGGGGCTGGATAGGACTAGGTGGGACTTGGCTCGTGACTGAGGCAAGGCGGCGGTTCGGAAAGTTTTCGGTTCGGGATGCCCTGGGTTTTCGTGTCTGTTCGTTCCGGTGCCGGGGAGTTCTCGCCCGCTCGCACTGTTGCATCTCCCGGTGGGAGAGCAGTGCGTGGTTCCTCCGCCACGCCACGTTCACTCCTCTAGCAACACCTCCCAGTTCAGATGCACGGGCCCGCCCCACCTGCGCCGGCAGCCCCTTACTGCTTAGCGCACCTCACTGGTTCCTCTGCTCTCATTCTGATCTTCCGCTCTTCACGCAGCACCAAAATGCAGCTGTGAGTGTGTGCATCAACACTCAGTGTCACCGGTGCCACCTCCACCGCGCACGGGCTCCCCAGCCACCTGTTCTGTTCCTTCTGTCTTCGTGGCTAATGCGTACTGCAGAATTTATGCACCCCGTCTCATCTCTGACCCCCTGTGCTTTCCTGCTCTGTGCGGGCCCTGACTCCAATAATCCCGTGAAACACCCCCTCCCTTCTCTCTTCTACTACCCACTGATCCTGCCCAGCTTTAACCAACCATCAGCTCCTTACATCTCTACTTTGCATGTCTGAAGTCCCCCCCGATCTGGTCATCATTGTCATCGCTCTGCAAATACAGAGTCACCACTGTGTTAAAGACAGTTCTGAACTGCATTTTTAAGCCAGGCCAGAGAGCAGGTGCTTCGTTTTTACAGTGGGCATCATTGGAGGCAGGTGGATATAGAGAACCAGTGAAAACATAGCTGAAACCTGTTTTTGCACTAGAATTTTGCTGATGGAAGCCAGTACATTTATTGGGTTCTTATTCAGAGCAATAAACATGATGCTGCATTCTTATTTTCTAAGATTTATTTGTTTGAAAGGTAGAGTTACAGGCAGGACTGGGGAGGGGCAGAGAGAAATTTTCTGTCCAGCAGTTCACTCCCCAAATGGGCATAATGGCCAGAGCTGATCCGGTCCAAAGCCAGGAGTTTCTTCTGGTTCTCTCATGTGCGTGCAGGGATCCAAGGACTTGGGCTGTCCGCCACTGCTTTCCCAGGCACATTATCGGGGAGCTGGATGGGAAATGAAATAGCCAGGACTTGAGCATTCTGGCACCTCAGGTACGACGTAACCCCATGGCCTAGTGCCTGCGCTGTAATGCTGCGTTCTTCTGCTTTGCATGGATACGCACACTAACTGACAGCCCATGAATACAGATGCTCTTTAACTGTCAGATTATAGGCCACCAATTGGCAGTATCATCAGCTAATAATGCCTCATTACATCTAACCTGTTGAACACTGCAGCTTGGCAACATAGCACACAGTAGAGCATCCTTGGGCATCCTCATGACCATGTGGCTGGGAACTGTGGTTTGTGGCTGCTGCCCAAGACCTGCAGCAATGATCTCACAACATTTGTTAACCTGGAAAAAGATGAAAACTCAGGATTTGAAGTACTGCTTCTACTGCATGTGGGTTGCCTTTACACCACTATTTAGTTGAGAAAACACAGGGCAGAAACTTCTAGTGGTTAAGATGCCCAGGTCCCACAGCGGAACGCATGAATTGAAGGCACCAACCTGATGCTAACATAAACCCTGGGAGATGGCAGTGATGGCCAAATTAATCATTTTACTTCAAAGCTACACTGAAAGGAAAATTGTGAGTTGAACCATTGTAAACTAGTTCTGTCTGTAATCGTTGAAGATCTGGTGCTTCGAGAGTGTGCAAGAGAACTGCAGGTGGAGAGGACCTGAAGGTTGGGAAGTGGTAGGCAGCTCTGAATGCTAAAGCATGGAGGTATGTGTAGGAAGAAAGAGCAGGTAGCAAGAGATCAATCTGGATCCATTGGTAGGGACTGGCTAGCTGAGGCCTTCCATGCCGTGCTGACTGCTTACCTGTCATCAGAGGAGTGGTGCTGCTCTCTCTGAATCAAAGCCTTTCTATAATAGAATGCTCCTCAGCCCACGGTTCTATCCGCCCATCCCAGGTATGTCTGTACTCCAGCCAACTGGAGGACTCGTAGTTTCCATGGGCACCACCGCCCATGTCTGGTTCCATTCTTTTGTGCTTGTTAGTTCCCCTTCCATCATGTGTCCAAACAGGAGAGTGTCTTTGAAGGCCCCCATCTAAATACCTCTAGCGTTTCCTCCAAGCAGAATGTTGGAAGTCCACTTTGGCTTTTGTTTTGACCTCTCCTTTGGCACTTCCTGCAATCCTGGGCTCTGTTCAGGTGATTTCCCACTGTACCCACCCCCAGGAGGGGAACAAGCTCTCAAGGCATTCTGCCAAAAAATGAAGATTACGTTAAGCCTCCAACACTTCTGTGGCCCTCCGTCCCACCAGTTACCCGAGGCAGCGTGCTCTGACATCCGTTATTTATAGGAGCTGGTTTTTGTTGATCTATGTTTGGGAGAAGTCTGATTAAATCTGCTGGGCATGGGTGAAGGTGCCCAGGGGTAGAGTTTGAGGGCTGGTAGTGTAAAAAAGTCGCCTGCTTTTCAGAAAGTTTCCCTGTCCTGAAGAGGGAGGTATAACAGGAGAGACATCACTGGGGACAGAGCTGTGGGATGGGTGGACCGGCTAGAGTGCGACTCCCTGGCAGTGCTCAGGGAAGCTGTTCTAGGCATGGAGTGCCAAGAGGAGCCCCACTGTGGGTAGGGTAGCTAAGGTGCTGCCCACCTGCCAGGGCTCTACACTTGTTTGGCCAGGTGGGGATTGAGGCTGTGAGGGAAGAGTGGGTCTCCTGATGGGAACTGGATCCCTGGATCCCTGGTGGTCTGTTCCGGTGTCTCTGGCCAAGCCCTGGGGGAGGGGTAGTGCTGAGAGGGTCCAGGTGATTCCTTTCCGTCCCAGTGACCTTTGCTGGATTTCATTTTTCAGAAACACATCGTCCATGGCCTTCTCCCTGCAGCTAGCATCGCCCCAAAGCCGGCTGTGCCCCGCACACCTCCTCCCCGCAGTCCCAATGTGTCTCCGGAGAGACCAAGGTGAGTCCCAGTGGAGCTGCTCTGAGGGCCGGCCCTGTGCCCAGCCGCCAGGTCCTAGATCCGGAGAAGGGTTCCAGCCAGCCAGTGGCCAGTTAGGACAGTTAGAATCCCATGCTTTGGATTCTGAAGCATGGGCCTGTGATGTATGCCTCCATTCGTATGATGTGGACATGTTGTATAAGTGAATGCAATTCGTATTTTTCAGAATGTGAGTCAGTCAAGCCCAAATGTTCGGGTTAATAATAGTTCAAAGTGAATTTTGGGTTTCTGTGCATCATTTTCTTTACGTATGACCGTGTCTTTTTCTTTTTATTTGATTTCTTTTTATCGAAAAAGTAGATCAGAGTTAGAGATGAGTTAGAGATGAGGACAGAGGGTTCACTCCCCAAATGACCACAGTAGCCGGAGCTGAGCCAATGCAGAGTCAGGAGCCCAGAGCTTCTTCCAGCTCTCCTGTGCGGGTGCAGGGTCCCAAGGACTTGGGTCATTTTCAGTTACTTTCCCAGGCCACAAACAAGGAGCTGGGGTATGAACCAGTGCCCACATGGGATCCTGGTGGATGCAATGTGACAACTTAGCCATTCATTGAGCCATCGTGCTAGGCTCAAGCCTGTTCGTTCACTGCTACACCCATGATTCCCCTTCCTCTTGCGCTCCCATCACACCTCACATTCCTGGATGTACCTGAGAAGCCTGCTGTGTCCACCAAGATTTCAGACACACAATTTCAGGCTTTTTAAAATTTAGTAAATATTAAGAGAGCGGCAGACATTTGGCCTATGGGTTAAGACTCTGCACATCCCGTGTTGAAGTCGCTGGGTTTAATTCCCAGCTCTGGCTCTTGACTCCAGCTTCCTGCCAGTGTGGACCTCGGAAGGCAGTGGTGATGGCTCAGTAACAGCTTCCTGCTGCCCCCGTTGGGGGACATCTAGATTACACTACCTGGTCCCCACAAAAGTTGCTGACTTTTAGGGAGTGAACTAGCATTTGGGAATTCTCTCTCTGCTTGTGAAATAAATAAACATGGACACTTCACAGTGAATGAGAACTAACTTCAGCCAAGGGTATTATCTCCTTGTCAGTGTGGTTTGGTGCTGGAATCTTGTCCGCCTTCGGATAACAAACACTCTGAGATATTTTAGTGTTGGTCTTTTGCTTCCCTGCAACCTTGGTAACGAATAGCTGTTTAGGAATGTTTATTTTGTGTGAAGGACTCTGGAAAGTGTTTTTTTTTTTTAAACAGAACATTGTGTTTTTTGGGACCCATGAGAGAAGTCCTCTCAAGCGTTGGTTGCCGCTGCACAGTGTCAAGGCTGGCTGGACCAGTGGCCTTGCTGTGACATGGATGTCATTCTCTCCAGCAATTCAGTGTTTGTGTGAGCAACTTTTTGTGTTTCTAGATTTATTTACTTATTTGTTTGAAAGGCAGAATAATGGAGAGAAGGAGATAGAGAGTGATGGATTTTCTGTTCACTGGTTCATTTGCCCGTTGGCTGCAACAGCCAGTTCTGAGCCAGGCTCAAGCCGGGGGCGAGGAACGCCTTCCCGGTCTCCCGCATGCTTCATGTTCCACCACTCTCCTAGGCGCTTTACCAGGGGGCAGGTTTGGGAGCAGAGCAACTGGGACTCAGACTGGTGCTCCAGTCTGAGATGCTGATTTTATACGCAGTGGCTTCACCCACTGCCTTCCTACACTGGCTTCTACTGTTGTCTTAGATTTTAACTTTGCATATTGGAACTCTACCATATGTTATTAAGCAGTTTGTGCTTTAGGTGTTAGTTATCTAAAAGTAGTTTTGGTGAGGTAGAATATGCATAATACAGTGTGTGTTTAAAAAGCTTAATTTGGTACATTTTGACAGAGGTTTATACCTGTGAAAGCATGCTCACGTTCAAGATTGTAGGTGTGTCCATCACTCCCAAGAGATTTCTTGTGCCTTTTTTTTTTTTTTGCAGTTTCTCTATTCCACTTCTCTGTCATCTCATATTCCCTTGTTTTCTGTCCTTATACACCAGTTTGTATTTTTTAGAATTTTATTTTATTATTATTTTTTAAAGATTTATTTGGAGCCTGGCACAGCAGCCTAGTGGCTAAAGTCCCTGCATTGAACACACTGGGATCCCATATGGATGCCGGTTCTAATCCTGGCAGCCCTGCTTCCCATCCAGCTCCCTGCTTGTGGCCTGGGAAAGCAGTTGAAGATGGCCCAAAGTCTTGGGATTCTGCACCAGCATTGGAGACCCGGAAGAAGTTCCTGGCTCCTAGCTTTGGATCGGCACAGCACCGGCTGTTGTGTTCACTTGGGGAGTGAATCATCCGATGGAAGATCTTCCTCTTTGTCTCTCCTCCTCTCTGTATATCTGACTTTGCAATAAAATAAATAAATCTTTTTTTTTTTTAAATAAATAAATCTTAAAAAAAGATTTATTTGATTTTTATTGGAAAGTGAGATATACAGAGAGGAAGCTGTTCTCTATGCTGATTCACTCCCCAATTAGCCACAATGGCCAGAACTGCGCCAATGCCAAGCCAGGAGCCCAGAACCTCTTCCAGGTCTCCCACATGGGTGCAGGGTCCCAAGGCTTTGGGCCTTTCTTGACTGCTTTCCCAGGCCACAGGCTGGGAGCTGGATGGGAAGCATGGCTGCTGGGATTAAAACTGGTACCCATATGGGATCCTAGATGTGTGCAGGGGATCTGCTTTAGGCACTAGGCTACCTCGCTGGACCCTAGAATATTATATGCATGGAATTGAAATAATTAATTCTGCAGCCTGTATTGTGGTGCAGCTGGTTAAATCACCCCTTGTAACACCAGCATCCCATGTTGGAGTGCTGGTTCAAGACCCAGCTGTTGTGTTTTGATCCAGCTTTATGATTGCGTGCCTGGAAAGACAGTGAATGACGTAGCTACAGTCCCTGGGCCCTTGGCAGCCATGGAGAGGCCTGGACGGAATTTCTGGATACTGGTTTTGGCCTGGCTGTTGCAGCCATTTAAGATGAAAGATGAAAGCAGTTGAAAGATCCACTCTTTCCCTCTTTCCATCTCCCTCCTCTCCCTCCACATCCCTTCTCCCTGTCGCTCTTTCAAATAAATAAATCTTTCAATAAAGATTATTGCAGATTTTTTTCACTCAACATAATCCATATTGTGAAAGTCCATACCTCATCCGTTTTATTGCTTAATAATATTCCTTTATATGATATGCTGTAATTTACATATCCATTCTCTTTTTGATAAATGTTTGGATTGCATTTAACTTTTGGTTAATTTTCATGAACATGCACACACAAATCTTTGAATGTATGCTTCTGTTTGTCTTTGGTAAATGTCTGAGAATGAAATATTTGGAGTAATACATTACATCATTTATTAAGGAATTGATGAACTGTATCCCAGAGTTGCTGATGTATTTATGTTTGCACCAGCAGTATGAATTACAGTAATTTCATATCTTCACTGGCACTTTGGGCATTCTGTGGGTGTGGGTGTGGGGGTGCGTGTGTGTGTGGGGGGGTGATGTTAACTGTTAACCCCAACCAACCCAGAAGCCCCAGGAACTGCCCTGCTCATGGTCCCACCTCTTTACTCTGAAGCTAGTATAGGCTCAGTGGAAACACTCGATACTTCCCTTCTCCCTAAGTTCATGAAAATATTCTCAGGTGTAGATCTGGACATGTGTCCATCTGAGCCATCCGTAATGACTTCAAGAACCCTCAGGCTCAAGAGTTCTAGATTCCTGTGGGTCATGTTTTCCAGGCCCCTCGCCTTGGTTATCTTTCATTGGATGTAACATGTTATGCGTTTCACCTTGCTAAGGGCTGGAAGTTTTGTTTCGTTTTGTTTTGTAATCTTCTTGAACTTTGTTCTGGGATGTAGTTAAAATAACCTGGAAAGCTCTTGATCATCCAAGTGTTGCCCTTAGGATCGGTTCCTCTGGAACCCCAAAGCAGTGCTCAGCTCAGGCTAACTGTTCCGCAGAGCTGAGGCTGCGCCCTGCTGAGCACCGTGCTGTGAATGACAGCTCCTAACAGCTCTGTCCGACGGCAACAGACCCTGTCCAGCCCCATGTAAGCACCTGTTCCCTCGACTCCTTTTGGATGTTTTTTCCTCCGAACTCGGATCTTTTCCTCAGATGCATGCATTAAGGATTGTTCTGCTGAAAAGCCACGGGAGCCTGCTGTGGCTCTCCCAGGTTCTAGCACCGATCCCCTCTTTCCGGGACTGCTTCCTGCGTATCCTGTCTGCCTTGGTGTCCCCCGGCTCTGTTCTGTCTCTGCATCACAGAGAGCCCTCCTGGCTCCGCTTCAGTCCCCGCTTTATGCTCTGACTTGGAAATTCTCCCAGGCAGTTAGAGTGCTTGATTATATTTGTGTGTGTGTGTGTGTGTGTGTGTGTGTGTGTGCGCGCGCGTGTGTTTTAATTAGACAGAAAGGCAGATATACAGAGAGGAAGATCTTCCATCCATTGATTCGCTCCCCAAGTGGCCGCAACGGCCGGAGTTGTGCTGATCTGAAGCCAGGAGCCTCCTCCAGGTCTCCCAAGCAGGTGCAGGGTCCCAAGACTTTGGGCCGTCCTCGTCTGCTTTTCCAAGGCACAAGCAGGGAGCTGGATGGGAAGCAGGGCTGCAGGGATTAGAACCAGTGCCCATATGGGATCCTGGTATGTGTAAGGCGCAGACTTTAGCCACTAAGGTGAGGATGTAGGTCCCACTAAGAAGTTTCTTGAACATGAGGGAATGGAGTGACTTAGATGCTGAGGAGGGAGGGAAAGACTACTGCTCCAGGCCCTTGTGTTTTTTCTTTTTAGACAAGAGAGTTGATCTCTTGCTTTGTCTTACCTTTTTTTTTTTTTTTGACAGTTATTTTATTTGTTTAAAAGAAAGAGTTAGGGCCTGGCGGCGTAGCCTAGCGGCTGAAGTCCTCACCTTGAACACGCTGGGATCCCATATGGGCGCTGGTTCTAATCCCGGCAGCTCCACTTCCCATCCAGCTCCCTGCTTGTGGTCTGGGAAAGCAGTCGAGGACGGCCCAAAGCCTTGGGACCCTGCACCAGCATGGGAAACCCGGAAGAAGTTCCTGGTCCCCGGCTTCGGATCGGCATAGCATCGGCCATTGCGGTCACTTGGGGGGTGAGTCAGCGGATGGAAGATCTTCCTCTCTGTCTCTCCTCCTCTCTGTATATCTGACTTTGCAATAAAAATAAATAAATCTTTAAAGAAAAAAAAAAAAAGAAAAGAGAGAATGAGATGAACGAGCAGGATCTCTTAGCTGCTGGTTCACTCCCCAGATGGCTACAGTGGCTAGGACGGGGTTCGGCTGAGCCAGGAGCCAGAGCTTCTTCCAGGTCTCCCACAGGGATGCAGGGACTTAAGCACTTGAGGCAGCCTCTACTGCTTCCCCAGACATATTAACAGGGGACTAGACTGGAAATGGAGCACCTGGGATTTGAACCAGTGTTCAATATGGGATACTGGCCCCACAGGGGGCAGCTTAATCTTTTTTTTTTTTTGGTTTTAGAAAAATTTCAGGTGTTTTAAAAATGCCTTTTTAAATCTCTCCCCCCCACCCCCCCGTGCTGACCTTTCATTTTGATATAGTACATTGGGGTCTGATGACCTAAAATAGAGACCTGGTTCCTCCCCTATCAGGTAAGAAATCTTGCCAAGTTCTACGAAAAGAGGGATGACAGGAATATATCTTGATAGAATTGATGTGAGTACAGGAGTTGTCTGGTGGCGCCCAGACTGTGGGTACTGAGTTGGGAGGTGGTAGTAAACCCTAGAGGACAGAAGGCACCCCTCGAGCAATTACGGGGCTGAAGCCTTCCCCTGCGTCATTTCCTGCTTGGCTGGTGTCTCCACGGGCTGTTTCCGTCCGCAGGTCTGCTCTGGCTGCAGCCATCCTGGCCACAACATTGACCGGACAGACAGTCGCCATTCCTCAGCCTCGCCAGAGATCCCGGGGTGACAGCAACACGGTCTGTGCCGAAAAGGACAGCTACATCGAGCCCTACGCCACCCTCTCTGACCAGAGACTTCGGTAGGAATGAGACCTCGAGGGGAGAAGACGCAGCCCAGCATGGCCTCTGTGTGTGTGTGTGTGTGTGTGTGTGAGACGAGGGCTCAGGTTTTCCCCAGCAGCTGTCAAGGGCGCACTGCCCAGGGATGGTAATTGTCATGACTCTTGGGTCAGAGTTTTCTCTATAGCCACTTTTTTTTTACCCCCAGTTATGACTCGTGTTAAAAGCACCGATCCTTTCCATGGCAGGCGGAAGCCTGGTCTAGGAGCTTCATCCAGGTCTCCTGTGTGGGTGGCAGGGCCCCAAGCACTTAGTCCATGTTCTGCTCTCCTAGACCATAGGTAGAAAGCTGAAGTGGGACGTTTGGGACACACTGTGCCCATCCGAGATGTTGGTATCACAGCTGGTGGCTTTACCTACTATGCCACATTCGGGCCCCCTAAAGCACCCGTACAGCCCTTCATTAACAGGAGTATTTATAACACTGAAAATTGGAGGGGATTCCTTTTTTTTTATTATTATTTTAAGATGTGTTTATCTTTGTGCTCACTTCGGCAGCACATATGCTGAAAAAAGATTTACTTCTCGTTATTGGAAAGGCAGACTTGCTTATTGAGAAGGAGAGACAGAGACCATCCATCCACTGGTTCCTTCTCCAGATCGCCACCACAACCAGAGTTGAGCTCATCCAAAACCAGGAACCAGGAGCTTCCTCCGGGTCTCCCACTTGGGAGCAGGCGCCCAAGGACCTGGGCTGTCCTCCGCTTTCCGAGGAGGGATCTGGGTTGGAAGTAGAGCAGCCGGTTCTAGAACTGGTGCCCACAGGCAATGCTGGCACTGCAAACAGAGGATTAGCCTGTATGCCACCATACTGGCTCCATTTTTGTTTTTGTTTCTTTCCCTTTAAAACATGTACTATTTGAAAGGCGGCCTTTCAGTAAGGGAGGGACATCGTCTATCCAGTGGTTGATCGATCCTCCCCAAAGGGCCACAACACCCAGGCTGAAGTCAGTCCTGAGCCAGGATTCAGGAACACCTGGATGACAGGGTTGCAAGCTACTTGGGCCATCCTTGGCTGCTTTCCAGGGTTTCTTAGCAGGGAATGTAATCGTAAGCAGGGCAGCCAGGAATCGAACCAGTGCCCCATTGTGGGATGCCAGCCTTGCCCAGTGGTGACTTAACTTGTTTCGCCAATGACAGCCCCTTGATTTTTGTTCTGTAAATCATTGATTAAGACAATACAGTAACCGTAAAGACAAAGAGGAAAGCCTAGGAAGCAATGCTTAGTGTCCACAGAGCGCTGATGGTGGGGGCGATGCCGTCTTTCTGCTGCTATCTTTGTGGTAACACAGAACTTTGCTGTGGAGGGCTGGGCCATAGGGACCTTGTGTGTGTGTGTGTGTGTGTGTGCGCGCGCGCTGATGTCAAGCTTTGCATGGCTTGTTTTGTTTTATTCTTCGGTGTCCTAACAGACAAAGTTGGCGGAGTGAGAGGAGAGCTTCCTTTCCGTCCTTTGAGATGCTGGGCTACGGGGAGGCAGAGGATGATGAAACAGAGCCGTCTTCCAGCTCCAAGGAGGCAGAACGCAGTGGTACCCAGAGAGAAGAAGACGGTTACCATGAAGTGGAGTACGCCGTGCCACACAGGAGTCAGGTGACTGCCCCTGCCAGCTCCTCTTGGCACACCCCGATGGTAACTTAGTGTGGATCATGTGGCATGAACCCACAGGGATCTTGTCTCTCTAGTCTGTGTTTGATGGGTTTTGCTCCTGCACTGATTTTTTTTTTTTTCAGACTATTCCATGTCATTTTAACCGAGCTGTGCTAAAATTTAAACTTCTTTCCTTTTTTTTCCTCAAAGACAAAGATGAAACGGCTTCACGTTCTTATTAGGCTTCCATCACACCAATCCAGATGGGGCAGTGTGGCTATTTTCTGCAGGCAGAGCTGGTGCTGTAGGTAGATTAGCTTGCTACGCCACCATACTCGCCCCATGGCTTGATTTTGTACTTCCCACTTAGCTGGGTTTGGTTGTGCATCCTTTGGCATTCGCTAACTTCACCAGAATTAATTCTGGTATTTACTAATCTTTTTTTTTTTTCTGTCTTTTTCTCCTCCTCCCTGAAGTTTGCTTAGAATTTAATTCTGTAAACATAGATCTTGATCTCCAATTTTTATTGTGAGGAAATTTCTCTCCCTATTTTATCTTCAAGTAGTTGTATTTCTTGTTCTGTGTCCCTTTGTTGGATCTCCTTGTTTGATTTCCGTAGCTCTCTCCTTTGCTTGCTTGTCCCTCTTTTTCTTTCTTCTTCCTTTTTTTTTTTTTTTTTTTTGCTGTTACAGAGTTCTTTAATTTTAAGGGATATTTTTCTAAAGCAAAAATAATAAAATCATAGGTCTATCTCAGTCATTTAAAATATCTTCTGTAACATTCCACTCAGAAGGTAGAAGACCACAAAGCTCTTCCTGCAGGAAGGTGACCTGGGATGTTAGACTGCATTACTGTACCGTACAGAATGCAAACTGTGAAGACAGGGAAAGTCAGGTGCTCCCTAGACTTCCCGTCATCACTGTTGCAGAGACCCCTCAGTGAACACCCGGGGAGCTCTGCTGTGGAGACTGGCCCCATGATGCTGACAGCGTAACAAGCCCGGTGCCGCCTGTATCTACCCTGGAGCTAAAAGGACAAGCCCTCAGCATCCCGTATCACTCCACCAGAGAAGGCATGTTCATCACTCTTTGCCCAATCCTCCAACTGAACAATTTCGACCCTCTTTTTCTTTTTTAAAGATTGATTTATTTGTGTTAGAAAGGCAGAGCTGCAGAGACAGGAGGAGAGGCAGAATGACCTTCCTTCCATTGGGTCACTCCCCAAGTGGCTGCAACAGCCAGAACTGAATCCATGTGAAGCCACGAGTCAGAAGATTTTTCTGAGTCTTCCATGCGGGTACAGAGGCCCAAGAACTTGGGTCATCTTCCACTGCTTTCCCAGGTCATCAACAGGGGGCTAAATTGGAAATAGAGCAGCCGGGACATGAACTGCGGGGCCCATGTGGGATGCAACTCTTGAAATAGGAGGATTAGAGCCCGGCGGCATGGCCTAGCGGCCAAAGTCCTCCCCTTGAACTCACTGGGATCCCATATGGGCACCGGTTCTAATCCTGGCAGCCCCACTTCCCATCCAGCTCCCTGCATGTGACCTGGGAAAGCAGTTGAGGATGGCCTAAAGCCTTGGGACCCTGCACCCGTGTGGGAGACCTGGAGGAAGCTCCTGGTTCCCGGCTTCGGATCGGCACAGCACCAGCCATTATGGCTCACTTGGGGAGTGAATCATCGGACAGAAGATCTTCCCCTCTGTCTTTTCTTCTCTCTGTATATCTGACTTTGTAATAAAAAAAATAAATCTTAAAAAGAAATAGGAGGATTAGCCTATTGAACTGTGGCACTGGCCCTTGCCTCCTTTTTCTATGTCACTTTTTTTTTTAAGTGATTTATTTATGTGAAAGGCAGAGTTTCAGAGAGAGGGAGAGAATCTTTCATCCATAGGTTGATTCTCCAAATGGCCACAGAAGAGCTGGGGCTGGGCCAGGCCACAGCCAGGAACCAGGAGCTGCTTCCAAGTCTCCCACATGAGTGGCCGGGGCCCAGGCACTCTGGCCATGCTCCATTGCTTTCCTGGGTGCACTGGTAGGGAGCTGGGTTGAAAATGGAACGGGGGACTTGTGGTGCTCAGTATAGGATGCCAGTTTATGAGCGTAGGCTTAACCTGATGTGTTCCTCTCTCTTTTTCAGTTCTTCCAATTTACTTCTCACATCCTTTGGTTGCCGTCTCACTTCTGTCTCTTCTCTTTGGATTCTTCCTGTCTGCCTGTGCCACCTTTATGTGGTTTGAGATGCACACTAGATTCCAGTAGTGAAGTCGGGCTCTGCTGGAGTCGTCTCCCTTTGGTTCTCCCAGCTGCTCTCTTCCATGGAGAGTGCTTGCCTTCTCCTGGGCCTGCGCACACTCCTGATTTCATGGCACCCTGCAGAAGCCCACCATGTCCCTTTGTGGCTGTGACACTGTGCTTTTTTTTTTTTTTTAAAACCTTTGCCACCTGCTTGAGTCTAAGGATGTTTGGCAGCTCTTAACCCTCTCCCTCTCGCATGAACATTGTCTGTTTGGTGGCTGTTATCTCCAGGATGGAGTCTGGAATTATGGCCATTGATCCAGACTTTGGCTTTCTCCTGTTCTTCGAATGATTTCAGCGGGTCTTAAGGAAGGAGAGAGGCTGAGTGCCTTGTTACTGCATTCAAACAGAAACCACCAAGGAGATGTTGTCGAAGCTCTCCTGTCACACATTCTTGTCATCCTTGTGTGTGGGTGTGAATTCGCAGAGCCTCTTGCCTTAAAACACAGCACACTGATCTGTTCATTCCTCCAACCAGTTACTGACAAGCTGGTGTCTCAGTGTGTGCCATACACATGCTTGGATGGAGACTGGAAATCATTCATGGAGGGGCAAGTCGGTTCTCTCAAGAAGGAAAGAGGCTGGCACATGGCTCAGTTGGCTAATCTTTCCCTTGCAAGTGCTGGGATCCCATATGGGTGCCAGTTCATGTCCCAGCTGCTCCACTTCCCATCCAGCTCCCTGCCTGTGGCCTGGGAAAGCAGCAGAGGATGGCCCAAAGCCTTGGGACCCTGCACTCACCGGGGAAGACCTGAAAGAGGCTCCTGGCTCCTGGCTGTGGATCAACTCCAGCCGTTGCAGCCACTAGTGGAGTGAACCAGTAATTCTGCCTTTCAAATAAAAATGAAGTAAAATCTTAAAAAAAGAAAAAAGGAAAGAATGAGAAACAGGTAGCTCCCATTCCACTGATTCAGAAAGGCCCAGCACAGGCAGGGTTGGACCAGGCTGAACTCGGGAGCTAGAAGCTGAGTCCAGGTCTCCTGTATGAGCCTTCACCTGCTGCCTCCTGAGGTCGGCACTCGCAGGCAGAGGGAGCCAGGGTGTGAACCGAGGCACTGCAGCGCGGAGGGGACACGCCATCCCCATCAGCATCTTGACCGGGAGGACCAGGGTCTCCCTGGGACCGCTCTATTGCGGCTTTGAAGAATTTGAATGTCACACTCCCTCCCCGTCCCTTCCCTCTCCTTATTTTTAAATTGTTTTCTCTCCATATTTTTAAATCTTTACATTAAAAATTTCTTTTGTTATACAAGTAACACCTAGATGCATTTGTTTAAAACGTTTGTTAATGTACCTAAGCAGAAGTTCCTTGTGGAACTCTGTCCTTCCTCTTCCAGTCTTCTCGCTTCAGGAGAAACCTCTGTTGTCAGTGTGCCGTCTCTATTATTATTATTATTATTATTACTATAATCATCATCATCATCATTATTGGCTGCAGATAATGGGAGAGACAAACACAAGGCTTCAGGGTCAGGCATTAAGTTCTTTGCTGTCATAGGGCCAACAAGTACAGGCTTAGAACATCATCTCAGCTGCTCAGGAAGCCTGGCCCCAGAGAGTCCCTCGGCCCCCTCTTCACTGTCCCACGAGTGTCTCTGGCAGTTCCTGGCCCCAGAGCAGAAAGGAAGAGGTGGGAGGAGGTCTTCTCATCAGCCTGCCCTGTTTTTATTGCGAGGAGTATTTTTCCTGGACGCCACCAGCAGGAGGCTCGCCAAGCACACATCCCTCCCTCGAACAGACAGCAGGTCAGGGGGAGAGAATGGCTGAACCAGTTTTGCGCTGAATAAACTCAGAATCTTTTAGCAGGAGACTCAGCAGGGACTGTTTGCTGGGTGGACAGCGTAGCAGTGCCAACCACAGCAGGCATTCTTCACGCTTCTCATCAGCGTTTACGGACGTACATACCCGTGCAGCCTGTAGGAAATTTCCGCCTTGATCTTGGACCTGACTGGTGGGAGGAGCAGGCCAGGAGAGCAGGTGATCCCGCCAACGTACGCGGTTTCTGCCAGCTTGTGGCACGAGGATCTCCTCTGTGCAGCATGCGAGGTGGTGTGCAATCACACACCCAGCTCAGCTGTCCTGTATGTGACCCAGGTCCAGGAAGACTTGCGTCCAGTGCAGACCTGAGCAGCCCTGCTAGCTTTTGGACCAAAATTGCCCCTTGCAGAAGTAGTGCTTCCAGCAGACCTGCCCCAGGGTGGAGCCGGCCAGAGCCTGGTGGGATCCCCCTCTGGTGGCCATGCGGTGCACTTTGGGGAGTATGTTGCCCTGGCCTTGCCTGGATGAGGGCTTGTGTCTGTAAGCGCTGTGAGGTGCTGGGTGGGATTCTGTGCATCCCCAGGGTCACTCACTTCCTGGCTTTGCGTCACCTCACACGTACAGTCCTAAGAACCTGGACCCTCCAGCTTCCTTGCTGTTTTGTCAGGCTTCCCAATATCTTGCCAGCAGTGGAAGACTTCTGATCGTTAGGTTAGTCCTGTGAGCTCTTAAACCTTAAATGCATGAAATTGTAGAACACATACTCACATCTGACTATGTTGCTAGTAGCATGCAATTTAAAATACATACCATGGTCCTGACTCCAGGATTAGATTAAAACTTTATAAATGATCCTAAATTAATTCTGCCAATTCTGAAAGTTAGATTTTTTTGAAAAATTTTTTTATTGGCCCACAGATATACAGAGAGAAGGAGATACTGAAAGAGACATTTTCTGTCTGCTGGTTCACTCCCCAAGTGGCTGCAACAGCCAGAGCTGATCTGATCTGAAGCAAGGAGCCAGGAGCTTCTTCTGGGTCTCCCATATCACAAAGTCCCAAGGTCTAGCCTCAATTGCTTTCCCAGGCAGAGAGTTGGATGGGCAGTGGAGTAGCCAGGACACAAACCCATGCCCATCGGGGATCTCAGCAGACGCAAGGCGAGGGATTAGCTACTAGGCTATTGTGCCGAATTAGACTGATTTAATCTTGCAGTGTGTATCCTTTGGCCTTTTAGAGAGGCTTCCTTTTTGTGGGTAGCCTAGTTGGTTTATTTACAGTGCTATATAGTATCCTTTTGTGTAACCCTGGCACTCAGTGCCCCAGGTAAGATGGCACTGGATGTGTGCTGAGTGGGCTGGATGTAGCCCCTGCTCCTGAGATCCCCAGCAGGAATGAGAAGGGAAGCTGCCGAGGCAGCAGGAGTGGGGCGTGAAACCCCCCACAGGCTCAGTGTAAGTTGGTTGGTGTTGTTTCTGCCACCCGGGCTTTCCCTGGGGCCAGAGGGCTCGTCTGGCCCCACCAGGTGTAGCCGTTTGGCATCTCCCCGCGGGAAACCGCTCAGGTGACAGCAATAGAAAGGGTGGAAAAAAGCATTTGAGTTGGGAGGGCATTTATACTGCAACATCTGCCACATCTGCACTCTTTTGTAACAAAAAAGGTGCCTCGGTCGCAGTGGGTGGACAGCGACGATGATGAAGAGCCACGTGAACAAGATGGACGTCCAGGCGCACCTGCAGCGCCGCACGCACGGCACAGAGGTAAGCTGAGCACACGGCGCAGCTCTTCAAGACACAAGAGCATCTCGTAGTCGTAAATGCTGGTTGCTTTGGGGAAATAGAGACGCTGCACCTCTCTGCCGTGGCTCTGTGATTTTTATTGAAAACTCAGATATACAGAGAGGAGGAGAGACAGAGAGGAAGATCTTCTGTCTATTGGATTCACTCCCCAAGTGGCCGCATCGGCCGGAGCTGAGCCAATTTGAAGCCAGGAGCCAGTAGCCTCTTACATGTCTCCCATGCAGTTTGCAGGGTCCCAAGACTTTGGACCATTCTCAATTGCTTTCCCAGGCCACAAGCAGGGAGCTGGATGGGAAGCAGGGCCCTTGGGATTAGAACCAGTGCCCATATGGGGTCCCAGTGCATGCAAGGCCAGGACTTTAGCCACTAGGCCTCCACGCCAGGCCCTGTTTTTTTTTTTTTTAAGTGTAAGGTGCTGTTGTCTGTCCTCGGAGCCCTAAGGGGACCCTGTGTAGGAGGGTGCCAGCTCTGCCACGAAGCCCTGCACGCTCCTTTCCTCTGCTCCCCGGGGCCTGGGCTGTCAGGATCTGCTGGGTACTTGTGCGTTGTATTTGACAGTGAGCACATCGCGGCACAGCAGGATACAGCTTTCGGTTTCCCTAGAGGTGCTTTTTGTCTAGGAAGTGAGACACAGTGAGCTGCAGGAGCTGCTTTCGGGGCCCTTGAGGTGTTCAGGCTCCTGGAAGACAAAATGCTAGCCTGGTAACATTTGAATATTGAGTTCTTGTAGTAAGTGTCTCTCTAATTATACAAGAAATACCTTCTCTTTTCAAAAACAAATCAGGTGCAGAAATCGGTAGATTATATCCCAAAACATGCAGACTTTCACCAGCTTAGAATATGTGTATATCAGGTACATAGTATTATATGTTGCCTCTTTTCTTTCTTTCCTCTTCCTTTCTTCTTAAGATTTATTTATGTACGTGAAAAGTGGAGTGATAGCGAGAGATCTTCCATCCACAGATTCTCTTCCCAAATGGCCACACAACAATGGCTGAAGGTGGGCCAGGCTGCAGCCAGGCGTCTGGAGCTCCATCCAGGTCTCCCACCTGGGTGGCAGAGGCCCAAGCCCCCGGATCATCATCTGCCACCTTCCCGGGGGCATTAGCAGGGAGCTGGCTGGATTACAAGTGGAGTAGCCATGAATCAGAGCAACACTCCAACCGCTGTGTTTAATTGCCTCTTGGCCTTTTGGCTTGGAACAAGTTGTGTTCGGTCTAATACAGCACCTGTCAGTCAGGAGCCTGTCAAAAGAACCCAAAAGTAATTGAATCGATCGAGTTGAATTGAGGAGGTCTTCTAAAAAGTTCATGAGAAATATACATTATGCTGAAACTCACAAGCATTTTAACTTTTTGCACCCCAAAAAAAAAAAGACCCTTTTAATTCCATTTTCTATGGACTTTTAGGAAATATTTATGTTCATTTTATTTGTAAGTCAGAGAAGTAGATCTTTATTGCTTCAATCCCCAAATGCCTGCAACAGTGAGGACTGGGCCAGACTGCAGCTGGGAGCCTGGAACTCCAGCCGGGTCTCACACGTGGGCCCTGAGGACCTGGGCCGTCTGGCGCTGCCTCTCAGGGAGCCTGACACAGGCTTGAGGAGGCAAGGACTGTGCACGACTTTGTGAGGTGATAGGAGATGGGTGAAATGTGTACATTTCATCAGCAGCAGAGGAGCCAGACTCGAGACAGACACTGAGGAAGGCAGGACCAGCAGCTGGAGGGAACAGCCACTACATGGCGCTGACAGAAACCAGGGAGAGCCTCACCCAGGACTGGGGTGCAGATCTTGTTGGGGAGCAGGTAGCTGGGGCCCACCAGCTGCAGAACTTGGTTGAGGTGCTACTTTTTTGCATAGGGTGTCAGGTAAGCAGCCCCTGGGCAGATGCTGAAGGCTGCTGCTGGTCACCAGCACCAACACTACCACCACCACCACCAACATCACCAAACCACCACCAACACCACCACCACTGCCACCAATACCACCACCAGCACCAGCACCACCAACACCAACACCACTACCCACACCAACACCACTACCACCAACACCACCACCGCCAACAACAGCAAAAAGGTAGAGACGGAGAGAAAGTGAATCAGAAGCCCGAGCACTCTCATCATTGTCTCTGGCGCCCTCTAGTGATGAAACGTTTACCGCCCTTGGCAGTAACAAACAGGCGATGTAAACAGGTGGATCTGGAAATAGAACTTGGAAGCACAGGTGCTGGCTGGGGGGATTGCAGCTCTTACAGTGGTCCTTGGTTTCTAGAGGATACCAGATTCTAAGTCTAGGCCCTACATTTATACAGATGCCTGGTCCTATGCAGATGATCACATTGCCACACGTGTGTGGGACACGTGTTTTGGTCTTCCCTTGTTCCATTTCCGATAGCAGGAGGCTTGGCTGAGTGACTGCGGCTTCTTTGACGCGGTCTGAGAAGGTCTCTCTATTCAGGTCACCGTGGGGATCAGCTATGTCGCATGTGTACACCCCACGTGCCTCCCAGGCACACTCACAGGGAGCTAGATCAGAAGCAGAGTCACAGGGACTTGTGTCGCATGGCAGTCTGAGGTCCAGGTATCCTGAGGGCGGCTGAACCTGCTGTGTCAACAGTGCCTGCCCCGGTCAGCAAAATATTGGACAAGAGAAATGTATTTCTTTCTGTAAAGGTTGGGCCAGTCCCCAGCATGACATCTTTCTGTGATAGGATGCCCAATAGAGGACACTTGTGTTGGGGGTGTTCGTTGTCTATACGGCCAGCCTGTCACAGAATTGAGGAATCAAGGACTGTGCATGACTTTGTGAGCGATGATAAGTAAAGACACAGGAGATGAGTTGAAATGTTCCATCAGCCATGGCAACTGCCTGGGTACTGCATGCTGAAGTGAGCCAGGGCTCATGGAAAGCGTGAGTTTAATTTCCATCAGGTTCTTTTTCTGACAGGTTGATGAATAAGACACAAAAGAGATTAGTATTTTCTGGGGGGGGGTGGAATATTTGAACTGTCTTCTAAAAATTTTCATTGCAATGATTTGAAGATGGACAAAAGTAGAGAGAAGAGTAAAATGAGCTCGGCCTGGCCCATCGCCTGCTGCTGGAACTGCCAGCATTTTCTTCTGGTTAATCCCGTGTTCTCACCATCATGCTTTGTGAATAATTTAAGGAGGACCCAAAAACTCTAATTTATGGAGGCAGCAAGATTTGCTGTAGCTGCTATAGCCTTAAGGGACACAGAATCAAGGCGAATTTTTTAATCAAAGCTGTCTTTAAGAATATTGCTAAAAGTGTGAATTTTTTCTTGTGAATCATTTGAAACGTGTGCTCATCAGAAATGACTCATTGTCGTTTCTGACGGCCACAGGCTTTTCCTTCCATTGTGGGCACGGCGCCGTGGCCTAGTGGCTAAAGCCCTCACCTTGGACACGCCGGAATCCCATATGGGCACCGGTTCTAATCCCGGCAGCTCCACTTCCCATCTAGCTTTGTGTTCCTGTACTTGCGTGGGAGACCTAGAGGAGGTTCCTGGCTCCTAGCTTCAGATTGGCTCAGCACTGGCCGTTGCAGTCACTTGGGGAGTAAATCATTGGACAGAAGATCTTCCTCTCTGTCTCTCCTCCTCTCTGTATATCTGACTTTCCACTAAAAGTATAAATAAATAGTAATAATAAAAAGGAAGTTGATGGAAATGACATTCTTTTGATGATAGTTGGTGATTGCAGTGGGTAAGGAAGTCGATTGAGAACTCTATATGTATTTTTAAATATTTTTGTCTTTCCTGACTTCTTTGGGACTTATGCCTTTTTGTTTTTACACATTGATTTCTAAGTTGTTTTCAGCCCATTATTTACGCATTGTTAAGCTAACAGGAAAAATTTGAAGTCACATCTAGCATTTCAGTGCAACAAATTGTCAAGGCAAGGGGGAATGTAAGACTGCTCTCTTCCTAAGCTCCCTGGGTTACCCGTGTGTGAACTCTGAGAAGCTGGGCTGTGTCTGTCTTCACTCAGCTGAGCAGTTTCCTTCAAGGCACAATGAGGAGGGGACTTCAGAAGGTCAATGGAAAATGTCTATTACAGAAAAACTATGTGTGGGCTTAAAAAAAAAAAAAGTTTTTTTTTGCTCCACAATAGACTATTCCTTTTTCCACAAACTCTTGGAAATCCCCTCCTATTTTTCTGGCCCAATCAGATGGCATTTCTAATCAAAAGAATTAGCCTGGGCCTATCTGGACAATAGCAGGTGGATGCGTGGGAAACACAGAGAGGTGGGGATGAGGAATCCCAGCTGGGAAGGACTTGGGGTCTGCTGTGGAGTTTGACCTTGGTCCATACCAGAGGTGCCCATGAACAGGTGTGGCAGAGAGCGGTGGGCAGACCACAGGCAGGCTCCCTGCCCTGCTCAGGGACCCAGGTGCCACATCTGTGCCCTCCTTGGTCTACACCAGAGGTGCCCATGAACAGGTGCGGCAGAGAGCGGTGGGCAGACCGCAGGCAGGCTCCCTGCCCTGCTAAGGGACCTAGGTGCCACATCTGTGCCCTCCTGGGAGCCTTGTTGGGCTTCTCTGCACAAGCGGAGTTTCTATGATTTTTTTACTTTTCTGAGCTGTTAAATTTATCTTCTTCTAAAAGTTTTCTTCCTTTCTTTTTTTAAAATCAGATGACACAGATGCAGTTCTGAATTTAAAGGTAAGATTAAAAAAAAAAACAACAAGAAACAGATGTTCTCAGTAAGTAGAATTTCCTCCATAATTTTTAACAGCTGTGTGATTGGGGTGTGGGTCGGGAGGGCGGCGAGCATCTTCCACATGGAGTCCTTTTTTCTTTTTTTTTTGAATTTCATTTTATGACACAGTTTCATAGGCTCTGGGGTTCCCCCAGCCTCTCCCCCTGCCCTCCCCCCATGGTGGAATCCTCACCTAGTTGCAGTGTTACAGTTCAAATCAAGTCATGATTCTGCCATTGCAAGCATGTGCCATGCATAGAGTCCAGCCTCTTATTGTCCAGATGGATTCAGCAGATTCTTGGGGTGACCATCTCTGGTCTGAAAGCAGAACTGGCAGAGTATTATCCTGTCCAATGAAAAGCCACAACATAGCATTAACAACTATTTACATCATTAAGGGGTTAATTGACATGGTTTTGAGTGACTGATACGTTAGAAGATGCAAGTTCTTAACCACAAGCTGTGACTACTTCATTGACATTTCAATTTTTAGTTTATACACATTCGGCTGCTATACACCTTAAAATGGTTATAGGGTACTATCCCAGCTGTCTCAGGCCTGTTTTCATTTTATATTTAACAGCTTGTAGTATTGAAGCTTGGCTTAACTGAATTTGGCGAGTTTTAGGATAGTCCAAACAGGCTTATAACTCTAACAAGGCATTTGTTAACAATAGAGGTGCAGAACAGTTGTAGGTGGGGTGTGCAGAGAAATCTTCACCTCCCCAGTGAGGGAGCCCTTTCTTGTTGCACGTTTCTTTTAAATACTTTGAAATCAGTGAGGAAACTTATGTTTACATACCTGAATAAGGAAAGCAGCGTACTGAAAGGTTTCAAAGCACATGAATAATTTGTAGACTTAAACCCAGTCCTGGGCCAGGGCAGGGGTGGAATTTGGGGACGCAGTCCAGGTATCTGTCACATGAGTGGCAGGAACTCAGCTTGAGCCATCACTACTGCCTCTCAGCGTCTGCGTCAGCAGAAAGCTGGACATTGGAGCTGGGGCTGGGCCTTGAACCCTGGCACTGTGATGGTGGGATGAACTGCTAGGCCCCCACCCACCTCTCACCTGCTTTAGAAAGTCAACTACACATAAAGAGCCAGTCCCTGGACTCGCGGGCCAAAAGAGGAAGAGGGCTCAGACAGGCCTACCCGCTCAGCCCCAGCAGAGAGCCACCAGCAAGGAGGACACTGAAGGTTTCAGAGTCAGTGATGGAAAACCGTGGAGTGCTGGGGATTTGGCCTCGTGCTTAAGGTGCAGCGTGGGTTTGATGCCCACCCTGGCTGCTGACCCCAGCTTCCACCTGACCGCCTAACAGAGCTCACAGGACGCTGCAGCAGTGACGCTGACGTGAGGCATCCAGGGTCAGGTCCCAGCTCCCAGCTTCAGCCTGACTCAGTCGCAATCAGAGGCGGTGTCCGAGGAATGACTCAGCAGATGAGAGCTCTCTGTCATCCAGAAATGAAAAATGCTGGACATTCAGGTTTCTTAAAAACAACAACAAACGAACAACCCAAAACAACAAACAGACCCACAAGAGGTAAAACAAAGGGAAGTCCTTTGATAATCTTGAAACACAGTGTCCCAGTGGCTCATGTCCACTTACGGAAAACAGGAGCGCTTCATTCACACTCTTTCTTTTCTTCCTCCCCTAGGATGAAAAGACTTTGTTGTGTGAAAAACCTCTACCCTCCCCAGGTATGAGCCTGTCGAATGCGGTTGTGATTGCAAAGCTTATGCATGTGCTTTAGAAGATTTATCTGGGCCCTACGTGGTAGCCTAGTGGCTAAAGTGCTCACATTCTATGAGCCAAGATCCCATATGGGCGTTGGTTTGTATCCCGGCTGCTCCCCTTCCCCTCCAGTTCCCTGCTTGAGGCCTGGGAAAGCAGTCAAGGTCAGCCCAAAGCCCTGGGACCCTGCACCTGTGTGGGAGACCCAGCAGAGGCTCTGGACTCCTGGCTTTGGATAGACTCAGCTCTGACCATTACAGCTGCTTGGGGAGTGAACCATGGGATGGAAGATCTTTCTTCCTGTATCTCCTTCTCTTTGTCTATCTGCCTTTCCAATAAATAACTCTTAAAAAAAAAAAACAGATTTATTTATTTATTTTGAAAGTCGGAGTTCCAGAGAGAAAGGGAGAGACAGAGAAAGAGATCTTCCATCCACTGGCTCACTCTCCATATGGCTGCCATGGCCTGAGCTGGGCCAGGTGGAAGCCAGGAGATTCACCCAGGTGGGCCGCCTGGGTGGAGGATGTCCAGGCACTTGGGCCATCTTGCGTTGCTTTCCCAGTTGAGTAACAGGGAGGTGGATTGAAAGTGGAGCAGCCAGGACTCAAACCAGCACCCTGATTGGATGCCGGTGTGTCACAGGCGGTGCTTTTATCGGCTGTGCCACGATGCTGGTCCCGAAAAGCTTACTGTTTTAGGGAACACCCAGAGTCATCTGAGCTCAAGTGAGGCTCACTTTCTCCTGCAAAGGCTGTTGCTTCTTGTCCCATGACTGGAGTTGGGAAGAGTTCCAAGGCATTGAACTTCAGTCTTGACCTCAGAAGAGAAGGTCCAGCCCCTGATGTGTGGGGTGTGTGTGTGTGTGTGTGTGTGTGTATTACGGGGATGAGCTGTGCAAACAAGGGCTCTGCTCAGTTGCTGAGGGCTGAGTGAGAGGTCTTGAGGTGAGGGGTCCAGGGTGAGGTGTACACTCAGTACAGTGGGGCGCTTCGGTCACTTCCACGGTGGAGTTTGCCGTGTTTGCCTGACGTGTTTCACATCACTGGTCTGGAACTCCTAGTTTGAGTTGATAAAGCAAAATGCCTGCGACTGGGTAATGCTCCAAGCAAAGAGGCTTATTTAGTTAGTTCAATAGTTCAGAGGCTAAAAAGCCTAAAGTCAAGAGACCCATTTCACTGCAGCTCTGGGAAGGGCCTCCTCCTGGGCCTCAGCGGGTCCCTGAGCTGACCTGGCTCTCTGACTTCAGGCTCAGATTATCCTGCCTGGAAAGGAGCTCCCATTTCTGCAGGCACTGACTGGCCCAGGGAGGCGCCTCCTGCCTCCTTCCTCTAATGCTGCAGCCTGGCTTTTGGCAGCCACGTGGTGTCCCTTGGTCCTGCCAGGACAAGGCCCTCCCTGGAGCCACCTCCCCCCTTGGAATTTGCCTCTCCTATCACACTGTAGGCCATGGCTTTGTCTTTGATCTTGTCTGTTTTTATCTCTGGAATTCTTGTGTCTAGGTTTCCCCATTTCTGAGCTGCTCCTTTTGTGTTCTAGGGGTTGGGATTAGGATTTAGGGAGTTCTAAGGATGGATAACTCCACTTTGGTATTTGATGTGTTTTGAGTAAGCTTTTATCTTGTCTTGTTTGTAATTTATATGAGAGAGAAACATTTTCTTTTTCTTCCGCCTGCTAGTTTACTTTCCAAATACCAACGGTATGGGTGGAGCCAGGCCAGTTCTGGTGGAGCCCAGAATTCAGTTTGCATGTCCCAAGCAGGTGGCAGGGAGCTCAGCCCCTGGGCCTTCCGCAGGTGCCTCCCGGAGTGCGCCCATTCCTTCTTCAAGTCCTCCCCTCCTCTGTCCCTCGCTGACCGCTGCTCACTCTCCTAAGTCCGCCCTCTCCCTCCCGTCCCCTTCACTGTGTTCCCTGTCAAGTTCAGAGTCTCCCAAACACCTTTTCTCTCTTTCTGAGCCCAGCAGAAAAGGTTGGCTCTATGGACAGAAGAAGGTGGGAAGAGAGGCAGGGAAGGGAAGACAGAACAATAGGACTGTTACCTGATTGGTTAAGTTCAGGTTTCTTTCCAAAAGGGTTAAAGATAGCCATGCCTGTCTGGGAAGTTGCATGGTCATCTCTTTCCCTTTCCTGGGGTCAGATAACAACTTAGTTTGGGGCTGGTGCTGTGGCTCTTTAGTATAAGTAACTCTATCTTGGTATTTAGTCTGCCCCAAACAATGGCCTCCTGTAACAGCAGGCATTCGTGCCTCCCTTTGCTGCCCGTCCCAGCTCCCTGGGTCCCGTCAGGTTCTGGCCCCCATCTCTGTAGATCCCTTCCCTGGTGTTGGCCCTTGGAGCCGCCTTCCTCCCAATCCATTCTTCCAGTTTTCACACCTGGTGGAAGTGACAGCAAGCCATTGTTCTAACAATGCCTTGAGTCTTCTCACTTCCATCCCAACCATCCTCCAACCCTCAGAAGGAATGCTCACCTGCCAGCCAGCTTGTCCCCACTCTCCACCCACAAGCCTAGCTGATAAGATCTGTAAGTCCAGCAGCATACCTGACGGGTTAACTCCTAAAGAACACAATAAGAATACTGCCCCAGCTCAGGTAGGTGCCCGGCCTGGCCTGCCGCAGCATGTCCCCAACACCCATCTTAGTCTGGAATCCTGCACATGTTAGCTTTCTTCATTCTTGAGTCTCAGGATTCCTTCTCAGTTGGGCATGGGAGCATGCGGTGCTCGACTGACCCTCAGATAGGACCTCAAGCTCTCTCTGACTCCCGGTGGCCTGTGGTGTTCACTGTGCACCCCCAAACACAGGGCCTCCTCCAGCCCCCACCTCCTTCTGCCATGTCTTCCAGCCATCTGCTGTGGCTCTGCCAGACTATACGTCCTGTTCTGGACCTTTCTGCCATTTCCTTTCCAGTCATGGAAGCACACAGCTCCAGTCCTGCCAGGAAGTAGATGCTGTAGTGATGTTTGGGATAAACTCTGCAATGATCGTTAATGTAAAATTACAAATGCCAATTCGTATTTCTAAGCTCTCCGCTTTATCATTTCAGGTGTAACTGGTAGGGCACGTCAGAGATCTAAAAAAATGATCAAAGAAAAGTTTAAAGAACTAAAAGAAGAAAATTTGCTCCTGAACAATACAAATCAAGCCCTCACCCTTGAACTACAGGTAACGAAAGAAGCGATGCGAGAGCTGCAGCTAACGTGTAAGAGACTAGAACGCGCCAATTCTAGGCTGAAGGAAGCTGAGAGAGAGTCCCCTCGGGAAGGTGACACAGGTACGCAGTTCTCTCATTGTTAAAGGAGTAAGCGGAACTTCACTCGTTTTATTATGTGGGAGTTCATGTTGTGTGCATTTGTTGATGTTTTATGTGCAGCATTTAAGATTCTTCCATTTAGAATCCACTATGGGGGGGAGGGAGTGGGTTTTGGGGAGGGGAGGGGGGAATCCCAGTGCCTGTAAAACTGTGTCACATGATGCAATGTAATAAAAAAAGAAAAGATTCTTCCATTTATATCATTACATTTTTTTTGAAGCTGATATCATCTGCTACTGTCATTATTGTCATTCTGATACTTCTCTTGGAGCATGACCTTTTTTTTTTTTAAAGATTTATTTATTTATTGGAAAGTCAGATACACAGAGAGGAGGAGAGACAGAGAGGAAGATCTTCTGTCTGATGATTCACTCCCCAAGTGAGCGCAATGGGTGGTGCTGTGCCGATCCGAAGCTAGGAGCCAGAAACTTCTTCCGGGTCTCCCACATGGGTGCAGGGTCCCAAAGCTTTGGGCCGCCCTCGACTGCTTTCCCAGGCCACAAGCAGGGAATTGGATGGGAAGTGGAGCCGCTGGGACAAGAACCGGCGCCCATATGGCATCCCGGGGCGCTCAAGGCGAGGACTTTAGCCTCCAGGCCACGGCGCCAGGCCCAGCATGACCTTTTTTAACATTTTTTAAAAATCTAATTTTGTTAGAAAGATTTGATTTGAGAGAGACAAAAGATCTTTCCTCCATGTGTTCACTCCCCGAACGTCCACATCAACCGGGACTGAGCCAGCGTCAAGTCAGGAACCCAGATCACAAGCTGGGTGTTCCACCTGGGTGCAGGGACCCAGGGACATCTGCCATAACCACTGCCTCCCAGTACACACCTGCAGGAAGCTGGACTGGAAGCAGAGAAGCCGGAGGCTCTGCTGTGGGATACAGACATCCCGAGGGCCTCCTTAGTGGTTGTACTAAATGTCGTCCCAGCATCGTATCTTGTGGAGATTGCATGTCAGATTTTATACCTAGGGGCATCATGTAAAAGTGTGTCCTTTACCGTTGCTAACCAGTCTTTTTGTTTTCTTGCTAAATTGAAAATCACAAAGGAAGAGGAAGAAGTCACATTTTACTTTTTATTTCTTTTATTATTGATGAGTTTGAATTTTTTTTTTCATCTTGCAGGATTGTTTTTTCCTCTTTCACAAATTTCCTACCTTTAAACTTATATACTTAAGATTTTTCTTATTGATTTGTAGGAACTCTTTATTGAAGATTTTAATCGTTTGTCAATGTATATAATATTTTGTATAATGTTGATAATTCAACTAACTATAGGATATCTCATTACTTGTATCTTCGTGTCAACTATTTTTTTAAGATTTATTTATTTGTTTATTTGTAAATATTTATTTATTTTTATGGAACATCAGAGAGGATGAGGGACAGAGAGGAAGGTCTTCTGTCCATTGTCTCAGTCCCCAAGTGGCCGCCACAGCTGGAGCTAAGCCAATCCGAGGCCAGGAGCCAGGAGCTTCTTCTAGATCTCCCATGTGGGTGCAGGGACCCAAGGCTTTGGGCCAACCTCGACTGCTTTCCTAGGCCACAAGCAGGGAGCTGGATGGGAAGCGGGGCCGCTGGGATATGAACTGGCATCCATAAGGGATCCTGGGTGTGTTAAAGGCAGGGACTTTAGCTGCTAGGCTACTGCACCTGGCTCTCAGGTTAAATTGTTTTTAACACTAAGATTACAAAAACTATTCACCAATGTTTCTTTTCTATTTGTATAAGATCAGTATTACGGCTTAAGTTTTCTTCATGTAAACTCTATGTCTGTGTTGTGTTAGGCACATTTATTTCTAGATATCTACTATTATTCATGCTGTTATCTTGTGAGATCTGTTTTCCATTATTGTTTCTAATATGACATTGCTATTATTTGGGAAGATTACGAACTCTACTAAATTTGCTATTTATATGATTTTTCAACACATATATATTTCAAGATTTATTTTCATTTATTTGAAAGAGTTACAGAGAGTGAGAGACAAAGCATGATTTTCCATCCGCTGGTGCACTCCCGAAATGGCCACAACAGCCAGAGCTGGGCTAGGCGAAGGCCAGGTCCTTTCTCCAGCTCTCCTGTGTGGATGTAGGGGCCCAAGCACTCGTGTTGTTTTTCAAGGAGTGTTAGCAGGAACTAAACAGAAGTGGGACAGCTGGGTCTCAAACCAGCACCCATGTGGGATGTTGGTGTTTAGGTGTTATAGGGGGTATCTTCACCCACAGTTCCACAATGCTGGACCGTGGCACATATTTTTATATCCTGTGAAACATGGGCTGTTTCTGAGCCTGGTGTGATGGGTCGGTTGGCTAAATCTTCATTTGCAAATGTGTCCTGCCTGTTCCACTTCCCATCCAGTTTCTTGCATGTGGCCTGGGAAAGCAGTGGAGGATGGCCGAAAGCCTTGGGAGCCTGCACCCACGTGGGAGACCTGGAAGAAGCTCCTGGCTCCTGGCTTGGGATTAGCTCAGCTCCAGTCATTGCTACCGCTTAGGAGTGAATCAACAGATGGAAGATTTTTCTCTCTGTCTCTTCTTCTTGCCATAAATCTGATCTGCCTTTCTAATAAAAATAAATCTTAAAAAAAAAAACACCACATGGCTATTTCTTTTCAAGTTAAATTCTTATTTTGTATAATTATATATGTTAAAATTTCCAGTTAGCTATTAATTGTTAAAAAAATATGGGTAACTCAGTGTACACATAGACACACAAAGACATTTCACTTCTCTACAATCCCCAAATGATTAGTAATTTATATAAAATCTTGATAAATTTCTGATAATATTAACTTGATTTTTCTTTTTTTGGTAGCTGCTGAAACTGAATTACTTAATCTAAGGAAACAAGCTCAAGAATTAGTGGATGAAAATGATGGGCTGAAAACGACCATCCATCGTTTGAATGTGGAACTGAGTCGATATCAAACCAAATTTAGGCATTTGTCTGAGGAAGAGGTAATGTTTCCATTGATGAAAAACCCGGTTTCTCAGGGTTTTTTTTTTTTTTTTCCTTTTTTGGGATTCTTTCTCTTTTTTTTTAAGCCCTTAATATTGAGTTGATTCTTAACTGTAAGAGATTCTTACTTACTAGTTATTTAAAGATAGATCTAGAACATGGTCTTAGTAGAGACCATTCTGTAGCCTTCTTTCCTTTCCCAAAACACAGCCAGAAAGAACTCTCCAGAAAACACTGGGCAGATGTGGAAATACAAAAAGAATGGAAAGTGCATGTTGGCTGCTCTGACCTCAGGCCTGTTCTGTAGGTTATAGTTGGTGTTTGTCAGTGCGTGAGTCTGGAAAAGAAACACAGGAAATCTTACTTTATAGGAATGATTGCAAAATTCAGTGCCACAGACTTACTGTGCCACGTAATCTTACCAACAAAAGATGCTTAGGAACAGAAGTGGAACCGAAGATTGGGACCCACTCTTATAGACCGTCAGAGCCTTCTGCGGGGCTTGGCTAGGGCAGAGCAAGCCGGGACAGGGACAGAGACAGCCCACCCTCCCCAGGCATTCTCTCCTGCCCTGCGCAAATGCCACGTTCTCCATTCTCCATGAAGGTGTGCCCTGATCACTCAGGCTGGAAGTGATAGCTCTTTTAAATCATTGCAGGCTGATTTGTTTGTTTTGATTTGGTCGTCAGGGACTAATAGCATTCTACCCAGATTGATATCTGTGCTTCATGTTCATTTGTGTTCGAAGACTCATCTCTCAAATAGACCATAAAATCCTTAATGACAAAGATCGTTTTTGCGATGTCTGTAATGGTTTATTGATTTCACAATGCTGACTTAAGACCTGAGTGATGAGTTAGCGACTAAGGTGAACACATCAAAGTTTTGGCTCAACAGTTGATCCTGTTGGAGCTATTTCTTCCCTATGCAATTTGCCCTCCTGTTCTAAACAACTGAAGATACTGGACAGACTGCAACAGTTTTCCAGACTAAGCAGGCGGCACTGGGCTGTGGTTCCCTACAGCAGGGACACAGCTAAGTCTGTGATCACCTCTGGTCCGTGCATGGAGGCAGTGACCCCAAGCAGGGCACAGCAGTGTGACTGGGTTCAGGGGACAGATTTAGAGAGGTTGAGAAGACTAGCATTTGCAAGGCAAATCTTTTTTAAAAGGAGCTGTACAAAAGAAGAGTTCTGTTAATCCGTGTGAGACACCTTTGGAGGTATTGGTTAAATGTACTAACAGGTGCGTGTTTAGGTTGAAACTTCATGAAACTGGACAGCAAATAAATACAGGGAGCTACAAGTTCCAATAGTGCTGGGAAACATGTGGGCTCTGGCCAGCCCATCACAGAGATCTTGTCAAGTGCTGTGTCATTGAGTAAAACAACCCAGAAGGGTCATACTTCCATGGTATGGCTAACCTAGCCTTTCAACAAGATGACCACAGACCTACCGTAACCAGAGGGACAGACAGGCCTCAGATGCATTAAGCTGACCCACTTGTAACCAGTGACTCCCAAAGAAAAAAGTAGGCCAGTACTGTTTAAAGGAAGACAACAAAATCCAGACACTCACCAATGTAACACTCAAAAAGTCCAGTGTCCCATAAAATGTCCTGAGATGTTTCAAGTTTGACAAGATGAAAAAGACTTGACAGTTAACTATGAAATGTGATCCTGAATTGAAGTCTTTTCTTTCTTTTTTTTTTTAAAGATTTATTTATTTTTATTGCAAAGTTAGATATACAGAGAAGAGAGACAGAGAGGAAGCTCTGTCTGCTGATTCACTCCCCAAGCGGTCACAGTGGCTGGAGCTGCACCAATCCCAAGCCAGGACCCTGGAACTTCTTCTGGGTTTCACACACAGGTGCAGGATCCCAAGGCTTTAGGCCATCCTCAACTGCTTTCCCAGGCCACAAGTAGGAAGCTGGATGGGGAGTGGGGCCACCAGGATTAGAACCGGCGCCCATATGGGGTCCTGGCACATGTAAAGCAAGTGCTTTAACCATTAGGCTATCACTCCCTGAAGTCTGTGTTTTTTAAAAAAAGCATTGTTGAGGCCAGCATGGTAACATAGCATGCTAATTCTCCACCTGTGGCACGAGCATCCCATATGGGCTCCGGTTTGTGTCTGAGCTGCTTCTCTTCTGATATAGCTCCCTGCTAATGTCCTAGGAGAACAGAGGGTGGCCCAAGTCCCTGGGCCCATGCGCCCATGCAGGAGACCCTGCAGAAGCTCCTGGCTCCCAGCTTCAGATCAGCCCAGCTATTACAGCCCTTTAGAGCATATACCAGTGGATACAGGACCTCTCTTCCTGCCTCTCCTCCTCCTCTCTGTAAAAATCTGCCTTTCCAATAAAACTGTAGGAGGACACTGACCCTAGAAGGTCAGCGAGCACAGGATTATAGGTGATTGGACAATATTTGTATGACAACAACCAAATGGATACCTTTTGTATAACTGATTGGATATCATTTGTATGAGAACAGTTGAGTGGACAGCATGTGAATGAGAACACTTGGTGGAATATACAAGACAAAAGAACTTCCAAACAAAAGTATAGAAACAGTGGATGGGTTTGTTGATGAGCTCAATACCTCCACCCTAATCCTATATGACCCTCAGTGTATAAAGTCTGATGCCACTAATAAATTTCGGCTATTGATCATCACTCAGTACTCCATGCATGTTATTATCAGCTCTGAGCACCAAGTCCATCGCTGCAGCACAGCAACATAAAACAAATCTTTTCTGAATTGAAGAAAAACAAATTTATTTATTTGAAACATAGAACAACAGACAGAGAAAAATAGAAAAAAAATTTTTTTTTCTGCTGTCTCACTCCCCAAATGGCAGTAACAGCCAGTTCTGGGCCACATAGCAACCCAAATCCAGGAATTCCATGTGGTCTTCCACACGAGTGGTTTGGGCCATCATCTGCCACCTTCCCAAGCACACTAACAGGAAATGGGACCAAAAACAGTAACAAGTACTCTGGGATATGGAATACTGGTATTGCATGTGACACCTTAATCGTGTATGCCGCTGGATTCTTGATCAAAAAGGAAGTTCATAGGAGAAATAGACATAATTTGGAGATGGTCTGTAGGTTAGAAAACAGCGTTATAGCAATGTTGATTTCTTAGTTTTATGATGATACTGTGGTTAAGTAAGTAAATACTTTTGTTCTTAAGAAGCAGACACTAAAGTATTTAGAGGAAAGTGGGCATCGTATCTGAAGTTTTGCTCTCAGAAAAAACTTCAGAAAAAGTTTATGTGGAAGGCACCTAGTCTAGATTGATATCTAAGACCTGACTGAATTTCAGAGGAAACCTAACTAACTTGTCTTCACTGCGTGGTTCATTCTTAGAGTTTCAACACTGAAGGCCTCCCATCAAAGGGCCCTGTACCACCCTGGTTGGTAAGTGAATCTTGTTTTGCTTTTAGGCTCATAGTCTCTGGACTGCAAGCTCACCCAGCTATTAAGCTTTCTTCCAAAATAAGTACATTTTCTTGCCTTTAAAAAAATTGTTCCTTGTGTGTAGATGCAAAAAATACAGTAATCCTCTATTGCTCTATTCTCTCCAGTTGAATATAAAGTACCTGTCGCCATTACTGCTGGCTTATGAGGACAGAATGAAAGAGAAAGACGAGCTGAATGCCGCCCTTGAGGTAAGAAGTCAGACAGTTGTAAACTTTGAGGAAATGTGTCGGAGCCACGTATGCCCAACGTGTGGTAGATCTCCGATCTCAAAGGTTTGGTAAAGGACAGAAAAAAAAAAGTGTGCGGCAGGGCATAAGGGAGAGCAGGAACTGAAGGAGTGATGAGTGGAGATTGCAGAGGGATGGAGTGGGCTGCACCTGGAGCCACGGTTTGCTGAACAGTCAGCTCCATGTAGACCGGGACCCTGGCATGCAAAGGAAGCCGCCATGGGAGATGTTTCTTTCCTTGGGACTCTGCAGCTGCAACCGTCAACATTAAGAGGGGCAGTCAGTCAGGGCTGCTCGGGACAATCTTTGAAGATACCACCTTTTCTTCTTTTCTGTGTTGCTTCTTCTCTTTCTTTGAGAGAGACAGAGAATTCCTTTTGCCTGGTTCATTCCCCAGATAATCCCTATGACTGTGACTGGTCAGCTCACAGCGAGGAGCTAGAAACTTGATTCAGTTCTCTCACATGGGTGCCAGGGACCTGATTACTAGAGCCTTCGATGCCACTTCCAGGCTCTGCATCAGGAGGAAGACTGGACTGGGAGTTGGAGCCAGGAATATTCTCCAGTGTAGTACACGGGCTTTTTAACTGCGAGTCTAAACACGCCAGGAAGTGAGATTTTATTCCCTTCCGTCTTCTTCCCCTGTGCTTTGCGGGAGTGGCTTCTGGCAGCAGAGCCCGTTCCAGCAGAACAGGAGACTGAGCCTGTGTGGCCATCATAGATGTATCCTGTACCTGTCTCAACGCGTATCGCTGGGTTCCTCTGGAACTGGAAGGAACCAAGGAGAGATGTGTGTCGGTTGCTATAGGATCCTGAGCTGACAGACTCCTTTAAAAAAACCATCCAGTCTGGGGCTGGTGTGATGGCTCCACTGGCTAATCCCATATGCCTACAAGCACTGGGATCCCATATGGATGCTAGTTTATGTCCAAGCTACTCCACCTCCCATCCAGCTGTCTGCTGTGGCCTGGGAAGGCAATGGTAGATGACCTAAAACCTGGGACCCTGCACCCACCCACGTAGGACACCCAGAAGAAGCCCCTGGCCCCTAGCTTCAGGTTAGCTCAACTTTGGATGGCCATTTGGGAAATGAGCCAGTGGATGGAAGATCTTTCTCCCCTTCTCTCTGTGGATCTGCCTTTCCAATACAAATAATAATAATTGTTAAAAAGTCACTCAGTCTAGGCAGACATTGGACCTAGTGGTGAAGACAGCTATGTCCTGGCTCCAGCCTGGGAGGCACCAGTGATAGCTCCTGCGACTGCTACCCATGTGGAAGAATTAGGTTCCATTGCAGATTGCAGCTTCAGTGTAGCCCAGTCCTGGTTGTCACAGACATTTGAGGACTTCAATCAGCAGATAGGAGTTAGCTCGCCCTCGTTGTTCTAGGCCTCTGGAGGTGATCAGCATACAGAAGGTCTCTGTGCCCCGCCCCCCAAACACTCATTTCTTGACCTTTGGGGCAATGGAATGGCTCAATTGGCTGATCTTACCTCTGCAAGCTCTGGGATCCCATATAGGTGCTGGTTCGTGTCCTGGCTGCTCCACTTCCCATCCAGCTCCCTGCCTGTGGCCTGGGAAAGCAGTTGAGGACGGCCCAAAGCCCTGGGACCCTGCACCCATGTGGGATACCAGGAGGAGGCTCCATCTCCCAGCTTTGAATTGGTTCAATTCCTATCATTGCAACCATTTGAGGAATGAATCAGCTGATGGAAGATTTTCCTCCCTGTCTCTTCTTCTCTCTTTAAATCTGTCTTTCCAAGAAAAATTAATAAATCTTAAAGGAAAAACAAAGCCTTATAATGAAATACTGCCTGCTGTGTCACAACACTGTCCTGACACTTTTTTTTTTTAAGATTAATTTATTTTAAAGTGAGGGTCATAGAAAAATCTAGAGGGAAGAAAGAGGGCGGAAGAGAGAGGGATTTTTATATTCCCTGATTTGTCTCCCAAATGACCGTAATGATGCAGTCTGGGCCAGCCAAGAGACAGAAGCTTCTGGGTTTCCCATGTGGGTGCAGGGGCCCAAGTGCTCGGGCCGTTCTCTGCTGCTTTCCCAGGCACTTTAGCAGGGTGTTGTACTGGAAATGGAACAACTGGGTCTCGAACCGGTGCCCATATGGGATACTGATGCTGCAGGTGGCAGTTTACCTCGCTCCACCACAGCAGTGCCCCCCAGCCTTGATTTATTTTTTTTAAAGAACCTGAATTAATCATCTACGAATTGACTAAAAGCCCTAATAATGAATAAAATTGCCATTTGGCATTCCTTCTCAGTCAAGGTCAGCATGCTTTGCTTTGCACATGGACAGTTGGTAAATGTGTCAGGGTGCTGTGAGTCACACAGCTTTTGTTTACAACTCCTCAGCTCTGCTCTTGTAGCTTGGATAGCATACCAACACAGTATGCTGGTACCGCGACATGGGCGTTAGCCTGTTGCACTACAGTGCCAGCCCCAAACAAAGGGACATTTGTGGTGTTTATGGGCATTCTGCTGTCTTGACTTTCCTCTTCAGGAGTTTTTAAGGATTTGGCATTTCCAGAAATGCTGTCACGTTAGGAGTTGGGCCGTGTGAGCCCCAGGGTTTGCTTCCTTTGTTGTTGACTTTGCAGTTGTCATGTGTTTTCTTCCAAACTGAGCTCCCCAGGGGCAGACACTTGGCCCTGGGGTCCGGAGTCGAAGGCCATTGCTGTCACGAGATGGTGATTGACATGCTGAGCCGCAGAACCCAGAAATACTGATGTGTGACTGTGTGTGTGTGTGTGTGTTACAATTTCCACAAATTTCGTTTCAGGCGGAAATGAGAATGTTTCGGACACGAGTCGAGGAAGTGGTGAAGGAAAATGAAGACTTGCACCGGAAGTTAAATGAGAGCAGTCCTGTTACCAGCGAGGAATGGCAAGTGGGGTCGCGTGTCTGGTGTTCTGCTAATTTAAAGCAAAGGCAAACAGAAACGAACCTTATGCAATCATTCAATGCAGAAATGCTTTGTCTGGTTTGGGCGACTTTCATCAGGGAAATCAGTAAGGTTACTCTTCTAGTAATCTAGAGGATTACTCTGACCTTGTGCTATAAAAGTGAGTTATTAAATTCCAGATAGGTTCTTAACCCTGAAATTGCTGCAGCTTTCTCCATTTCTGTTTTCTGAGGTGGGATTTTCCTAGGGCGATTCTTCCACCCCTACCCTACTTAACTCCCTCCTGTGGCTTCCAGGGCTTTGGGACAGAAAGCCCATGATGAGACCCGCTCAGCCAGCTCCCATCGGCCTGGCTGGGTCTTCTGAGACCGAGATCACCCATCTTCTGTTCTGTTAGCTCTGGCATATCATGCCCTCAACAGTGTCTCACCCCTGCCTTCATGATGCCGGACAGTAGCTCTTCCCTGCAAGAGAGGCTGGGTCATTGTTTCTTTATCTGTTGGCGATATGGCAGGAAGCACAGCCCTGATCCTGGCCTTGACCCTACCACTGTGTCTCACCTGTCCTGTCTGTCTCCTGCTTCTCCTCTGTGAACTCCTTGAGAGCAGGCAGTCCATTTTGTATATGAAGCATCCTCTATAGCTCCTCCCGCACCACCTTGCTGTTTCCTGTACCGGCACAGGTGTGCCAACCCGAGTGCTGCACTGGGCGTGCTCACCCCAACTTCTACAGAATCTGTTCAGTTCCCCATCATTCTCCAGTGGATTTATGGGACTACAACTAAACTCTATAGTTTCTTTACCTATAAAATAGGAGAAGAATGTTAGGCTTTTTCTGAGATTTTTAAATTTATTTCTAATGAGGCCTGGCACAGTAGCCTAGTAGTTAAAGTCCTTGCCTTGTATGCACCAGGATCTCATATGGGTACTGGTTCATGTCCCCACTGCTCCACTTCCCATCCAGCTCCATGCTTGCGTCCTGGGAAAGTAGTGGAAGACAGCCCAAAGCCTTGGAACCATGCACCTGTGTAAGAGCCCCAGAGGGGCTTCTGGCTTCAGATTGGCTCAGCTGTGGCTATTACTGCCTCTTGGGGAATGAACCAACAGATGGAAGATCTTTCTTTCTTTCTGTCTCTCCTTCTCTATGTATTTCTGTTTTCCAATATGAATAAATAAATCTTAAAAAAATTTTTTTTTCTTCTAAGAAGTAGGGATCCCTGGCATAAGTGTTACATTGAAAAGATTAGGTTGTCACTTGAGATGCTTCCTAACCTGCTACCATACCTGTGAAGATAGTAGAAGATTGCCCAATTATTTGGCCCATGCTACCCATTTGGGAGACCTGGCTGGGGTTTCTGGCTCCTTGCTTCTGCTTGACCCAGCCCTGGCTGTTATGGCCATGTGGGGAGGGAACCAGCAGATGGACGATCTCTCTCTCTCTCTCTTACTCTCTCACTGCATCTCCCCTTTCTCTGTTGCTTTGCCTTTCAAATCAATGAATAAATCTTTAAAAACTACTTTCAAAAAAGAAAACGAAAGACCCATTTTATTTAAAAAAAAAAAAGTGGGGGGAAAGAATTTGGTGTCATGGTTAAGCTGCTGCTTGGGACACCTGCACCCATGTTGGAGTGTCTGAGTTCAAGACCTGTCTCTACTTGTAACTGCAGCTTCCTGGTAAGCAGTGCCGTGGGAAGCAGCGGGTGATGGCTTAGCTGCTGACCTGAGTCCTGACCTTCCTCATGGGTGACAGATGGAGTTCCCAGTTTCTGTCCTCAAATTAGTACAGCACTGATGGTTGTGAGCATTCGTAAGGCAAACCAGTAGGGGAAAGAGCTCTGTGTGTCTTTCTTTCTGCCTTTCAAGTTAAAAAAAAAAAAAATTAATGAAAAAGGAATAAAGGAACAAGGAAAGAAGGAAGCAAAAGTCTTCCAAAGAGACCCAAAAGGTAAAGTAGGCCAAAGTGGAGCTGCTGTGTTTGATGCTCCAGGAGCTGGAGCAGACCACCGTGGCTCAACTTCCTCCCTGCCTGCACTGCAGCAGCCCCCAGCCCCCCAGGGGTGCTGGCAGGATAGCAGCTGGGCTATCTCTACAGCACCGCGGAACTAATGCACAGCTGCAGTCGGTATGAGGTCATCGCTACAGTCTGAATCTTTCCTTCCTTCCTTTTTAAAAAGGATTGATTGAAAGAGAAAGAATGGATGAGAATCTTGCATCCCGTGGTTGATATTCCAAGTGGCTGCAGTACCCAGGATGGAGGCAGGGTCAAGTCAAGAGCCCAGAGCTCTAATCCAGGTCTCCCACATGGGTGGCATGGGGGCCCAGCTACCTGTACCATCTTCAGCCGCTTACCCAGGTGCATTAACAGGCAGCTGGATTGGGAGTGCAACAACTGGGATGTAAAGTAGAGCCATTCGTGTATGACAGATGACAGTTTAACCCACTATGCCATCATTGCCAGCCCCAAACTCCTTTGATTCTTTCATTCTTTCCTCTTTCCACTTGACCTTTAGAGTTAAAGTGGAAAAATCAAGATAAGTTCACTTTGTACTCTAGTTCACTATGTACTCTGAGAGGTAAACATTTAACTAGCTAATTTCTAAGGTCCCTTCAAATCATTCTCTCTGGAATGTGTTATCAGGAAGGTAGAACTGGACTGAGATTTTCATTGCAAAGAAAGGATTTGCTTTTGTAACAAAAATTGAAACCCAGCAGCTTTAGGAAACCATTTCAAAGCCTTTTAATAAAACAATATTTTTTTTTTTCAGCAAATACACTTTTTTTTTTGGAACATTTTTTATTTTGACAATCTTTACATAGTTAATTAGGGTAAAAAGGTTCAAGGGCTACAGGAAAGTGGGGAAGACTAGTATTTTTTTCCATATTGTTTCCTTCATGTTTAAAGGGAGATATTAAGGGAGAAGGCCCACCCAATTTCCCACCCTCCCCAGGTCCCGGATGTAGGGCATGCTCTGAGGTTCTTGCTCAAGTGGTTTTGATATTTCAGCATTTATGAATTGCTGCCAATCTTACCATTCCAAGCACTATGAGGTCCTTGAAGAATCCACTGATTGACATAGTCCATCATAGAGTCTCTGTTTGCCCCATATTTCGCTGCCAAGATATAGCTGAATTGGTTGGTTGACCTGTTCTGTCTTCTCTCTTTTCTTGGTTAGGATTCTGAGTCCAGCATTTTGATTGGGGAGATCTCCAAAGAAACTTTGTCTGAGGTGTTCTCAAACCAGATTCTTTTTTTTTTTTAAGATTTATTTATTTATTGGAAAGTCAGATATACAGAGAAGAGGAGAGATAGAGAGGAAGATCTTCCGTCCGATGATTCACTTCCCAAGTGAGTGCAATGGCTGATACTATGCCGATCCAAAGCCAGGATTCAAGAACTTCTTCCGGGTCTCCCATGCGGGTGCAGGGTCCCAAAGCTTTGGGCCATCCTCGACTGTATTCCCAGGCCACAAGCAGGGAGCTAGGTGGTTAGTGGAGCTGCCATTTTGACATGAACCGGTGCCCATATGGGATCCCGGCGCATTCAAGGCGAGGACTTTAGCCGCTAGGCTACGCCGCCGGGCCCAAACCAGATTCTTGTATGTGGTAGCAAGTACAGGGCCCGGCACAGTCCATTGCCCCGATCAGGTAAAATACACTTCTGATCATAGGTATTTTTTAAATTAAAATGAGAAATTTGGAGTGGGCATTTGACACAGTAGTTGAAATACCACTTGGGAGACCCATATCCTTGGGTTCAAGTCCTAGTCGCCACTTTCGCAAATCCAGCTTCCTGCCCGGGAGACAGTGCTGACAACTCAAGCACTTGTGCCTCTGCCACCACACAGGAGACCAGAGTTGGGTTTCAGGCTCCTGACTCTGACCTGGCCCAGCCCTGGCCATCAGCAGCATCTGAGGAATGAACCAGCACATGGAAGTTCTCTTTTGTCTCTGTCTCCCACTGACTTTTTGCCTTCAAATAAACAAAAGTTTTAAATAAAACCAGAATGTTCTGAATCCTTTAAAAATACTCTATATGGCCTTCAAAACAATCCAGTGGAAGGTGGATTAAAGGTTTCTACATAGAAAAAAAAAGAGTAGCCCTTTGATTATTATGTAAGCTGGGAATTGTTTACATGGAAGTTTTACTTTCTGTATGTTTGAGCTTTTCTGTCTGACTGAACCTCCATGTTTGATTTTGCCCATCGACTATAGGCGTCAGCTTCAGACTCAAGCAGAGCTGGTCTTGGAGGAGAACAAGCTGTTGCTAAAACACTTGGAGATCCAGCAAGTGAAAGCCACGGAGGCCCACCAGGAGCATCTCCAAGAAGGTGAGGGCTTTGCCGTGGTGACGGGTGATGTCACTGTTTCGTCATTGGAAACAGACGAAATCGTGTTTGTTTAAGATGGAGTAAAGCTCTTCCATACAGTGGTTCATACCCAAACAGTTGGGTCCCAACAGTTGGTACTAGCCAAGGCCAAAGCCAGGAGCCAGGAATTCCCAGTAATAGAAGCTGAATCAGAAATGGAATACCTAGGACTTGAACTCGCCCTCCTATGAGATGTGAGTGTCTCAAGAGTCAGCTTAACATGCTGCACTACCATGCCTGCCTCAACCAAGTCTTTTAGAATATGGAGGTACTTCCAGAAATTTAGAAAATGGATTAAAAGTTGTTTATTTTTGTGTAAAAAAAAAAACAACAACTTGAAATTGATGTATACACTGAGTACTCAAAAGGTTCATAGAAAGACATGGGTTTCAAACATTTTTACACCATCGTAAATGCATGCTTTAATTCCATTTTCGTGACCTTTGGGAAGTAGCCTTCCATGTTCTTTGCTGAAATGCGACTGCTTATAACATTACTGGCTATTACCCTTGATGGCATGGGCCGCTTCCCCTCCGCACCCTGCACACAGTGTGTCTAATAATGACTCTGTAATCACTTGGAAGGGACTCAAATGGTGCCTGAGAAGTAGGAAAAAGCATGTGAGGTAAATTCTTGAAACAACAGAAGAATTCTTCTCCAAATATGTGTTGGATGAGTAAATAATCAGGAAAGTTTTATCCTGTGACCACTGGCTCCATAGGGTTCTTCCCTTTCTCTGTTGCTGGAAACATCTTGGCTTGTATCCCCTGGGATGACTCTCCATCAGAAAGCTTCCCCACAGAGAGGACCCTAGCAGCAGGTAACGGACTTTGAAGTGCGCCTTGTGAGCAGCAGTTTCTTCAGAGAGTAGTAGAAGTTTTTGTTGTTGTTGTTTTGTCTTCTTCTTTACTGATTTTTCTTTCCCAGTAGAGAACAGCGTAGCACAGAAAGCTGAGCCACAAGCTGCCTAGTGTGGCCCCTCCTTCCTTCCTTCCTGTTTATCTTTTAGCACCCACATGTGGAATGATCCTCCATACTGTGGAAGGGTTCATTTCCAGTACTTTCTGTTGCTGAAGCTTCACATGTTTTGGATAATGACAGCATGTCTAACTGTGAGAGAGAACCAGAGGAATTTCCTGCAGAGGGCTTCTTCGTAGACCTGATTGTCCCAGGAGTCCTTGCCTTTAGTCTTAGTTCATGTTCTCTTCGGTAGCAAAACGCCCAGTGATGGATGCTTGCTAAAAGAAAGGAGGAGGGGTGAACATTTGGTTCATTGTATAAGATGCCACTTCGGGGCCAAGTGTGCCAGGATCCCACATGGGTGCCAGTTCATGTCCTGGCAGCCCCACTTCCCATCCAGCTCTCTGCTTGTGGCCTGGGAAGGCAGTAGAGGATGGCCCAAGGCCTTGGGAGCCTGCACCTGTGTGGGAAACTAGGAGGAGGCTCCAGGCTCCTGGCTTTGGATCAGCTCGGCTCCAGCCGTTGTGGCCACTTGGGGAGTGAATCAGCAGACGGAAGATCTTCCTCTCTGTCTCTCCTCCTCTCTGTATATCTGACTTTCTAATAATAATAATAATAATAAATCTTTAGAAGAACAAGCTTTGTACACCCATATCCTAACAGAATGAGAGGTCATGTGGAGAGGCAGGAGGCCATGGATTCTAGGGGCCAGCCTCATTCATTCTTTTTGTAACAATCAACTCTGATAGGAACTAACTAGGCCCTGGAGTGAACTGCATTAACAGGGCTGGCACTGTTGCATAGTAAGTTAAGCCTCTGTCACAGTTCAAGTTCCAGCTACTACACTTCTGATCCAGCTCTCTGCCAACATGCCTGGGAAAGCAGCCAAGGATGGCCCAAGTCCCTGTGACCCTGCTCCCACATGGAAAACACCGAGGAAGCTCCAGGCTCCTGGCTTTGGACCAGCTCGGCTCTGGCCATTGCAAATATTTGGGGACTGAACCAGTGGGTGGACAGGCTCTTGCTGTCTTTCCTTCTTTCTGTGTGTAAGTCTGCCTTTCAGATAAAAATAAATAAATATATATTTTTTAAGTCCCTTATGACCTAACACCACCACACTAGGGACCAAGCCTCCAGCACAGAAATCTCACTGGGGACAATGCGCATCCAGACCATAGCACTGGTGTCCTTGGCACTGGGGCAAGAACTTAGTTTTCAGGAGTAGAGATGACAGGGACATTACTTACTTATATACCAAACTTCCATTTTTTCAGACATACCAGATTCTTCTGTCACGTGGAACCCTCAGCATTATCCACACATTCCCCAGAAACAGCCACTCTTGCCAATTGTATGTCTCCATCTAGCAGAGAAAGGTCATGTTTAATGCTGTAATACTCTGAAGTGCTGATATCAACAGATACCCAGAGAATTATCTTTTCCGTACCAGCAATTACGTGCCACCGTGCCACACGGAATGAACATATTTATGATTTGTTTTTTAAAATTTTATTTTAAAAGAGTGAGAGAGAGCTATGCAGAGGGATCTTGAATCCAGCGGTTCACTCCCAGAATATCTGTTAACAGTCAGGGCTAGACTGAAATCTAGAACTCAGCTCTCCATGTGGGTGGGTCTTCCACGGGTCTTCCACGTGGGTGGCAGGCATTTAGTCCCTGAACCCAAACTGACTGCCTCGCAGAGCGTGCCTTAGCACACGGGAAGCTGAAAGCAGAGGAACCAGGACTTGACCCGGGCACTCTGATAACAGGATGTGCGTATCTCAAGTGGCAAGTTCATCATTGCACCAAATGCCTACCATATGATTTCCTTGAAATACAGGACATAAAATATATAAAAACTTAATGAGGGAGACCCAGCGTGGTGGCTCAGAAGGCTGTATCTTTACCACACGTGCCAGAATCACATTTGTGCCAGTTCATGTCCTGGCTGCCCCACCTTCCATCCAGCTCCCTGCTTGTGGCCTTGGGACCCTGCACCCATGTGGGAGATTTGGGAAGAACTCCTGATCCCAGGCTCCTGGCTTCAGATCTGCTCAGCTCCTGCCGTTGTGGCTATTTGGAAGCGAACCAGTGGATGAGGATCTCTCTGTCTCTCCTTGTCTCTGTAAATCTGCCTTTCCAAGAAAAATCAATCTTCAAAAGAATTTAATGAGGAAATAAAATGAATAAATGGGGTTCTGACTTTTGTCATGTATGATGTCCTTGAAAATCTTGTGGTTTCAGAGGTCTCATGATACATGCTTGGGCATCTATATATGGCATAAAGTGTCAGTTCTCTGAAGACTGAAGTCATGCCTTATTAAATATTATAATAATCCCTAGTTAAAAAAATGTTTAGTAATCCCTACTGTTTTTTTTTTTAATGTGCATACTATGGTGAGTGATTCCAGCTCACCCCATCCCCACCCTCACTCTAACGGAAACCAAGATCTTCAGATGTGCCTGCCTTTATATGACATGGTGTAGGATTTACATAGAGCTCTGCACACTTACTTCCCATACTTTAAATCATCTCAAGAGTTCTTAAAATACAGAATGCCATGTCAAACCCATGCAAATACTTGTTCTGTTAGGGCACTTGGTATTGCAGTTAAAACACTCCTTGCTATATCCAGCTTCCATACTTGGGTGTCTAGGCTCACGCCAAGTTCTGATCTCGACTCCACCTGCTGTGCAGGGGAAGCAGCGGGCCAAGTGTTTGGGTCCCTCTTGGTTTTCCAACACCTAGCTCTGGCCTGGCCAGACCATGGCTCTTGTGGATTTTTCAGGAGTGAGCCAATGGAAAGGAGATGTGTGTTTATTTTTTTCTCTGCCTTTCAAATAAATGAGAACGAAAGAAAGGGGGTGGGGGAGGGAGGAAAGAAGCAAGAAAGGAAGAAAAGAAAGGAAGAGAGAGAGAGAGGGAGGGAGCTTGAATGTTCAGTTAAGATGCAAGTTTTTCTCCCAGGTTTTTTTTTTTAAAGATTTATTTTTTATTATTTTCTTTATTGGAAAGGCGGATATACAGAGAGGAGAGACAGAGAGGAAGATCTTCCGTCCGATGATTCACTCCCCAAGTGAGCGCAACGGGCCGATACTATGCCGATCCGAAGCCAGGAGCCTCTTCCAGGTCTCTCACGTGGGTGCAGGTTCCTAAAGCTTTGGGCCGTCCTCGACTGCTTTCCCGGGCCACAGGCAGGGAGCTGAAAGGGAAGCGGCACCCATATGGGATCCCGGGCGTGCTAGGCGAGGACCTTAACCACTTGCGCCACCGTGCCGGGCCCTCCCAGGTTTTGTTTTTTTTTTTTAAATTTTGTTGATTGAAGCCCTTGATCTAACACCCCTGACTTCAGAAGGCTGACTGGGCATTCAGTGACTGCTGATAGTAAGATAGTCATTTCTATGAACCAGGCCTTAGTATGAATGTGTAACTCTCCAAAGGAGTTTTAATACAACACTTGATAAGCCAGGTTGCATTGGTATAGTCAAGTTATTAGGCCTTCTGGGTAATTCTGTGTCCATCTCTTTTTGTCTCTCAGTTGCTAAGCTGACTAAAAAATTGATGCTGCTGGAATCTACCACGCAGACCCAGGAGGAGGAGCTCAGGGCCAGGAAGGAGCAGGTGGAGGCCTTACAAGCTCAATGCCAAGAACTCCAGACACGCCTGGGGGACACCATTGAAGCAGAAGTTCATGCGTCAATTGTAAATAAATTAAAAAGGTAAGGATTTTTTTTTTAAAGATTTATTTATTCTATTGGAAAGGCAGATGTACAGAGAGGAGGGGAGACAGAGAGGAAGATCTTCCGTCCTATGGTTCACTCCCGAAGTGACCACAACAGCAGGTGCTGCGCCGATCCGAAGCCAGGAGCCAGGAACCTCTTTCCAGGTATCCCACATTGGGCCGTGCTAGGCTGCTTTCCCAGGCCACAAGCAGGGAGCTGGATGGGAAGTGGAGCTGCTGAGATTAGAACCAGCACCCATATGGGATCCCAGCACGTTCAAGGTGAGGACCTTAACCATTACGCTGTTGTGCTGGGCCCAAAAAAGTAAGGATTTTAAGTCTCTTCCAATGTTAACGAGTCACTGCCTGCAGTGGCATAAGCAGAGTTGAGACAGGTTGCTTGCTCTTTCTGTGGATTTTTTAAACCACAGAGTCAAGGGAGGTTTCTCGAGCTTCTTGTGAATTTTTTAAAACTTATCTGAGTGTGGTGTCTGTAGGTGAAGATGGCAATTTGTCATGAAGAACCTGGATGTCCCTTTTCTTTTTTTTTTTTTCTTCTTGAGTGGGCAGAGAGGGCAAGGTCGGAGAGAGATGTTTCTGTCTTTCATCTTGGGTCCATGGGGAGAGAGAGCGCACCACTGTGGCTTCTCATGAGCCCAGGAAGGGGAGTGGTTACCAGGTATGACCATCCAGTCTGAGGTGAGGGGTCATGTCATTTGACAGGTAGGCAGACTGTGTTATATAAGGTGGGGGACAGCTGTCCAGGGACAGTGCTGGCCCAGCGGGAGCATCGCAGCTGGGCACCATGAGTGAGGCTCCAGGAAGCACATTGCATCGGGCGGGGTGGGGGGAGGCTGTCGGACAGCAGGCTGCACAGCAGGTGACACTGAGTGTTAGCTTCCATGTGCCGGAAAGCCAGTACAACCCGTGAGCGCCTGGGGACCTTTCAGACGGCAGGTGCAGGGACTCGGCGGCATCTCCTTGGGTTTGCGTTCCAGCCCAGGCTAAGAGTCCCCAGCCCCTGGTGGCGACTTCCTACCAATGCCCAGACCCAAGTGGGCAGTGGTGATGATGCAAGTAGTTAGGTTCCTGCCACACATCTGGGTGACCTGCGTTGTATTCCAGACTTGGTGTTTCAGGCTGGCCTAGCCTTAGCCATTGCAGGCTTTCGACAATAATAATTAATAATAAACTAGAATATTTGTAACTACATAGTATAAATGAAAGTTCTTCAAAACCATTCTTTATTTTTTCTTTTGGAAAAAAAAAAATTGAGAGACAACTCCATTCCCTGTTTCACAGGTATGAATGCCTGCCATATCCAAGGTTGAACTAGATCAAACTAGGAATCAGAAATGCTTTCTGGTCTCCCACATGGGCAGTGAGAACCAGGACACTTGCCTCCCAGGTCTTCATTAGCAGGAAGCCAGAGTCAGGAGCCAGAGGTAGACACTGAAACTTGCCACTCTGTAATGTGGGATGTGAGCACCCTAGCTGATGTCATATACCAGCTAAACACCCACCCTAGAATTATTTATTTCTGGAACTTTCTGTTTAGTATTTCCATATTGTAATTTATCATGGATAACTGAAACCTCAAAAAGCAAAACTAGATATAAGGAGAGACCGCTATAATTTCTAAACTTGTATGGAGAACATGATTAAAAACCAATCCAGGTTTTTATCAACTAATATCAAACTAATATCAAAGCAATCCAGGGTCCCAGTACTTTCAGCAACAACTAGGACCAGGCCAGGCCAAACCCAGTAGCCAAAAACAAGTCTCCCATGTGGGTGGCAGGTGCCAACTAAGCTACCACGGTGCCACCTTATCATGAAACTGGATTGGAAATGAACGTGGGACTCGAACCAGGCACACCCATACTGCATGTGTGTGTCCCAATGCAGTGGCTTAGCCTATGGTGCCACAGCTCCTGTCACTAATTCAGGAGAAACAAGTTTCCAACTTCTGGTTCACTCCGCAAAGGCTCTCAGTAGTCCTAGGCTAGAGGCAAAGGCTAGGTGGAAGGAATTCAGTGCAGGTGCTCCATGTGGGTGACAGGAACTCAGATCAGCAGCCAGAATCGCGCATTGCATTCAGGAACTCAGATGGGGGATGTGGGCATCTTAACAAAGTTTTACATGCTTTGAATTTAGACTTGACTAAGTGATGTGCAGTCAATACAGATTCCTGATGCTTGCGACAAGTATGCAGCTCCTGTATCATCTATGCAAAAATTCTTTTTATTAAAGATTTATCTGTTTATTGGAAGGTCGGAGTGATAGAGATGGAGACATAGAGAAAGATCTGCTGTCTACTGGTGTGCTTGCCTAGTGATTGCAAGGCCAGGGCTGGGCCAGGCTACAGACAAGAGCCTGGGACTCCATCTGGGTCACCCATGTGGGTGGCAGGGTCCATGGGATTGGGCCATCTTCCACTGCTTTCCCAGGGAGACCCAGTTAGCAGGGAGCTGGATCAGAAGCGGGACAGCAAGGACACAAACCAGCACTCCAGCATCATGCTGGCAATGCAAACAGCAATGTAACCCACTGTGCCACAGTTTCAGGCACATCTATGCAAATGTGACAGCATGCCAGCTGGTGTTCAATGTACCAACTATCTCCTCTGTTTCCTCTGTCATGTAAATGGTATTTGTGAGATTAGGTATTTGATGCAGTGACTGAGACAGCTTCCAATGCATATATCGAATGTCACAGTGGCACTGGGTTGCCACCCAGCTCCTCCACGTCTGAGTGACTTCCTTGCTAATTCATGCCACGGGAGGAGACAGCAGATAATTGCCCAAGTGGTAGGGGTCCCCGCCACTCCCATGGGAGGCCTGAGTGGAGCTCCAGGCTTCTCACTTTGGCGTGACGCCGCCCTGTCTCTTGTGGTCATTCAGAGAGTAACCCAGTAGATGGAATATCCCTGGACTCTTTTTCCTCTCTCTGCCTTTCATCGAAAGTGAAAGTAAACATAAATTAAACATTTAAAAGTATCTGTAAAAACATGTATTTATATTGACACTGTTTGGAAATCACATTTTAGTAGCAGGGTTTTTTTCCCCCTTGGTGGTTCAGATTAGTTTGCTGAGAGGAGTGGGATGTTCATTGGTATCTATAGGAACATAGAAGCAAAACCTGCGGGCAGAGGGAAACAAAAGGGGGGGAATTACATTACCAGGAGCAATGGGGGTCTGCCCAAGCATGTCTCCTCGCTCGTCCTCAGGTCTGGGATGGGGTGATGTTCCCACCGAGCCTGCCTGATGTGCACCTAGGGGCCAGGGACTGAGCCGCTTTCCCGTGTGTCCGGCGCAGCTGCCTCGTTATTGTCCCCGTGTCCTGGATGCAGACCTTGCCACTGCCCTTTGTCCTTCAGCCAGTTACAGGAGAAGGATGAGAAAGGAATCGCTGAGGTGGAAGAGTTGCTAGAAACACTGACCATTTTGCAAACGCACCAGAAGAAATTGTTTTTGGAGAAGGACAGTTTGGCAGCTAAAAACCAAACCCTGGAAGCCGAGCTTAAAAAGGCACAGAAGATAAACAGGTTTGTATTTATTTATTTTTTTTTAATTTTCTTTGCCAATAGTTAAAAAAAAAAAGAGAGAGAGAGAAAAGGAAAACTGAAGAATATTCCATTTCATTTTGTTTTCTTCCCGTTAGTAGTGGCTATACTATTAGAAAAGGGTAATTGGGTCAGGGCAGCTGGATATTAGCGTGTAAGTACAGCAAAGCCTTTTCCATTGATCGACACTAACTAGTATCATTTATTTTAACAAGGTTCATTTATTTTACTGGAAAGTCAGATATACAGGGAGGAGGAGAGACAGAGAGGAAGATTTTCGATCCACCTGTTCACTCCCCAAGTGGCCACAATGGCTAGAGCTGAGCCAATCTGAAGCCTGGAGCCTGGTGCCTCTTCCAGGTCTCCCATGTGGGTGCAGGGTCCCAAGGCTTTGGGCCGTCCTCGGCTGCTTTCCCAGGCCACAAGCAGGGAGCTGGATGGGAAGTGGGGTCTCCGGGATTAAAACTGGCACTCATATGGGATCCCAGCGTGTGCAAGGCGAGGACTTTAGCCACTAGGCTACCACACTGGGCCCCAGAAGTTCCTTTTTAACTGTTTCCCAAAAGTCTACTTTGGGATTGCCAAAAATCTACTAGAACTTGAGCTAAGAAGTTAACAGAATATTTAATTAGCCTGTTCATTACTAGGCATTTTTTGAGTCTTGTTGTCTTGATTTGGAGTCATTATTAAGCCTGATTTCAAGCTGAATTCATTGCCCACTGCCCCTCCCCCCATACCTAATGAAAGATTGGGTTCTTGAAGAATGGTATCTACATGTTGAACTACTGTCTGTTGCTAAAATAAACATGTACACACTGTTAATATTGCAACTCATAAGGTTTTATTTTTCTCCTACCCTTTGGGGCAACACACAAGGAAATCGCGAAAGAAAATTGATCTCCTCAGAAAGCAGGTGGACAAAGCCCTGGGCAACGAGATGTCTGCCCACCAGTACCTGGCGAGCATTGTCGGCCTGGCAGAGAGCGTGGCCCAGGAGCGGGACACGCTTAGGGTTTTGGTGAGTTTGCTCAAATTTACATCAATGTAAACGAGCTGCAAATTGGTAAGCAAATGCTATTTTTGGAATATCTTTTAATGGGCCTGGTGCAATAACCTAGAGGCTAAAGTCCTTGTCGTGCGTGAACACTGGGATCCCATGTCCTGGTTCCTGGTCTGACTTCCCCGCTTCCCATCCATCTCCCTGCTTGTGGCCTGGGAAAGCAGTGGAGTACAGCACAAAGCCTTGGGACCCTGTACCCATGAGGGAGACCTGGAAGAGGCTCCTGGCTTCAGATCAGCTCAGCTGTGGCCATTGCAGCCACCTGGGAGTGAACCAGTAGATGGGAGACCTTTGTCTCCCCTTGTCTCCCCTTGTCTCTGTAAATTTTCCTTTCCAATAAAAATAAATAATTTTTTTTATAAAGTGAGTATCTTTTAAATAATTCATAAAACGCTTTGCATTTTGGGCCTGGTGCGATGGCCTAGCGGCTAAAGACCTCGCCTTGAACGCGCCAGGATCCCATATGGGCGCCAGTTCTAATCCTGGCAGACTCACTTCCCATCCAGCTCCCTGCTTGTGGCCTGGGAAAGCAGTCGAGGATGGCCTAAAGCCTTGGGACCCTGCACTCGCGTGGGAGACCCGGAAGAGCTCCAGGCTCCTAGCTTCAGATCGGCACAGCACCGGCTATTGCGGTCACTTGGGGAGTGAATCATCAGATGGAAGATCTTCCTCTCTGTCTCTCCTCCTTTCTGTACATCTGACTTTGCAATAAAAAAATTTTTTTTTTTTTTTTTTTTAAAGATTTATTTTTATTATTTTTTTATTGGAAAGGCGGATATACAGAGAGGAGAGACAGAGAGGAAGATCTTCCGTCCGATGATTCACTCCCCAAGTGAGCGCAACGGGCCGATACTATGCCGATCCGAAGCCAGGAGCCTCTTCCGGGTCTCCCACGCGGGTGCAGTTTCCCAAAGCTTTGGGCCGTCCTCGACTGCTTTCCCAGGCCACAGGCAGGGAGCTGGAAGGGAAGCGGGGCTGCCGGGATTAGAACCGGCGCCCATATGGGATCCCGGGCGTGCAAGGCGAGGACTTAACCACTTGTGCCACCGCGCCGGGCCCTAAAAAAATTTTTTTAAAGAAATATTTTTTTAAAAGCTTTGCATTTAAAACTTTTAAGTACATATTTTCAGATTGTGTAAACTTTAGCTTTTTAACAATGAGGACATTTTTGAAATGCGAATGTGGCCAGCCTTGTGGCACAGTGAGGTAAGCTGCCTTAGAGACGCTGACATTCAGTGTCTGGCGTTCCACTGTGAGCGTAGCCGTTCTGCCTCAATCCAGCTTCCTGCTAATGCATCATGGGATGGAAGATCTTCCTCTCTGTCTCTCCTCTTCTCTGTATATCTGCCTTTCCAATAAAGAAAATAAAAAAAATAAATCTTTAAAAAAGGATTTATTTATTTTTGATTGGAAAGTCAGATACACAGAGAGGAGGAGAGACAGAGCGGAAGATCTTCCATCTGATGGTTCACTCCCCAAGGGGCTGCAACAGGCCAGTGCTGAACAGATCTGGAGCTAGGAGCCAGGAGTTTCTTTTGGGTCTCCCACACGGATGCAGAATCTTAAGCCTTTGGGCCGTCCTCGACTGCTTTCCCAGGCCACAAGCTGGGAGCTGGATGGGAACCGGGGCTGCTGGGATATGAAGCAGCACCCATATGGGATCCTGGAGCATTCAAGGCCACTAGGCTACTGTGCCCTCTCTGTCTACCGGGCCCTCTCTGTCACTTTATTTTTCTCAGATATCATGCCTTTGGAAGGGAGAGCGGGAGGGACGAGTGGAGGAGTTTTGTTTTGTTTTTATGGCAAATTTAACCTATTCCATAATGGCAAACGATATAGGAAGGTAAATAAGGGGATTAGTCCATGTAATGAAGTAGGAACCATTGCCATCATGTATTTATTATACCTACAGATATATCTTTATACTGCTGTCTTAGTTCTGAAGATAAAATAAGAGAAAAATCTGCTATTCTTTGGTTCAATTCCCAAATGGCTGCAATGGCCAGAGCTAGTCTAGGCCCAAACTAGGGACCGGGGATCCCATGCTCATCTCCCACACGGTGGCTGGTGCCCGAACATCTGGGCCCTCATCTGCTGCCTTTCCAGGTACTCAGTTGACACTCTGATGGGAAATGCCAGCGTCACAAGCAATAGCTTCACCTGCTCTGCCACCCCGCTGGCCCTGAAGACTTTTACAATTAGGATAGTTGTTGGTGGGAATGGTGTAAGCCCGCTCATATGTTACTGGTGGTTTCTAACTCTTTTCCAGAGAAAGCATCCAGACTTTCTGGCCCAGCGGGTCCCACCCTAAAAAGCTGCTGTCCCCAGCAAAGTGCTGAATCCTGGTGTTTTCTGTAGTGGCACCAAGTGCTCGTTTCCCCTCCTGCTGTTGCCCACCCCAGTATTGAAAAGGCTTGTTGAAAAAACGTGCAGTGCCAAACAAACCCATTTCTCTTCCAGATATGTCTGGGGATTCTGAAGATAGAAGCCTTCTGTCTTAAAGGCAGGACACACAGGCGCCCTTGGCATGCAGGCCCTGTGGCTCCACGTGATCCCGGAGGCACCACAGGTCTCTCTGATGCAGTCGAGCTCCTCCCTTTGGCCCAACCTCTCATCTTTGTAGTCCTGGGCTGGAGGTCCAAAGGGAGGTCCCACACTCTGTGGGCAAACATTTCAAAGCTGCAGATGAAGCCAACGGACTCTAACAGTCCTCCCGTAATGGCCTGAAAGCCAGGCTGCTGTGTAGAATCCCTAAGACCTGCCCCCCCCCCCGCCACTCCCTCAAATTCACAGCTAAAACACAGGACTCAAGGGACGCTGCTGTCACCCACTCGGCTCCACCTGTCACTAGGCCCCTGTGAGCCCACAGACACCATTGCCCATCCAGAGGGGTACATGGCAGCTGTCAGGACTTCTGGGCCAGCTGCCTTGTGCCTGCGGGTTCCTTGTCCCTGGGAACACCGGGCTTTCCCTCTGCCGAAGTCTGGAGCAGTTGGGACTGCCCTGCTGGCCTCACCCATGTCCTAATTCTGGGCCGCATACACTGCATCACCCGGCCCTTGTGAAAACCCCCAGCTGCCCCCTTCCCCCCCGCCCCGGTGCATGCTTAGCAGGTAAGAATTCCACTGTGCTTCCGGAAGCTTCCACTGATTACCTGTGGCTAGGAAGAATATCTGTGTCACCATCTCACATTTCTGTGAGAGAAACAATAGTCTTAAATACTGATATCTTGATGTCTAATCCTGTTCCTTAGGCTGGCTTTTCCAAGTGACATGGGGCCAGTGTTTAACTCCGTCATATCTTTCCTTTCTAGAAAGTCAGACTGCCATCACCAGCTGCCTTAGTGGGAACCCTCACCTTTATTTAAGTTTTAGTATCTGACATAGTTAACTTACAGTGTGTACTGGATCATTTTCCATGTGGATATTAATCTAAACCAACTTCAGATGACATTCCTCTTGGATGCACAGCTCAATATGTTTGGATTGTAGAGTAGCCTATTAAATTATTCTTTTTTTAAAGATTTATTTTTTTTTATTGCAAAATCAGATATACAGAGAGAGGAGGAGAGACAGAGAGGAATATCTTCTGTCCGATGATTCACTCCACAAGTGACTGCAATGGCCAGAACTGTGCCAATCCAAAGCCAGGAGCGTGGAGCTCTTCCGGGTCTCCAACACGGGTGTGGGGTCCTAAGGTTTTGGGTTGTCCTCAACTGTTTTCCTAGGGAAAACAACAGGGAAAACAACAAGCAGGGAGCTGGATGGGAAGCGAGGCTGCTGGGATTAGAACCAGCGCCCATATGGGATCTCCGTGCATACAAGGCGAGAACATTAGAGCTAGGCCAAGCCGCTGGGCCGTATAAATTATTCTTAACCTCATAGATATTTAAGCTGCTACAAGTTTATTTGGCTCTTGTTAAATAGTCTTTAACATTTATTTAGTTTAAGATTTCTTTATTTATTTGAATGACTGTTGTATATCTAGAGAGAGTGAGAGATGGAGAGAGAGCTTTTCTGTCCACTGTTTCACTCCCTGAATAGCCACAACAGCTGGAGCTGAGCCACTTCAAAGCTAGGGGCTTCTTCCAGTTCTCCCATGTGGGTACAGGGGCTCACCTCCACTGCTTTCTGTTCCCAGCACATTAGCAGGTAGCTGGATCAGAAGTAGAGCAGCTGGAACTCAAAGCGGTACCCATCTGGTGTCACAAGCAGTGGTTTCACCTGCTTTGCTACAATGCCAACCTCTATTTATTTGAAAGTCAGGAAGAGAAATAGAGAGCTTCCATCCCCTGGTTCACTTCCTGTATGTCTACAACAGCCAAGGCTGGGCCTGGGCCAATAGCCAAAAACTCAGTCCAGGTCTCCCATGTTAGTGGTTGGAACCCAATCACTTGAGCCATCCACAGCTAACTCCCTGGTTGTTTTGCATTAGCAGGAAGCTGGAGTCCTGTGCCTGAGCTGGGAATTGAACCCAGATAGTCCAAAGCGGAGTACAGGCATCTTAACTGCTAACCAAAATGCTCACTCCCTAAACTTAATTTTTAATTCCATGTTTCCATGTGGTTTTTAAAGCCCTCTCACAGACTCTGCAATAAAAGAGATGTGTCCTGGAGACCCTATGCCCTCTAATATTGCCGTGAGGACACCTCATGTGCAGGCCCCTGCCATGGCTCCTCTTCAGCCGTTGGCCTGTGTTGTGTCCATAAAGGGCAAACAGAGTGGGCAGGGAAGGGGCTGGGAGGAGATGTTGGGAAAGGGCAGGTGGCAAGGATGAAGATTCCCAGTGGACAGTGATGATTTTTTTGCAAAAGAATTAGTCGTTATTTAAATTCTTCTATAAAACCAGGAGCCCACTCTTTCCTTTTCTCTCCATAGGCTACATATTTAGACGGTGAGAAGAACGGAGTCCTCAATAAAAGCATAAAAGACAAAATCCGACTGGGAAGGTTGGAGGAGCAGTTCAAGGTCAGTGGTGCCCTAGCCTCGGAGATGCCTTCTCCCCATCGATGGGCCTGCTGGTGCAGCTGTGGGTATTGAAGAAAGCTGAGGGTTTGAGTGTTTCTCGATCCATCCACAGAGTGAGTCTGTGTAAGGCTTCGCTGGCGTAAATCAGCACCTCTCAACTCGTGCTTCTCACGCCCTTGTGCTGTTGCTTCCTCGCCACATTCCAGCTCCTTGTAACAGACCATGTGCTTTGTTCATTCTTTCATGTGGCTGTTGTCTGTCTCTCTACCAAGCTACGCGCTCTAAAAGTGCAGGGAATGTTGGCTGTTCTTATTCACTGAAATATCCCAAGCACCTAGACTAGCACCTGGCCCACAGCAGTCTATAATTCTGTACATATTTGGGGAATTAATGAAATAATATACTTAAAAATTCCAGCAAGTCCAAAGCAATATTCAAAGTGATATCTCAACTCTGCCTCAGCAAGACTCAAAGGAGTGTGTCATTCTGTTAGTGACAGGATCCTTATAGACGTATTGTGGGTCATTTTCCTCTGTGGACTTCACCCCCCCCCTTTTTTTTTTTTAAGATTTTATTCTACTTGACAGAGTTACAAAGAGCGAGGGAGATACAGAGAGAGAGAGAGAGAGAGAGAGATCTACTATCTGCTGGTTGTCTTTCCAAAATAGCTACAACAGCCAGAGCTGGGCCAGTCTGAAGCTGGGAGCCAGAAGCTTCCTCTGGGTGTCCCATGTGGGTGCAGGAACCCAAGGACTTGAGCCATTTCCCAGGCCCCAAGCAGGGAGCTACATTAGAAGCAGAGCAGCCGGGACATGAACCAGTGCCCACATGGGATGCCAGCACCTGCAGGTAGAGGATTAGCTGGTTATGCCACCATGTGCCCTGCACCCCTCCACTTGCATTTTAGTTTTTGAAATGTACTGGATGTTACTTCCGAAAGAGGAGATGTGGCCTTCAGAGCAGATGGTTCTGCCGGGAAATCCGTGTCTTCATCACCTGTCTGGACAGGAGTCATCAGGAATGTTCACGTAGAGCGGAGATCTATGAGCAGGACCCAAGTTAGACAGGGCAGCATTTACCAGGAAGGCAAGAAAAGGCTTGGGAAACTAGGGAGATAACCTGTCAGGAAACCTCAGAAACACATGACTTCTAACGATAAGAACATTCTTTCAATAGCAGGGGCCTCAGTGTAATCTTAGGGCTACAGACAGAAGCATGTGTGAGGCGAACATCATAACCTCTACACTACAGAAACGGAGCTTAGACAGAAGCATGAATAAGGCCAGATTGAGAGAGGGAGAAAGAGAAGGAGGGAGGGAGCTGCAAGATGGTCAGTAGGGGAAGCATGGCACATTCATTACACTCGTCCTCAAAGAATTTCATTTCATCTCCAAGGAAATCAGTGGCCTCCATACAAAAATACTTGAAGAAAAGGGGGCAGAGCGTAACTCTTGTACTGAAGAAAACTGATGAAGACTTACTAAAAATAATGTTGCTAAGGAAGGCATTGTGATGTATATATGAAGCTGCCACCTGTGACCTTGGCATCCCGTACGGGATCCAGCTCCCTCCTTATGCCCTGGCACAGGCCCTGGAAGGTGGTGGCCCAAGTGTTTAGGCCCTTGCACCCAGAAGAAGCTTCTGTGTTCGAGCTGGTTCACCCCTGGCCTTTGCGGCTACTGGGGAATAAATGAGAAGGTAGAAGGTCTCTCACTCACTCTTCCTCTTGTCTCCCTAAAACATGTTGCCACCAAGGTGATCGAAACTGTTCACTTCCAAGTGAACTGACAAGTAGTTATTAGCTAGCTAGCTAGATAATGAAGGTACTTTTTTTTTTTTTACTGTCTCATAGCAGTCTCAGCTTTGCGAGTAATATGTAATAACAATTTTTATATATAACATAGAATCAACCGTACATCTACATATACAATAACAAGTACACAAATCAAGTCATGGCTAAAGTCTCTCGAAGTACGAATTTATAAACAGACACCCAACTTAGACCTGTCATTCAGAAAAATAATTTACAGCCTGAGGGAAAAAATAAAGAAGTAAAGATATCACATTTGAAAAATTCAGTAGAAAACAGAAAAATAATAACTACTGGGAAACCTGTGTCTTGCACAGGTTTCTCTTCACCAGAAGACGCAGAAATGCTTTTCACCTGGAGCCCACGGAAACGGGGTGCCTGCACCGCCGCCCCCCACTCCCCTCCCTGTCCCTTCCCAGCTTGTTCCTGCAGCTGCCAGTGTAGACGACCAGTGTACATTCCCCACCTCCCCCGAAATGAGAAGCCAAAATAAGTACTGAATCAGGAGCAGGTACTTTTAAAGTTCATGAAAATGGAATTAAAAGAGTTATTTGGTGCAAAAAAAAATTTTTTTTGAAATCTGTGCCTATGAGAGATCTTAGAAAAGTTTATGGAAATGCATACCACAAAAAAAAAAAAATTAGGCATGATTTCAGATCTTTTTGTGCCAAAGGGAACATTTGAATTCCATTTTCCATAACTTTTTGAAGTATGCAGACAGATAAAACTTAATAATGCAGTCAAGGCAGGAAGAAATCGCAGAAACACAGGAATCCGAGCAAGAAATGAGACCCAGATAGTGAACAGTGACACTGACAGGAAACTCAGGAAAGGAACAGAAGCAGAATCATTTCAGAAACTGGGACTGAATGGCAAGGAGAAAAACACCATGAAAGCACCAAGAGGAATTTCAAGGCTGAAAACGAGTAAAAGATGACAAGAAAACAGGGAGGTCACTTAAGAAGAATTCGGTAAGGAGTGACAAAGATCCACCCTCCCTGTTGTGAGGGTTCCCAGGTAAGAAACCGAAAAGATGGCTTCATGACTGCAAACTGTGTCTTAAGTCTTGAGTGTGTGTAGTGAAAAGGTACATTGGATACCTGGAAAAAGAAAATGGACCTGGAATGGACCCCAAAGAACTTGATGTTGAAGAAAAAGCTCTTAGGCTCAAGAGGGGAAAGCAGAGGCACCTGTCGGCAGTAACAGGAGCACGCTGGGATGGAGAAGCATCCTGGAGAGCTGGGAGCCTGCGCTTCAAATCCTGTCCCGAGTTCATCCAACCAGGAAATGATTGGCAAAGCTTTGGCAACATTTAATTTGTAGTGAGCAAAGACTTTAGGGAGGAGACTGATAGAATACAAATGTTTTCTGACAACATAGAAATATAACCAAGGGCAAAATGATAGGAAAAGGGCGAGGAGAGAAAGTGGAGCAAGCACCCTGACTGCTTCATATATGGTAACCGTGCCACAGAGGGAAGAGGCAAAGAACATCCTTCAGAGCTGAAAAATCCAGCGTGAAGAGCTGAGTGTGTGTGAGCAGGTGGACAGAGAGCAGAAAGAGTGAGAAAAGGCTGTTACGAGCCAATTTACTGTTCCTGCCACAGGGCAGCAGTGGATGCTCTAGCGTGAGGGCGTCAGGGTCAAGTGTTTAGCACAGCGGATCAGGTGCCACTCGGGACACCTGCATCCCGCATCAGAGTACCTGGGTTCGAGTCCCAACTCCACTTCCAATTCTAGCTTCCTGCTGTAGTACTCCCTGGGAACAGGAAGTGATTGTTCAGGCGGTTGGCTCCCTGCCACCCAGGTGGGAGACTCGGATTGAGTTCCACGTTGTAGACTCGGCCTGACCCAGCTCTGGCTCTTGTGACTATCTGAGGAGCATACTAACAGATGGACAATATTACTCTCTTCATGTAAATAACATTAATACAAATAAATGTTTAACAATAAAAATAGGAGGGGTTGGTGTTGAGGCACAGTGGATTAAGTTGCCACCTATAACATATCCCATGAGAGTGCCAAATCCTGGCTGCTCCATTTCTAAACCAGCTCCCTACTAATAAGCCTGCAAAAGCAACACCAGGAGGTCATGCAAGAGCTTGGGCCTGCACTGCCACATGGGACTAGGCTGGAGTTCCAGGCTCCTGGTTCCTGCCTGGCCCAGCCCTGGCCACTGTGGCCATCTGGAAAATGAACCAACAGGTGGAAAATTTCTTTCTCTCCTGCACTCTAACTATGCCTTTCAATTAAAGAAATAAATCTTAAAAAAAAAAAAAAAGAAAACCAAAAAACCAAAATTGTGACCAAATCTATCATATAAATAAAAATAAATGTAAATGAGCTTCAATCACCCATACTTTCTAATGAATTACTAAACCAAAATGCTATTCCAAGCTGTATCCAAGGAGCGACTTGAAATGGAGTTTCAGAAAGATTGGAAATGAAAGGATGAATGAAGATAACCCAGGTTGATGCAAACCCCTCACCCCCACACACACGGGAAGGTTGAAGTCATCGCAAGATAAAAATTAAGGTCAGAAGCACTTGATGAGATGGAAAAGAACTGGGCTGGAGGCAAGTGTTTGACAATACTCGAAGTGCTGGGGTTCAAGCCCCAGCTCTACTTCCTATTCCAGCTTCCTGCTAACACACACCCTCGGGAATGGCTAAAGAAGTTGCCACCTACCTGGAAAGTTGGTTTGAGTTTCTTCCTCCTGCCTTTGGCCTGGCCCAGCCTTGGCTGCTGCGGATATTTCAGGAGTGAATCAATGAGTGGGGGCTCTCTCTGCCTCGGTGTCTTTGTTTTGTGAACAGATCAATGTCTACATTTTTTAAAAATGTTGATGTGAGGTAGAAAATGGGTTGAAGCGTTTTAAGCTGCTGCTGCTTGGAACACCCACATCTCATATCAGAGGTCATGGATTGAGTCCAGCCTCCACACCCAGGGAGCAAAGGGTGGCTTAAGTAATAGGGTCCTGCCACCCACACTGGAGACCCAGATGGAGTTCATCAGCTCAGCCCTGCTGTGTGGGCGTTTGGAGAGTGAACTGACAGCTTTCTCTCTCCTCTCTCCCTATTCTCACTCTGCCTTTCAAATTAAAAAAAAAAAAGTTTAAAAATTTAATTTAAACATGCAAGAGTGAACACTAGAGGCTGGGAAGAGGAGTCTGGAGATGGAGGGAGGCTGAAAGCCACTTACCAAAATGCACGTGGCCAGCAGGAATGAGTGTTCACATACTAAAGTGACTCATAGCAACCTGGTATGTATTTTTTCCCCCAAAGATTTGTTTATTTTACTTACAAGTCAGAATTGCTGAGCTAGAGAGATATCAAGATCTTCTATCCACTCGTTCAATCCCTAGGTGATGCTCATAGCTAGAGCTGAGCAAATCCAAAGCCAGAAGCCAGGAGCTTCTTCTGGATCTCCCAGGTGGATGCAGGGGCCCAAGGATTTGGAGCATCTTCCAGTGCTTTCCTGGGCCATTATTAGGGAGCTGGAACAGATGAGTGGTAGTAAATCAAGCTTTACTTGGAAATCAGAATTAGAGAAAAAGACAATCTTCCATCCACTGGTTCACTCCTCAAATGGCTGGTTCACTCCTCAAGTGGCCAGGACTGGGCCAGATCAAAGCTTGGAGCCCAGAGCTTTGTCTGGATCTTCCTCCGTTTGTGGCAGGGACCCAAGCACTTGAGCCGTTTTCCAGGGCTTTTCCCAGGCACATTAGCAGGGAGCTAGATGAGAAATGATGCAGTGGGGAATCCCCCCAAGCCACCCCTTGTACGGGCTGCTGGTGCCATGGGTAGTGGCTTTGTTTTCCTATCACAATGCCAGCCCTTACGGATTTTCTGAGCAAATAGATGAAAGGAGCTTGAAGGCCCAACTTGTGAAGTAATGATAAAGATAGGGGAATTAATTACCATGATTTGATCTGTATATATTGCACAGATCAATATACTTTCTTTGAAATACCACACTGGCCAGTAAGGAAGTGACTGAAATTTCCCTGGTTGTGTGTGTGGTTGGGGGAGTGGGCGGAGACAGAGAACATAGATTACCTTGCAAAACATGTAGTATGTTCTATGGGCGAGACTTTATAATTTAATTTGTAGCATATAAGTACCTGGCACCAAAAAACTATTATCTAGATTTTATTGCACCTTTTCCCTTTTATTGAGGTCCTTTTATCATTATTTATGGCTTTCATGATCCAGACTTGCCCTGTCAGGGTCAGGTGATCCAGAGTGTCTAAGTGTGCTCTGACAATGCAGGGAGCAGGTGGGGGGTGCGGCCACAGGCTCCATCCGCTGCTCACGGTGTCCCCCGCTCTTCCCACCACAGGGCTACAAGAAGCAGACAGAGCTGAAGCTGGAGGACATCAGCTGCCGTCTGACAGAACAACGGGAGGTGCTGGCAGGCCAGACAGCACAGTACCAGCAGGAGATGAGGTACCTCCACCAGATGCTGCAGGGCAAGCAGGAGGTCCTGGATGAGGCCCTGCAGCAGAAAAGGTGGGCCACCCCAACCCCAGAGGACCCAGGCCTGTAGAATTTGCTGGGTTTTGAATGCTTGACAGAATTTTCTGCCCAGACCAACTGGACCTGTTTTGATTGATTGCTTAGTTTTGCTTTTGACCTTTTAGTTGTATTTGAATTTAATATTGGTCTTGATTTTCACTTGCTCCTTATCTTTATCCTCTTTTTTTTTTTTTTAAAGATTTATTTTTATTATTTTTTCATTGGAAAGGCGGATGTACAGAGAGGAGAGACAGAGAGGAAGATCTTCCGTCCGATGATTCACTCCCCAAGTGAGCGCAACGGGTCGATACTATGCCGATCCGAAGCCAGGAGCCTCTTCCGGGTCTCCCACGCGGGTGCAGGTTCCCAAAGCTTTGGGCCGTCCTCGGCTGCTTTCCCAGGCCACAAGCAGGGAGCTGGAAGGGAAGCGGGGCTGCCGGGATTAGAACCGGCGCCCATATGGGATCCCAGGCGTGCAAAGCGAGGACCTTAACCACTTGCGCCACCGCGCCGGGCCCGATCCTCTGTTTTGAGAGCTTCTTCTGGTGAGCGTTTCATTTAGCCTAGCAATGTAGACACCAGTTAAGATGCTCCCATCCCACGGCAGAGTGCCTGGGTTGCTTGCTGGCTCCAGTTGCCTGACTCCAGCTTCCTGCTGATGCACACCCTGTGAGGCAGCAAGGATGGCTCACACAGTGGAGTTCCTGTCACCCACGTGAGAACTGTCGTGGATGTTTGGGAAGCGAACTAGCAGATTGGACCTCTCCCTCTCTGTCCATCCTTATTTCTTTGCCTTTCAAGTAAATGACTATATAAGCTTATAAAAGTTGCTATTGTCTGAATTGGGTTTCCTAAATCAACCCAACTCCTTAGCTGCCGTTTTCTTTCTTATCGCTCTGATATTTTCCCTTTATTTATTTATTTATTTTGGGGGGGGGGCAGAGGGAGAACTTAATTTTGGATGGGAAGATGACCATCCTGAGACAGTATTGGGATGTGTGTCAGTTGCACCTTTTTTCCTGCAGACATTATCAAGTGTTGCCAGTGTTTTAGAAACCCCAGCGCTGGATTGAACTTGGTGGCACAGTGGGTTAAAAGGCTTCTTAGGATGCCTGCATCCCAGCTTAGTGTGTTAGTTCCTCCATCAGCTGCTTTGCTTGTGATCCATCTCCTTATTAATCAGCTTGGAAAGCAGTGAATGGTGGCTCCATGTGGGAGACCTGGGTTGAATTCTTGTTGTGAATATTTGGGGAGTAATCCAGCGGATGGAAGATCTCTCTCTTTTTCCTTCCCTGTTCTTTTCATTCTGCCTTTCAAATAAATGCTTTTTTTTTTTAAATTTTTTAAGATTTATTTTATTTTTATTGCAAAGTCAGATATACGGAGAGGAGAGACAATGAGGAAGATCTACTGTCCAGTGATTCACTCCCCAAGTGACCACAATGGCTGGTGCTGCACTGATCCAAAGCCAGGAGCCTGGAGCCTCTTCCAAGTTTCCCACGCGGGTGCAGGGTCCCAAGGCTTTGGGTTGTTCTCGACTGCTTTCCCAGGCCACAAGCAGTGAGCTGGATGGGAAGTGGAGCAGCTGGGATTAGAATCGGTGCCTATATGGGATCCCAGCGTGTTCAAGGCGAGGTCTTTAGCTGCTAGGCCATGGCGCCGGGCCCTAAGGATCTTTTTCTTAAGTTCAATTGAAGAGAGCTTGATTATCATGAGTCATGGTGAAGACTGCTTTTCGTCAACCCTGTTGGGAGTTCTGTGCCTTTCCTGAATGTTGTTTCCCAATTCTTTCTCTAGATTAGGGAGTTTTTCCCTTATTATTTCATGAAATACACCTTTAACCCAAGCTTCTCTTTCTGCACCTTCTTGACTCCAATAACTCTTATATTTTGCCTTTTAATAGAGTCTTTCAGTTCTTGAGTATTTTTTTTAGCTGGACTCAGCTCTGCTTCCAGCTTGTTTTCCCCTGGTGACAGGAAATATCCTTCAATTCTGAGATTCTTTCTTCTGCTTCCTACATTCTATTTTGGAGACTCCACTGTATGTTTAATATGCTCCACTCTCGTCTTAACTTCTGATAGATCAGCTTTCATTTGATTAACTTCCTGTGTAACATATTCCTTAAATTTCTTAAACTCCTGTGTTACGTGCTTCTCATTGTTGATCAGAAGCTTTACAACATGTTTTGAAATTCTGTATCTCCCATTTTCTCGCTGTCTTCCTCAGTTAACTTGGGTTGGCAGAGGCTTTTGCTTTTTTTCAAGGGAGTCTTCAGTAATATTCTTTGTACCTTTGTCTCTTCTGCTCTTGGTCATTGTATATATGGTTGGCAGAGTCTTCTCCCTGGGGCTGGTTTCTAAGCTGTGTCACCCACAGGTCTACAGTTGGATTTTACTTACTGCGGTTGGTACATGGCTTTTTGCAGTCACGTGTTGCACTCCCTCCAGTGAGTTCCCGATGCCTTAGCAGCCATTTTCTCTCAGCATGTACCAGTCTCTTCTGTTTCACTGCTGGGAAGCCGTTTGTCCTTTTTTGGGGTCTACAGCATCCTTTTGATTGTAGGCCAGATGTTGCTCAAAAGAAGACCTTTCTCGTGTGTCGTTTGGAACTGGTCTCCATGAGACAGCGACAGAATCCCTGCCTCTTTGATAAAGACAACTGTGTCATGGCAGTAAGTGGGAGGGGAGGGTAAAGGTTAGAGGGTTTAGGATGGCTTCTTCTCTGAATTCAAGTTTACCTTTGCTGCTTTAAGAAGTGAGCTGATAATGGGATGGGTTGAGGATGGAACTAGAGCAGGAAGTGTGCTAAGCTTTAATTTGGATTAGATCGCAATAGCATGAAGTGGCGCAACCTTTTAACTGCGTGGTACTGCAACTTTTTATCTGTTCATAGGCCACTCCTTTGGTCTTGAGATCTACTGGGGTCAAAGCCAGTTTGTTGCTCTATGACTGAATTGGTTCTCATGCTGACCCTACCCCCTCTCTTTCCGTCTCTCTCTTCTCACCTTTGTCCAGTGGAACTCTGGCTCTGAACTTCAGTGTATTGTCTAGTTGATATCCCAACTAACAAGTAAGAGTAGGCTATAAGGGAAAACAGTCAGTATTTCACATGGCAAGAAGCACCACAGTCATGAGTCTTTTACACTTGAGATGCTAAAATCTTCCCATGGGGTCCAGTGCAATAGCATAGTGCCTAAAGCCCTCGCCTTGAACGTGCTGGGATCCCATATGGGTGCCGATTCTAATCCTGGTGGCCCTGTTTCCCATCCAGCTCCCTGCTTGTGGCCTGGGAAAGCAGTCAAGAATGGCCCAAAGCCTTGGGACCTTGCACCCGTGTGGGAGTCCTGGAGGAGGTTCCTGGCTCCTGGCTTTGGATCGGCACAGCATCGGCCGTTGCAGTCACTTGGGGAGTGAATCATTGGATGGAAGATCTTCCTCTCTATCTCTCTTCCTCTCTATATATCTGACTTTGTAATAAAAACAAATAAATCTTCAAAAATAAATAAATAAATCTTAAAAAAAATCTTCCTATGAAGTTTAGCCAGAGCTAGATGAATGGAAGCTTTTTCTTCTTTTGGGTTTTTTCTCAGTATCTGTAAAAACAGACTTCTATAGAATGTGCACCAAGCTCACCCTTTTTACAAAACACATATTTGGAAAAAAATAAATAGCTTTATCAAAATGGGGGAGGGGAACCTTAGATGGTTCATTTTCTTTCTTAAATCTTAAAGTCTCCCCTAACTCTTGTATTCTGCAGGTTAGTTTCTTTGTTTGTTTTTCATAAATTTCTCTGCCATATAAGTTGCACTCTGTAATTGGTGTCTTTTAGTAATTCTAGGAAAATTTCAGTCATTCTCTGTTTACAAACCTGCCTTTTCTCCTTTGTTTTAAAATTTCCCCCTGGAACTTGTATTAGGTGAATAGTAGAATTTCTCATTAAATCCTTCACACACCCTCTCTTGTAAACTTTCCATTTCTTTGTTTTTCTAGTTTATATTCTGTGAAATTTCTTTGTTTAGTATTCCCATTTACTAATTCTCTCTTCATCTGTTTTCATATTCTGTGTAACCCAGCCATTACATTGTCTTCAACAACTGCATATTTCAGTTTTTGGATGTTCTATTTGATTCTTTTGAAAATCTGTTATATAACAAGTAAGTTCTTCATCTTTGCTTACTTTTTCTTTAAGATTTATTTTTATTGGAAATCTTTGCTTACTTTTAATATCCCTTTTATTTCTTTTGCTGTTTTATTGATACTTATTTTGTATGTGGGATAACTTCCAGTACCTGAAAATTTATGAGGGAGAGAGGATTTAAATCAGATTTTGTTGACCCTGGCTTGTCACAGTGAACTTACATTTGGTCAGACTGAATCTACCTTCGCAGGAAGCTGGAGTCAGCAATGGAGGCCAGGACCTGAAGTAGGAACACTGCGGTGATAAAGGCGTTCCAAGCACCAATTTAGCTGCTGTGCCCAATTGGTATGTTTTAAATTATGCGCTTCCCCTTTGTTCTGGGTCTCACAGAGAAATTGAAGGTGAACTTGAAGTTGTTTGGGAGTCCACTTCCAAGGAGAACCAAAGAGTGCGAAGACTTCTGCAGGCCACGCTGGAGAGGACAGGTGTGTGGGACAGCATCGGACCTCTGGAGGACGCCGGCCTCAGCAGCACAGCTCCTGAACATCTACTGGATGGTTGTTGTGACCTGAAGCCTCTTCCTGCTGCCCACGAGAGTCGGCCGGAGCCGCTGGTCTAGGCCCCAGGAACCTGATGACAGTGCCAGACACAAGCCAGCAGGAGAGTCAGCGGACAAGAAGAGACAATCTATTCCAGACCTTTTAGTCTGTTTTTCATATTTTGCTTTATTTTAATAATACTGATGAAAGCTTCCCATCTCTGTCTGTCTTTTGTACCAGAATATATTTTGATCAGTGTACTTAGCCATGTCTGTCTTGCCACCAAGACTAGCTGCCTGGATGATACCCATTGCTCAGGTTGCTGTGCTGGCCTGTTTCCCAGCTGGGGAATGTACAGCTGGGGAAAGCTTGGAGGGGACGGCAGGGCAAGTGAGCACTCATGCCATGTGTCTGATGAGTGGAAGTGTGGATTCATTCCCAGGGAAGCAACAGTTGTGGCAGCCATGTGCACATTTCAAGTGTTGTCTTCTTGTTTGGTGAAATAACAAGTGCTAGTACTCGGGTAAGTGGCGCCAAACCTATCTGCCCTCTCTCCTAGCCCTTCTCTGTCCTCCAGGGAAGCCAGTTTATTCTGGAACTATGTAGAGGTTTGCCTCTTTGATGAGATTCTGAGCAGCAGCTGGGTCCTCTGCTGTGCTGCGTAGAGACACCAGAGGCCATGGCATGAGCAGGGAACTGGATAAGTAGTAGAGCAGCCAGGACTCAAACTGGCATCCATGTGGGATGCTGGCATTTCAGACAGCGACTTTACCTGTTGCACCGCAATGGCAGCTCTAGAATTTTTTTTCTTTAAGTTTTAAAATTAATTTATTTCAAATTGGAGAGACAAGGATCTTTCGTCTACTATTCCACTCCTGAGATGCTTCCCAACAGCCAAGGCTGGGACAAACCAAAGCCAGGAGCAATCCAAGTCCTGTGGGTGGCAGGAACCCAAGTACTTAAGCCATCGCCTACTGCTTCCCAGGGCACACATTAGCAGGAAGTTGGACTTGGGAGCAGAACCGGGACTCAAACCCAAGATGTCTGACATGTAACACAGGTATCCCAAGTGATGTCTCAGCCATTTTCAGCATCCCCCAAAATGATATCTTATTTTAAAAAGATTTTTTGGTTACCTACAATCTTTTCTTTGCTAACATAACCTTATTCCATGGGTGACCATAGAAACAGGAATAATAAAAATGAAATTAGGAGCTATGGGTTAGGGAACAGAATGGGAAGTCATTTTGTAGGGGAAAAATGAGGAAACTTTAAGAAAGACAACTGGTTTCCCTGAGGAGATTATCCATGGAAAAGAAAAAACAAACAAACCATTACTTGAAACACATAAAAATGATGAGCAAAGTTCCAAGGCAGACTTACACCATCTTAATGGTTCCTGGATGTGCAGAGATAATAAAGATTGTTCCCAGATAAGAATTTCAAGACCACGCCCTTCCTGGTAATTATTTTATGGTCTGACCATAAGTCCTTGACATTGAAAGACTTTGCATGTTCCATCAACTTGACACAAGTTCCTCTGGTTGGAATTCAGGAAGACCAGTAAACATTTGTCTTACCTGTTAGGGCCCGCCTTTGGATCCCGGCCAAACCCCAAACTACCTGTCAGTATCAATGGGAAGGAATCCAAGACCCAACAAAGTTAACAAATGGAAGAAAGTTTTAAGAACCCGAGGGCAGTCTGGAATACCCTCCCTCTGTCAAAAGGACGGGGAACCAGAGAGTAAGACAGCCAAATGGGTAGCCTGGTGACTGCAGAAGGAAAGACACTACTGAGGAAACACATCTTTAAAAAAACTATTACAGGGAGAGCAAACCTGGTATGCACCAAGTACAAGATGAAACAGGTGGTGTTAGCACCTTCATACTGTGAGCATCTTTGTAATCAGAAAAGAAAAAGTACAAAGTCAAGGTCAAAAGTTTTAGCAGAACAGGAAATAGTGGAGTAGAATAATGGAGTAGAATGTCAACTGGAAAAGAACTGACTACAGGGAGACAAAACTTCAGGCCTGGGAGCACAGTGCCCCTGAGGTATGGAAGAACTGGGAGTCATCTTTGATTTCTGAGTCAAATCCATAGTGTTGGCCATAAACAAACAAACAAATAAAAGCACATGCCTGGTTGAATACTCTGCTGGAGTGGGAATGAGGTGAGAAACAGCTTTAGGAGATGCTCCCATGGGCCAAATGAGCAGAGATAGGGACCTCTGACTTCTCCACAAAGGAACCTCATGCCCAGCTATGGCAAACCCAGTACCTCTGCTTTCCTAGGATGCTCAAGTCCCCTGGGAAGCCTGCTGCAGCCCCTCCCGAGGTCCCTGTCTAAGTCCTCAAGTAATGTGGGTATTAGAGGGTGCTATTAAGGGTCCCTCTTTACATAAAGGTTCAGAGCCTGAGACCCTGGGACTGGTGGGCGGGATTGTGCAGCCATCGCAACCTGGTGTGTGTTAGAATCTCAGCCCACTCTATAGCAATTGGCTAGTGCAGATGGGCCAGAGGTTGTGATAAGAGTGCTGCGGTGTCAGGAAATAACTGCAGGGGCCACCACTAGCAGGTATGGGGAAGGTCTATCTTGGGCATCCTCTTCCTGGGGACATTGGCTATGGTGGAGGTGACCAACCTCTCAGAGCGCTCCTACCCTCAAGCTCCACCTGGTGACCTTTGTTCCCATCATACCTGGGCTTCTGAGCAGAAGATAATATTGACAGTGCCCTGCAGGCTTCCACACTTGAAGCTGAGCCTCTGCTGATAAGAAGCTTCTCCCCAGAGATAATCCTTGGCTGCCAGCAGGGTTTAGGGGTTGCTTCCAGGCTCCACCCATAACCTCGTGCCCTACCCAATACAGCAGTCTCAGGTTGGGGGTTGAAGTTCTGTGACTTGTGCCTCTTGCCTCTCCAGACCTTGGTTTTCCTGTCTGGCAGACGAGAGCATACAGGTAATAACGTCTGTCCCCTTTGTGTGTGTTGTTGGCTGCATGGGGCTTTGATATGTCTGAATGACCTCAGTGCACAGAGCAGAGATGCAGGTGAGGTGGAACAACCCCAGGCGTCCCTGCAGAAGCCCACTGGGGTTCTAGTTAGCATCATAGCCCATCCTGGCAATGGTGAGCAGGAAGCCCTTGTTCATCCTCTGCCTGTTCAGTCTGACTCAGAACCAAGGACACTGGGAGGATCCCGAGCTGGGAGAACATCCAGAGCTAAATTACAGACACAGCAGTTCTTCTTGAAGTGGGGATACAGCCCATTATGGTAATAAAAGAACCGGTTCCAAAGTTTATCTTTAAGAGAGCCAAACATAAATGAAAGCAAAATTTCTACCCTTTGGAGAGAGCTATCCTTTTAGGGCAATGTAGGGGATGTGCAGTTTTAAGAAAAAAAGGCTCGAAAAGCAAATAAAGCCAAACCATCTCGGGGAGAAGGATGGGCTAGCCTACCATTCTCATGTAAAGCACTTTCTAAGGAACAAGATGTTTAATAATTATCTCAGTTGACCTCTGTACCCCTGACTTCCTTCACTCCCAGGCAAAAACCATGGCCATTCCTCAGGTTCTGCGGCATCCGGCGGTCAGCTGGAATTACAGCTCCTCTAACTCAGCAAGGTCAAGAAGGAAGGTAAGGCTGGCAAGGAAATGGGAAGGCTTGTAGCTGTCCAGACAGGGGCATGGACAGGGAATTCATTGACAGAACCATCTTCTAGTTAAGCTTTGAAGTGATTTTTCTTTCTTCATCCATTGCATCAATGATGTGTATGTGTGTGTGTGTGTGTGTTTCATGGGGGGGGGGGCGTTAATCTTGAGAAGGATTTGTAAGGAAAAAATTCCTTCCTTGGAATGCCTTCTGCTAAGTAAGGCATTCCAGTAAGCTGCTAGACAGTTGTACTTTGGAAAACACTGAAGTTGGCACCTGAAGAAAGCATCATGTTCCAGCCCGTCCTAGCTGAGGACTGAGAGCCAGAGCAAGCGCAGCCCAGGGACAGCACAAGCCCCGGAGCTCTGGAAAGATCTGGAAGCTGGTTTTCTACTCCATCCTCACCTGGGCCTGAACAGTCTGGGGCAGTTCAAAATCCTCATAGACAAAACAGAATTAACAGATGAATTTGTTTGGAAACTTAAAGATCCTTACACCCATGCATGGTTTGTTTTCCATTGAATGCATTTTCAGGAGCCTCATGGGCATAGGTTACTGGAGAAGGGGGCACCAAAATAAACTTATCTTTTCAGGAAATTTTCATGTCTGGGGCTGAGCAGATTGTCAGCAAGGATACCAGTTAAGACACTGGTGGTGTTTGGAGTCCATTGCTGCAGCTTCCCCAGCCCCATGGGCGGAGCCAAGCAGGAAACAGCACCATGGGGCTGCCATGTGTACATGGTCTGCCTTGGATGGGTCAAGACCCTGCCTGTGCCTCATTTACAGTCTCTGGAGCTGACAGGAGCACGAAATGGGGGAGACTGGCCCCAGAAAACGCCGAGAGGATGAGAAATCCATCCAGAGTGATGAGCCCAAGACCACAAGTCTCCAAAAAGAGGTAAGGACATCTGGTTCCCAGCAGACCCTTCCCAGGCTGGGAGTAGGGGAGTGGGGGAGAAGTTATCTGACTGTGCAGCAGTGGGCTGAGTTCTGCAGTGGTCCCCAGAGGTGGGTGGTTTGCTCTGTCCAGTACATCTCTAAGTGACTAATCCTCTTTCTTCTTGTTGGGAACTCAGCATGACCTTTTGAACTTCATACATGCAGATGTTTAGTTCATGTGCACACTAGCTAAGCACCTAGAGGGCCTCTATTTGGTCAGAGGATTAGGCTTAGGGAGCTTGTGATGGTTGGGGTCCCCACTGTGACACCTGGCTAAATGTGAGTCCTCTCAGGTGTGCATGTCTGACAGGCAAGGAATTATGAGGTCTGCTAGCACAGCCAGCCTGACACAGGACAGGGATGCACAGTCTGCGCTAGAGCCTGGCGAGAACCTGGGGCTGTTTGGGGGCCTGGAAGGAAGGGGTACTTTCAGGCTGGGATGGTGGCACAAAGGCACCCAAGGCTCTACCCTGTGTCAGTCTCCATGTGGGACAA